ATGGTTTGCCTGAGAGAAGTCATCGTCGAGAGTCCTGGAATCTATTGATCTCTTTGAAAAATAAATTGCCTTTACCGTGGTGTTTTAGGGGTGACCTTAATGACTTATTGGCTCATAATGAAAAGGTGGGTCATATTAATCGTCCTAATTGGCTTATTAATGGCTTTAGACGCACTATTGCTTCTTGTGGTCTATTTGACATTAGTTACACTGGAAATAAGTTTACTTAGGAAAGGGGCCGTGGAACTATAGACTGGGTTTCGGAAAGGCTTGATAGATGTTTGGCAATAGATAGCTTGATAGATGTTTGGCAATAGATACTTGGCTAAGGCAATTTCCCCATGCCATACTTTTTCACTTAGAAGTAGCGCAGAATGATCACGGTGCTATTTTTATGGGGTTGGGTATCATAATAATTCATTATGCCCCTCGTTCGTTTCATTTTGAGAATGCCTAGTTGTGTGAAGAGAATTTCGATTGTGTTGTTCAAGCAGCTTAGCTTCCAGGGACTGGTATGGATATTTTAGAATGAATTTATAATTGTGCAACAGCTCTTCATAAGTGGGGCAATGACAAGCGAATGGACTTTAAAGCAAAGCTGTGATAAAGCAAAAATCAAATGCATCGTTATAAGGGGGACGTGACGCTTGCTCTATCACGTTGTATCGAACAGCGCAGGAGGCGTATATGGCGGTCCTTCGCTAACAGGAGGCATATTGGAGGCAGTGGTTAAAGTAGCTATGGTTGTGGGATGGCGACCTCAATACTAAATATTTCCATTCGATGGCATCTCATAGAAGGCGAAAAAATGCTATCAGTCAGTTGCATGATAGCAAAAATCAAATGCATCGTTATAAGGGGGACGTGACGCTTGCTCTATCACGTTGTATCGAACAGCGCAGGAGGCGTATATGGCGGTCCTTCGCTAACAGGAGGCATATTGGAGGCAGTGGTTAAAGTAGCTATGGTTGTGGGATGGCGACCTCAATACTAAATATTTCCATTCGATGGCATCTCATAGAAGGCGAAAAAATGCTATCAGTCAGTTGCATGATAATTATGGTGATTGGGTTGGTTGGGATACCAAATTGGATAGGCTCATTACAGAGTATTATGTTACTTTATTCCAATCGCAACAAGGGGAATTTGAAACAGTTCTTCAGTGTGTCGAACCTAAGATTTTGGAGGAACATAATAGGGAGCTTATGGAGTCGTTTGTGATGAGTGAAGTGAAGGATGCAATTTTTAGTATGCATCCTGATAAAGTAGCCAATCCGGATGGCTTTAATCCTGCGTTCTTCTAAGCCTATTGGCCAATAGTTGGTGGGGACGTTGGACATGCTTGTCTGGAAAGTCTCAATTCGGGGGCACCTTTTGCAAAGCTTAATAAGACTAGATTATTCTCATCCCTAAAAAGAAAGGCAAGAGTTTGTCTCGGATCTAAGGCCAATTTCTCTTAGTAATGTTATTGATAAATTTGTGGCAAAGGCTATGGCAAATAGATTGAAGAAGGTCTTACCTTTGATTATTGATGAAGCCTAAAGTGCTTTCATTTTGAATCGTTTGATTATTGATAATGCGATGATTGCTTTTGAAGTGATGCACTGTATGAAGCGTAAATCTCAAGGAAGTACAGGATTGCCGCTTTAAAAACAGATATGTCTAAGGCATATGATAAGGTTGAGTGGAGGTTTCTAGGTGAATTGATGTTGAAAATGGGTTTTGCTCAGGTGTGGGTGGATAAAATCATGAAACTTGTTACTACGGTACTTATCATATCTGTCATGTTGGTTTGTCTTTCGGTTCGATAGTTCTTGGTTGAGGCTTGCAACAAGGTGGTCCCATATCCCCTTACCTCTTCATAATTTGTGTTGAAGCTCTGTCTTGTCTCCTCAAGAGTTCGAATGGCGGCAACAGTTACTGGTTGTAAGGTGGTGCGCAATGCCCCAGCTATAAGTCACCTCTTTTTCGCGGATGACGAAGTGTATTTTTTTCAAGCTACTACAACAGAAGCTTTATTGATTAAACATTCTTGCACTATATTAGCGGCGTCAGGTCAGTAAGTCAATTATGAAAAATCTAAAATAATGTTCAATATCAACACAACAATGGCTGCTCAGGATATAATTTCTAGGCTACTTAATGTCCACTAGACAGATTCCTTTTCCAAATATCAAGGGCTTCCAATTGTCGTAAGGCAAAATAAGAAAAAGGTTTTTTATTTTGTGGTTGATAAGGTGTGGCGGCAGCTTCAGGGGTGGAAAGAGAGTTTAATTATCTCGTGCTGGAAAAGAGTTTCTTTTAAAAATTATTGTGTAAGCCATTCCGAACTATCTTATGAGTTTTTTTTATTGCCGTTGAATATTTGCAATTCCATTGAAAATTTGATGAACATATATTGGTGGAGGGCTTCGATGGATAGTGACTCTGGTATTCATTGGCACAGGTGGAAGAGGTCGGCCACATCAAAATTAGTTAGTGGGCTTGGATTTCGATCTATTCGTGAATTTAATTTGGCGTTACTAGCGAAGCAAGGGTGGAAGTTCTTAAATGACCCGAATGCTCTGGTTTATTGTGTTTATAAGGCACGCTATTTTAAGGAGTGTTCTTTTCTCCAGGTTGAAGTGGGATGCAATCCAAGCTTTGTGTGGAAATTTGTTATTAAGAGTTAGCAACTATTAAGTTAGGTTGTTTGTGTCGTGTTGTTGATGGTCGTAATACTGAAGTTTATAATAGTCCATTGTTGCCCGACCCATCTCATCCTTTTATTTTGAGCGATAATATTTCAGGTGAGGGTGGGCTTCTGATTTTCTATTTGCTACTGGTAGATGGAAGTGGGTGAGACATACCATTTTGAACTTGCTTTTTACTCAGCATGAGATTGATATTATTCTTCGTATTCCATTATGTCATATGAATGGGGCTATGGGGGTTGATGGTTGGATGTGGTGGTGGGACCCATGAGGTATGTACTCTATTCGTAGCAGGTACAAGTTTATAATAGATTAGTAGGTGTCAGATGATGTTGGTAGTGTAGTTCGACAGGATGAGGTATGGAAGTACACGTCCCTCCCAAAGTTGCAAATTTTGTCTGACGTTTGTTGCATAATATTTTTCTAGTCAGGCAAACTCTACCTCCATCAAGTTATTATTGATCAGACCTGTCCAGTGTGTGGTGTAGAGTGCGAATCCCAGCAACACCTTTTTCTTCTCTGTCCTTTTGCTAGGCAATGTTGGCAGTTGCTGGTTGGTCTGAGCTGGACCGGCTCTAGCAATATGCAGGCATGGTTTAGTCATCTTAGGGAGACTATTGATGGTAGTAAGTGGGGTATGTATTTTTGCCTTCTGTGGAGTATTTCATTAAGTCGTAATAAAGTTGTTTGGGAGGAGGGTATTGTTAATACTCATGAATGTGTGTATCGAGCTAAGCAAATGGTTCAAGAATGGGTAACAGCTCAATTTGTTAAAGTTGTTTCACGAGTGGTGGCTGTTCCTTTCCAACTCTAGTGGAAATCACTTAGTGGGTCTAGTTTAAAGTGTAATGTGATGGTGCCTTTCATTACCGAAATTCACATGCAGGTGTTTCCTGGCTTTTACGTGATGGGCATGGGTATATTAGAGGCGGAAAGCTAACAAGGAATAATGGGGTCTTCAATGCTTTATTAGCTGAGGCTATAGGGGTAAGAGAGGATTTGAGTTGGTTGAAAGGTCAAGGGTATTTACAGTCAATGATTGAGTTGGAGACAGATTGCATGATAATTATTCAGGCTTTAAAGAGTACTAAAATTGATATGTCCTACTTCGGACTATTATTTCAAAATGTAAAACTCTCTTAAAAGAGTTCATTGCTATTAATGTTAGCTTTATTAAGAAGTCAATGAATCAATGTGCTCATCAGGTGGCTAGAGCTGTTGTTTTTACGTGATGGGCATGGGTAAGAGAGGCTTTGAGTTGGTTGAAGGATCAGGGGTATTTACAGTCGATGATTGAGTTGGAGACAAACTGCATGATAATTGTTTAGGCTTTAAAGAGTACTAAGGTTGATATGTCCTACTTCAGACCATTATTTTAGAATTAAAAAACTCTTAAAAGAGTTCATTGCTATTAGTGTTAGCTTTATTAAGAAGTCAACGAAGCAATGTGCTCATTAGTTGGCCAGAGCTGCGTTTTTTGAGTCTGGCTTATTGGAGTGGGGTTATTTTCCCCCAACTATTATTTTGGATGCTTTGACTTTTGATGTTAATAATACATAATCACAATTGCATTGGAAAAAAAACAATCTAGAAAAATATGAAGAAAAATTATAAATTTCCAAAATTTGAGTACTAAGAACAACGTACAAAGGAATATTTATTCCTAGAAATTGTCCAATCAAAAATAGGAAAAATTTGTCTAATAGAAGAGAATAGATGGAAAATGATGAATTTCTTAAGATCTACAGATTATAAAACCTAATATTTGATCAATTTGAAGACAAATGTCGAACAAAACTTAGGCTCCATTTGTTCCGTAAAATAACTTAGTGAAAATATCTTTCTTGTTCCGTAAAATAACTTAGTGAACAATCATAAAAGTTATTATAAAAAAAATAATTATTTACATATCTAAATTTAGAAATCTTGCGAACATTTTAGGATATCCAAAAAAGAAATAACAATTAAACAAAATGGAACGTTAGGAATATTTTAAAAAAATTCGGATTTGGATAGTTAAAGTTCACGGAAACCTTGCCCATATAAGGATATTTTAAACGGTTTTGGACGTGTACGGATAGTAAAAATTTAAATGGGTTTGAATATGTGTTCTTAAATGAATATTTGAACGGATACAAAAAGTTAAAATTTTACATGGATATGGATATGAGTAACTTAAATTTCGCTGCTGCCATCCTAAACACACGTGCTTACTAGCTTATTTAATGGGCAAAATGATCACAAATGTTCAAATTGTGGAGTTATTCATTAATGAAAGTTATTTTTGGACTTTCTGCATATTGGGTTCAACTTGAGGAGGCGAATTGAAACTTCCCAAAATTAACTATTTAACATCATAAATCGAAGTTTGAGCGACCAAAAGGTATAAATTATCATAATTTATGCCAATCGAGAGCGGTGCAAAATGCGTCTTCACTACTCGTATCTACAGTTGCCAAGAAACAAACATGCCCCAATCCCATCACGCACCCTCGCAGAGCAGCTGATTTGGTTGCTAAGTCACTGCTCCAATCTCAAACACATACAACAAACACATGGTTTTATGGTTTCTACAGGCCTCCATCATGATAACCTCCTCCTTAGCCGATTCATAAATGCCTGCTCTTCTCTAGGCCTCTCTCTCTACTCCTATTCAGTCTTTACCCACAAAACACGACCACCTGATATCTATCTTTACAACACTATGATCAGGTCTCTCTCTTTCTCTCAAACACAATCTCAAGCGGCCATCTTTCTTTTCAACAACATACAAGTGGCCGGATTGCGACCCGATTCTTACTCATTCCCTTTTGCACTAAAGGCTGTTGCTAAATTGTTAGCAATCAGAACAGGGAGGCAAATTCATTGTCAAACTATTGGAGTTGGCCTGGACTCTGACCTTCACGTTGTCACGGCTCTCATTCAGATGTATTCTTCTTGTTCTAGTGAGTGCATTTCTGATGCTCGCAAGTTGTTTGATGGGGCGTGCGGCAGAGTAAGATATGTGGTTTTGTGGAATGCTATGGTTGCTGGTTACACTAAGATTGGTGACATGGAAAATGCTCAACGTCTGTTTGATTTTATGCCTGAAAGAAATGTGATTTCTTGGACGGCTGTGATTTCTGGGTATGCTCAGATTAATAGGCCCCACCAAGCAATTGGCATCTTTCGGAGAATGCAGATTGAAAAAGTGGAGCCCGATGAAATCACAATGCTGGCTGCACTTTCAGCCTGTGCTCATTTGGGTGCATTAGAATTAGGGGAGTGGATTCATAACTACATTGACGAGCATGGATTGAATAGAATTACTTCTCTTAATAATGCACTCATAGACATGTATGCCAAGTCAGGGAATATCAAAAGGGCATTACAAATATTTGAGAATATGAAGCATAAAAATATCATAACATGGACAACTATGATTGCTGGACTAGCTCTGCATGGACTTGGAAGAGAAGCTCTTGAAATGTTCTCTTGCATGGAACGTGATGGAATTATGCCTAATGACGTTACTTTCCTTGCTGTCCTTTCTGCTTGCAGCCATGCTGGATTGGTTCAAATTGGGCGTTCATATTTTAGCAATATGGAATCGAGATATGGGATTCAACCTAAGATTGAGCACTATGGCTGCATGATAGATTTACTTGGGCGTGCTGGTTGCCTTCAAGAGGCCCAACAACTTGTTCGACAGATGCCATTTGAGCCAAATGCAGCAATATGGGGATCTCTGCTTGCTGCTGCTAATACTCATGGTGATGCCTTGCTTGGAGGGAGCGCATTGGAGCATCTAATAAAGTTGGAGCCCAATAACAGTGGAAATTATGTACTTCTATGTAATCTATATGCCTCTTTCGGTTGGTTGGAAGCAGCTAGGACAGTAAGGATTGTGATGAGAGACGAAGGTGTTAAGAAGATGCCAGGAGGAAGTTTCATTGAGGTGAATAGTAGAGTTAATGAGTTTATTGCAGGAGACGCATCACATCCTCAGTTTAATGAGATACGTGAAGTTCTATGGAATATAAATAGGCAGTTGAGACTTGCTCATCATTTCGAAGAGAGTGTGATGGGGCTGCTTGAATATTGTGAGGGGTGGGATGAAATTCTACATAGCCATGAGTAACTCAATGTCGCAATCACCTAAGATGCTGCATTACCTTGAATTTTGCCTGTTGAGCAGCTGAGGACTTAACTCACGGTTAGATGTTTCTTTCTATTCGACTTGGATAAGTTCACCAGTTTCATCAAATGGTTCAGGGTTTAATTTATTACTCAGGTATCTGGGAACGGATTTCACTCATAAAGTCTACTCCTTGACTTGATATCATTCTGATGAATGAAGCATCAGAGCTTCATAATGTTTTTGCCATCTAACTGATGAGAGGTACGCCACTGTAAAATCTGATCCTTTTTATGCTTCTGGTAGATTTAATATGCACATAAATTCTCCCTTATTCTTTATTCTGTTTTGACATTTAAAATTTTCTGCTAAATGTTATATCTGAATGTAGGATACACCATACAAAATTTGATCGGGAAAATAAATAAAAAAAGAAAGAACCATTTGTGTCCATTTAATGTACTAGTGAATTCCAAGATCCACTGATGCCATCCCATTTGTCAATGAAAATCTGTTAAAGGGGATGATGACAAAATCAAAAAATGATATTGAAGAGCCAATATGAAAAAAAGGTGTTTAATTAGTAATTATCTATAAATACTTCGGGAACTTGCAACAAATTTTGAGAGGCCCAGTCCATCCTCCTCTCGCCTCTGAACTTCAATTTCATGGTTTCACCTTTTTCTTTTTCCTCTTTTGATAATGGGAAGCAGTGTGCATCTTGTTTTTAGCAAATAAGCACAAGCAAGATCTGAAACCTTGAAGAAGTAACTACTGCGTTAAAAAAAAAAAATTTCCTTAAAGAAATTGAACAATTTAATATTTGAGACACCTGTAGTTTAAGTTAACACTAGTGCCCTAAATGTTTCATGTCATTGATTAGAATATTCAGCTGAATAATTTCCATTGTATATTTTTAAAAAATATACATACAAAGAATCAAAAGATTCATATAGTCGACTCCAACTACTTTGGGATTAAAGCTTAGTTGATGTTGATGCATAGAAAGAATCAACAGTACTAGGATTATGGGTACAAACATGGCTCTAGGATATTCCATTCCTTCAGGTGTGGTAAAACCAACCGAGCCTATTGCACCTTATAATTAAACATACATTTTACATATGTACACAAACCAGTAGCTGTCTATTCTGCCTGCGGCACGTTGGAAACATTGGCATCCTCTTGTTTCTTAAGATAAACATTTCAGCTGTAGAAGCTAGAGCAGAATTTCGCAAGAGCTTTCCTAATATAGTTGTCAGAGAGTTTCTAAATATCATTTATATAAAGCCACAAAGACCTTTCATAACTGCTTCAGTGCATGGAGCGTTGCTTAAATGGACCAGGATTCAGCTTGCTTCTCAGCAAAAATTGACAGAAGGCTATGATAGTGAGGTTTTTGTGACATCCACTTGCATCTCACGCTCGCCCCTCCGCACGAAAGATTGCTAACTCTTTCATCTACTGGCTTTGCTTCAAAGCATTAAACTATAGAAGAACTCATGCTCATATCCCAGGTTATAGAACCCCAATCCTAGAAGTGCACTGGCCCATAAAATTTCAATTTTCTCTTTAAGAATATGGCATATTCCTGGAAAAGATGCAGTCAAAGAAACTAGTCAGATGAATTACGAACTTACTAAAGTTCAATAACCACAAGACAAGTTATCTCCTCCAGTTTCTAGTTTTTGTGCAAGTTTGCTTAAAATGAATTTTCTTTCCTTTTCTCATTTATCTTTTTTTGGGACAGCTTAAGGGTTGTAGCAGAAATAATGAGCTTGGTTAAAATATGAGAGACTATTTGGTTCTATTTAAAAGTTTGTTACCTGTGGTCTGTGGTTCTTCTCGAGGCTTATCAAATTGCTTGTTTAAATGCTTCTGCTCTGAGTAGTTCACAAATAAAGCTCTTTGTGATCTCACATGGAGCATGCCATGCCTTCTATCTTTTGCAGATCTTTGAATGGAGGAATCTGTGTGTTGCCTTTCACCACCTTCCACAATATATTCAGTGGATACTTGCTGACAGAACAATTCATGTTCTAATATGGAAGTGGAGTGACCAGAAACCCGTTTTGAGTAAACGATACTGCTATCTAAATCAGATTGCAAAAGTTCATAGCATTCATTGTTCTTTAACTGGAAACAGTCTGATATTTGTTTTTCGCCTTCTACTGTCTCCTTGATAGGAAGTGCATGATCATGATCCTTATACTCACCAAATCTGTGATAACGGACATCTTCTTGAGAAAGAGTGCTCCATTCATCCTCTTTTGATGACTTATCTACAGAATCCTGTGTTTGTACGATTTTTATTCCTTCTGTTGTTTGAGATACAGAAATGAAATCAGATCTTGAGTCTTCAGTGAATAAATCCTGTGATATTATTGCTGGTTTGTCAATCCCTACTTCTGATATGGGCCTTCCAACTATCCTGGCAGTTACTGGTTTAGCCCTTTTATTGCGGTTCACTTCTTTATGTATTCTAGGATCATGAAAACTATGTACTTTAGTATCAAAAGCTTCCTTTGCTTTGCTCTGCTCATTATGCTTATGTTTCTTCTCGGGGGTAGGAATAGCTAAAACCCGTTTAGTCCTATTACCACTCTTATTGGTTTCATTCTTCTGCAGACCAAGCCATTGGTCAACCTTTGACAATTTGATATAATTTGTCATGGCTGTCTGTCTATTTATGTTTTTCAGAATGTGAGTATTGTCAGCCCTTTGACTATCTGAACTCCTTGGCAATTTTTCTTGTTCTTGGACATCCATCATTTTAGTATCAGTTTCTAATGTGTCTTGGCTATATTCTGTTGCATTATCAGCACCGTCTCTCCCATCCAATCCTGCTATACAGCTAGCTCTGGAAATACTACGCTCTGATTTGTGATCTGGATGATCCTTCACAGGAAAAGTCACTGACTCAGCATGATGAGACGATGGCCTTCTCCTTTTTCCAGAGACCGGGACTTTCCGTTCTGAAGTTTGGAAATTTGTCCCTGATTTTTTTTGGCTGCAAATGGTAGGCCTCATAAATCTCGGTAACTTTGATATGGGAGCTGCTGTTTTATCTCCACATCTGTTCTTTGCAAGTGGTTCTTCCATAAAACTATATGCCTCAAGTTGCTTTTCAGAAAATATATTTTTTCCTGTTAGATTTTCTAATCTCTTATTCAATTTTAAAATTTCGCTTCTAATATGCAGCTGCTGATGTTCAATCTGTATCATCTTTTGCTGCAGATTTGCCATTGCTACTTCCTTCTGCTCTCTTACCTCCTGATTTCAAAATTTCACCTCATTGGTTAGTATCTTTTGATATTCTAATCATTGTTTTTTTAGAACTACAAACTGATTTTAGAGTACTTTGTGATTCATTTTAATTTTTTTCCCTTATATATTTTACTTGATATATGGAATTGCATTCTTCATAATAATTTATATTCTTGAGAAGATTTGCTCTTTTCTTAACAATATATAGGGATCGAACTACCAATGGTCTGTACATTTACTCAATACTTGTAGGATTGAATTACGAAGTTTTGCAGCATAACATTAGATGAAGTATTATGTTTACTCACTATTGTATCCTCAGTGCCTAGGTGAATGTTTTTCGCCCTTGTTGCAAAATTTAGAGAACATATGGTCTCACATAAATCTTCTTCCTTGGGACTGACATGGACTAGCATCAGTGTTTTTGAATCATCACCTGAATATAATAAGATAAAGATCTATGTAAGGAAGAATGTATAGCTCATGGCACAGAAATTGCTTTACATGCCCCTGCAAACAAGAAGGTTGACCAATCTGAAAATATGCATTTTCCTTCCATGAGAAGTCATTATTTGGGATAAGTTTTCTATTTGCTAGAAATATGAAGAACGATTGTGGTCTCAGCTTTTTTGCTATTTTATTTTTAGGAACCATTTGGTTTGTTGAAAACATGAAAATAAAATATAAATCTTCTATTAAGATTTCATCATGTTACATGGTAAACAAAAGATCCAGTATGGTATTTTATTGGTTTGGTTCACCTTTTCTGTTTATTTGGAAATTTAATCTAGTTTTAGTATAATTTTTAAGATTACCTTTCACATTTTAATTATCTAAAATGAATTTGGTATGTAATATCCAAATGGAATTCATTTCCATTCCAAATCCAATTTTACACTGAACTAATGGGCCGTTGGAGTACCACTTGAAAAGCAAGATGTAAGAATAGGGTACCTACCAAGTGAATCTTTAAGGACTTGTGTCAGCTTGCTATTCCTGCCAAAAGTAAAAAGCTGTAAGTTCGTTTTTACTCTGCGGTGCTGGATCAGTCTCCATTAGCTAGCTAAAGTGGTCATTTGTTAAGATGCAGGTTAGATAAGTGTTGCTCTCTTATGTTTGCAGAATATTGAAAGTCTAAATATTATATTTGTTTTTCAATGCTGAGAATAGTCAGGGTGAAATGTTTTATTTTTATTTGGTGTTTGCTTGTGCTATCCTAATCAAAATGTTTTGAGCTCCATCACTCTTTTTTTCTGATGAACTTCAGAAAGTATTTGAGACTCAAGATAAAGCTAAATGAATGAAATGATTCTTGCGACCAACCAATAATATCATAATGAATTGAAGCCTTGATGAGTTATACAGCAAGCTACCTGTAAGGTATGTGGCGCTTCTTGCTTTGGAGGGCATTAATAACATCTCCAAGTGCAGAGAGTGACAAGTTAATAGCTTTTCCTTCATCAAGTCTTTTCCCCCATGCCTTTGTCTTCAGCACACGCTCGCTTCCTCCAAGGTCCACTAACCAGATTTTGTTTTTTTCCCTTCGCCTCTCAGGAGCATCAAAGCAAGTTATTGCTATTCTTATCATGCTATGAGAGCAATGATAAAATAAAGATGGTTAATGGTATTCAATCTCACGGAAATTGTATAGATGATTATGATTTTCATGCTTTACTCTTCATTCATGCTAAACTGAATGGACAAGTTAAATCTTAATCAGTTAAAGCGGTTACCAATGAGAGCGGCTTGAAGTTCTGTTGGAGTTTGTAGAGGCAGTTGATCTGAAACGGCACCCTAATCTGTACAGCCGCAAAGCCTGGTGGAAATCATTAACTTGAATTGACACAAGGTTTTCGATTTCAATTCCACCCTCTGGATCTGTTTGAATTGAAAGGCTGAACATATAATGACTTGTCTTTAGTGGATTGTTGTAATGCATATATGTTATATTTTGCCAATTGACTATTCTTTTTTTTTTTTTTTTTTAATCCAAGTTTAAGAGGGGTTACCAATGAGAGCGGCTTGAAGTTCCTGTTGGAGGTTTGTAGAGGCAGTTGATTCTGAAACGGCAGCGCCTGAATCTGTACAGCCGCGAAAGCCTGGTGAAAATGCATGTAACTTGAATTGAGCACAAGGTTTGTCGATGTGTCGAAAATTCCACCCTCGTGGATCTTGTTTGAATTGAAGGCCTGAAGCATTATAATGGACCTTGTGCTTTTAGTGGATTGTTTGTAATGATATATGTTATATTGTTGCCAAATTGACGTATTCTTTTTTTTTTTGTTTTTCGAATCATGAATAGAGCGTTTGTATGTTTTGGTTTACATGTAGGCTGGTGACTATAAAATGGCAAGTTGTATGCATGAGAGTGAGTATTGGGCAAGCCAAAGGTTACTTCACCAAGGGAGAGATAGGATTACATTGGTCTTGAGGGCTTGGGACAGAGCAAGTTTTTTTTTTTTTTTTTTTTCATCATGATAACGTTGTATGTTTTGGTTACATTACTGGTGACTATAAAATGGACAAGTTGTATGCATGAGAGTGAGTATTGGGCAAGCCAAAGTTACTCACCAAGGAGAAATAGGATCCATTGGTCTTGAGGGCTTGGGGACAAGCAAGTCCTTGAGATTGCCCATATAAATCTCAAGCATACTGAAAGTGATGAGAAATGAATGGGTACTATCTGTTGCCTGCTTAAATAGTGCCTCAAATGCGCGAGGTACTACTCCAGGAGCTTCTGGTCTGCCTTCCTGAAACAGTTTTGATTTTATACATGTTAATATTATCGGATGATGTGCACTTAATTACCATCTTCATCTGAAGATTAGCTCACCATTGTGAATGTTTTTCCAGTGCCTGTCTGCCCATATGCAAAAATGCAAGCGTTGTAACCGTCAAGGACGGATTTGATGACTGGTTCAACTTCCGAAAAAACTTCATCTGCAAATATATTTGTGGTAAGAAGAAAGATTAAATTTGATTTTAATTTAGTTTATTATTGATTAATTGATTACCTTGTGATGAGCCTGGCTGGAAAACTCTATCGAAACTGTAACTCTTACTCTTACTATCAGCAAGTTTTAGAAGAACATTACTTGAATCGACAGCCACTACTGGTCTTATCTGACCAAAATTATCTCCTAATGTGATAGGTCTTATTCGACAAAACACGCGAATGTTTCCTGCAACGAGCAAATATGACGAGCATCTGCCTCAAATCCAAGATGAAATTGAATATCAAATCCGAAACCTTGCAGTTGAGACAGCAACTCCAATTTCAATGTTAAAAAGGAAACATGTATAACTGACCTTTCAAGTCCAGAAAAGCATTCAGCAGCTGCCTTCTCTGTGTGCTCAATTGGTTTATTTGGCTAGTTAAGGCAGCAACCTCATCTGTAAGTTTACAATCAGAAATTAATTAGTTAATTAATAATTAACAGCAACATTAAACTCCTTTCAAAAAACAGCAACATTAAAAATTAATAAAAAAGACATAATTTGTTTCAATTACCTTGAATTCTTGAAGTGGCATTAGCAGAATCATCACTATCAATGTTGGTTACCTTGAATTCTGATGGTAGCTTTTGAACTATATCACAAACTGATTTAACCCAGTTTGGAGTTGCACTAGCTTTTAGACCCAGTAGGGCATGTAGAGTTTCGCCAAGGTTTCGGAACAATTTTCTTGAGTCCATGCTTGTTTCATTTCCGGGACTACAAAAGTTGCCCAGGAAGATTACAACTTGGGAAACTCATTCAAATTCAGTCAAAACTGTTGAATGACTGACCAGTACAAGTTTCCATGGTATTCTATAATCCCTGACCTGTTGGGTCTTTTAGAATTAATATTTATATGCACAAGAAAGAGAGAGAGAGAGAGAGAGAGAGAGAGAGAGAGAGGGCTTGAAATTTCAAATACTGGGAGCCTGAGGAAAGAATCTATGTGACTAAAACATGTAGGAGAAAAGTCTGCAACCACCTTAATCTAGTTGTTATGATTATTATTATTATTATTATTATTATTATTATCATTATTATTTTTAGACATTTCACTGAATTCCCCATGTGAAATCATCAGGAAAAACAATATCTGAATTGGTTTCATATGTGGTACAGATTATTATTGTTGGCTAAGTTGGTTTTTGCCTCGATGACAAAATACCAACAATACTTTTGTATTTATGTATGAAAGTGAGACACAAGCACAGAGAGGGTCCTATGTATATATATATCTATACACACACTTCATTCTTCATCTAGACATTGTATTAACGAAGCTCACCAACCACACACTATATATTTATATCCTGACATTCTGTATGTTTCAATTAATCTTTCATGCATTGAGCTTATTTGGTTCGTTAAGCATAAACAATTTAGGAGCAACCTAAAATTCATATTTATTTTAATTACGTTTTGACAAAGGCTATTATATTGCTAGTTAATTGTTATTTTTTTTTATTAAATTTGATTTTAATTAGAAGTTTTAGATTTAACCTTATAGTTTCACATATGGTTGCATATATATTTAGGATTATATATAAGTATGCTGAGTTATGATCCTAATATAAATAGTTGCATCTTTAACGTGACTCTTTGAAATTCTAAAGTCTAGTTCCGCCCGCGGCATATTTAATGTGGCAAGAAGCTAGAAATGTTGAAGATAGTTTTGTTTTTGTAGGGGAATTTTCATTTTTGGTGTGCAAACCACGCTATTACAGCCAAAGAATGGACCACAGAGAGTACTGTTCCAACCTACGATAATGACACAAACAACAAGAAATGGTTAAAGAATTATTAGAATCTGATGGTAGTATTAAGTACGTACCATGAATATTTGGGGAATGATCATGTTTCTCTGCATTAACCCAACACCTCAAACCATTCATTGGTTACCAAAATTATTTATTATTTAGAAAAAATCACAATGTGAACTTCTCCGAGGACTTTCGGATTCTGTAATTATATTTTTGGTAATTGCATATACTGTGCATGTGAACTTCTTTGAGGCAATCGACACAGTGTTATCATCACTATACACAAAGATAATATAGTTTATGAGGAAATGTCAAGTTATAAGTTTTTGCTCCATTGAACTTGCTTATAAATGAAAATTAAAACCATGAGAGTGCAAAAACTTCAGCTTATTTCCTTTTTTAAGAATTTTTTTTTTTTTTTTTTTTGGTTTTTTTTTTTTTGGAATCGAGAGGTTTAATCTCTCGAGTCATTACAGGCGTAAATTACCTCTTTTGACCTTGAGGTCGCTTACCACCCCAAATTAATATTCTTGTTAAATTCCTTTTTTTAGAATTCTTTACTTCCCCTATTTTCAAGATAACCCCCAACTAAATCATTTAAGCGCTTCTTTCACCACGAGTATTAAAAAATAATTAATTTTTTTTATTATAACGAACAACTAAAGGGCGAGTAATTTCGGTAATTTTTTTTTTTTTTTTTTTTGGTAATCGAGAGGTTTAATCTCTCGAGTCATACAGCGTAAATACTTTTTGACCTTTGAGGTCGCTTACCACCCCAATTAATATCTTGTTAATTCCTTTTTTTAGAATCTTTACTTCCCCTATTTCAAGATATAAATCATTTAAGGTTTTTACACGAGTATTAAAAAATAATTAATTTTTTTTAATATAACGAAACTAAGAGTAATTTGGTAACTTTTATCTCAAAACTAAGAGTAATTTGTGAAGGCAGTTATTATATCTAATATAAATTAGGATAACATTGGAAAAAACATAATTTATTATTCTTTAAAATACTCAAAACAACTTATATTTTGAAATAAATAATCACAAAAAAAAAATGACTTATATTTTGAAATGGATGGAATAACATATAAAAATGGTGAATCTATTTTCTTGCTTTTAAGCAACAATATGGGACAATTTTTTTTTTTTTTTTTTTTTTTGAAAGAAGAAAAAATTTCCATGAGTATCTCCACACCTAATTTTGGGTATAAGTCCTCCGGACGAGTATTTGCTTTCCATATATTAAATTCCAAACCCTATAGAAATAAATTATCTGTTGAGCTTAAACAATGGCTTATGAGCAAACAGTAATTGGGATTCAAATTAGATGTTTGTTGGCAAAGGAAAATGCGGGGTTGCTGCTTCTCTTTATCGTGACACAGTGATAATATATAAATGAAGCAATGTAGGGTTGAGGAGAAAGCATGCAATTTGCAAATATAAGCTAATTAAGCTTCATAACAAAGTAATGGTAACGAGGAAAGGAACATTCTCCTACTCCCCAAAAGCGACAATCATAGCATTATAAATAACTTTTTTATTTGAAGGAAAGGAGAAAAGCTAAAGTAACAGTATTGAGTGCCTCTATAAAAGGATGACTAAATATTATAAGAGACTTTATCAAGGATCACTACGGTTTGGTTTCAAATTGGAATCGAATTCAAACTGAAAACCTATCAAAATCGAACTAAACTATGGCTAAATGGTTTCAAATCATAATCGAAACCATGTATTTAAGATTTGATTCTAGTTTTTTATTTTTTAAAACTGAAACCAACAATTTTAGTTTAAAACTGATGGTTCTAGTGAAAAATATATTGTTAAAGAAACTCTCAATTTATTTTTTGTTTTATTATAATTTTTTAAAATATAATTTTAAAAGTTTTTATTAAATTTCTTTAGTGTTTTTTAATAGTAATATTTATCATTATTATTATTGTTATTATTTATTAAAGCTACAAATCTAAAAAAAAATAAAAAGCTTGAAATAAATTATCTAATTTCGATTCCAAAACAGAACCGTTAGTTCCAAAATCATCTCAAAAACTGCCTAAAAGCGGTTTGATTTCGGTTCCACTTTTTTATGTTTCGAACCAGATATTTTGAAACCAAATCCGACGATTCTGAAACCGTAGTTATACATTTCTATCTCTTTGTTTGGATGGAATAAGGGAATATTTAATGGTTTTTTATTATTTTTTATTTTATTTATTATTATTGTTTTTTTTTTTTGAGAGGAAGATAAAACAAAAGAAAGTTTAATTACTTTGTGTTGTTAGGTTTCTTTTTGGAAATATAATTCATAATTATAATATTAAACATTACAAATACTTAAGTAAATAAGATATGGAAGACGCTAATAGAGTTCGCTGATCTTTTAATAAACCAAAAGAATTATGTATATTCTTTTTTAAATGACAATACTAAAAATAAAAGAGATAACATACCAGTCATTTAATCTGTATAGTAGTAACTAGTCATTTAATTGATTCGAACAATAAAATACTAACTCCTCTAGATTTTCTATATATGAACTGTTTTTTCAAGAACTTGTTGCAATATATAACATACACAGATGAGTTCCAGCCATTATGCATCAATAGTATAGAGGAACATCTCGCACTATCAGATTCCATTAATCAAAGATCTACATATGCAAATTAATATCAAAGGTCTACAACCAAATACAATCAAATATTATACTTTTATTTAGAATAAATGTCCACAAAAAAGGAATAAAACCTCTTACAAAGAAGGAAACAAAAAACTCTAAATATGAAGACAAAATAATAATAACAAACACCAAAATAGATATATTATAAGATAGAAATATGAGTTTGTTGAAAATGATTAAAAGAGAGAAAGAATAAAAGAAAAGAATAGACGATAGGAGCTATTGTTGATCAACAACTGTGACTTCAAACTTAAATTAGAGTTAAATAACTAGAGAGAAAAAAGAACTAATATAAACATGTGTAAAATTACATACCATCCTGTTAACGAGGAATGCAGTAAAAAAATTTTTAATGTGGATTCGAAACTTATTATTTGAAATTTGTATGCTCATCTTTGCTTCTCCTATTCTTTCGTGTGACAATCTTAGTGCTAATGGGATAGATTTTCAGTTTGATCGTGATTTGGTTTGCCAAAAGCAACTTCAAGTGCTGTACGTTTCCTCTCTTTATCAAGTAACTAATGTGTAATTGACAAAGTCGTTACTAAAAGCTCTCTTTCGCGCTCTTTGTGACAAATTGACCGTGTTTGCCTATTCACCTTGCGAGGGATAATGAGAAATAAATTCCAAATAAGCCAAATTTTAGGACAAAGACATACTTTTACATTATCAATATACATACGAAGGGTAAATTATATCAATGGTCACTTAATTTTACATTTAGTTTTATGTAGGTCACATAATTTCAATTTGTCATTTCTTAGTCACCCAACTTTAATTTTTATTTTAATAAGAGGTCAATTACTGAAATTCGGTAATCGGAATAGTAACATAACATTAAAAATTACATATATCACAAAAATAAAATCATGATTGTAAAGGAATATAAAAAAGAAAAGGAAATAGTACTAGACAATATAAATAATAGAGTGAAAATTTTTTTTCTTCCATTTTTTTAAAACTTATTTCATATAAATGATATTATTTGTTAAATAAATTAATAGATAGATTCTAAATTAATCTATTAGGAGAAAATATAAATTTTTTAAAATATAAATTTTTATTTTTATAACCATGTTAGTATCTACGATGACAGTATTTCGGTAAGTGATCTCTCATTAAAACAAACATTAAAGTTCAGTGACTAAAAAATGACAAATAAAAGTTATGTGACCTTATGAAATTAAATGTAAAGTTAAGTGACCATCGATGTAATTTATCCTACATACGAAATAAAAGTTTTACATCAAGTTTGAGAATTGACATTGGTTAAGTTGCAATTAATGCAATTCTATGTAAGGTATGACCATGAAAAAAATATAAGAATAGCAAGAAGGAAATTTTCCATTCTTTACTGATTGTATACATTACATATGAGATAGCCATATCTTAAAACCAAATTAATAAATAAGGTCATGTAATTAATTAGTTCATAGATAGATTGATTTTTTTGTTAATGTCTTTTCCAATAAGAAAAAGAAAAAAAGAAGAGAGATTTTCTAATTTGGTAATAACATTTTGAAACAAAGAAAAAACATGAATACCCACACTTAAAAAGGAGAGAAATATTGAGAGAATAAGATAAGAAATAGTTCATCATTGTCGAAGTTATTATATGTAAGATAAGAGAATGACTTACCTATTCCCGATGTATGAGCCCACTTATATACGAAATCAACTATTATTTGTAACTTATAACATAACGAGGGCATATATAAAAAATTAATATGTCATCAAAGGTCTGGCATGCAAAGCACAAAGAAACACGTAGCCAAAGACAACTTGCCAACTCCATTGTTCTTTTAATTCGAATTTAAAATACATAATTAGTCGGCAAGTCATCCTTGGCTGCATCCCTCTTTGCACATTTCTACAGGCCAGGCCATAGCTGAAAATCTCCATTACTAACTATATAGTGTATATATATATAATTATAAGGAAGAGAGGTAGAGAAGAGAGGAGTTTAAAGAATGGATGAGTTAATGTATATATACAGAAAGAGAGAGAGAGAGAGAGAGAATGATGGATGAAGCAGACAACTACTAGAACAATCCTTTTATGGCCCCAAATAGAGATAAGGTTGTTTCTTCCATTTTTTGATATATATATATATCATTTTTGCATTTATGTGATAACGCAAATTAAAGGAAGCCAAATAAATCTTTAGCGGCTGAACCAAACAGATAATTTTTTTTTTTTTTTTTGAAATAAACTTTTATAAATAAAAGAAAACCAGATAAAAACTTAGCATTACAAATCAAACTAACCCCGACCAGTAGATCGACACCATGTACCCAACCTATTATCAGAAAACGATCTTATCAATAACATCAAAATGCAACTTGAAAAATAAAAAGTTGAAGCTTTTCTCCATACCAGTTTGCCGGCATTAATAATAGCAGCTTTAACCAAGACATGGGCTACCATATCAGCTTTGAAGCCTAATCCATTAGAAAAAAAGGCTGTAACCTTGTTTATCATTAGATACATGTGGAAAACAGTAATAAATTATGATATATAAACAGAACTAATTTGTCACAGTCATATAGATAACGTTTTATACAGAAATGGTGTGTGTTGGCAGTGCAGAAATAATACTCACGTGACCGTCATTATTTGCATCCGCGTATTTTTTTATAAAAAACTTTAACACACTTACACTATTTTTTTCATATATTTAATACTTTATATTTATAAAATTATATTTATTAAATACTTTAATTTTACTTATTAAAAACTTCAACTTATAAAATTAAATTAACTAAAAATTTACTCCTTTTGTCCCGAAAAGATTGTTTTCTTTTTCTACAAATTATAAGAACATGCAATTATTGTAGTGATAATTCACGGTGTTTCCCTTTTCTGTACATAATAACTTAGCTTCAAATTTATAGATATCATTAAAAGCAATTACATGTAAATGTGAATTTATCAAAGGGTAAAATCGGAAAGAAATTTAAATGCATACTATAAATAAAAGTGGACAATTAAATAGTTAAAATATAAAAATTATTATTTCAAAACTTATATCGATCACATATCAAGTTAATTATTATTTCAAAACTTATATCCATCACATATCAAATTCAGCATGCAAGATTATCAAATTTTAAATTTTAAAATGCCGTAAAATTGGTAAAAATAGAGGAACAAATTTATGGAAATGGCTCTTCATTAATAAAAAAAGTACATATCCCTAGAGTTTCTCCAAAGGGCAAGGAGTGAGAAATATAGGAAAATAGACATAAAAGTTAGTGAGAAAGGAATCTAATCTAATGAATACACATATAAAAGAATACGTATTTGCATATTTAACAGAACAAACATGTAAACGTGAGGTTGAGTGCTGCGATACGTATTTGTTAAAATTTGGGGCAGTGAAGTGGACCCAAACATCGAGACTTGGTGGTGTTGTTTCTGAACTTTTTTTTTTTTTTTTTTTTTTTTTTGAATACGGTATTTGCATATTATAACAGAACAAACATGTAAACGTGACGGTTTGAGTTCTGCGATACGTATTTGTTAACATTTGGGGCAGGGAAGTGACCCAAACATCGAGACTTGGGGCTGGTGTTGTTTTCGAACTTTTTTTTTTTTTTTTTTTTTTTTTTTTTTTTTTCTTTTTCTCATTTTAAATTTATTTGTTAAAATAGAAAAAGAGCCATGTTCTTCTTCACCGTCACAAAAAGAGGTTACGTATTAGGATGTCTCTCTTTCCCAGAAATATTTTCCTCACACATTCCCATTTATGTGGTAAGGTCACTGTAAGGATTCAAACAATTGATTTACCCCTTATCCTAAGAAACATAAAATTAGAGATGGTTATTCGGGCACCAAGTGTCTATGTTAATAAATTCTTTTTAAAAATTTTATAAAAATACAAAACACACGTAAAATTTAAATATTCGAATAGAAATCGATCATTCTCACTTATTTGAAGGGTTTTACTTCAAGTATTTTCACTAATTTGATAGTTTATTGTGTAGTCACATTGTTATTTCAGTCCATCGAGCCTCCTAATAAATTAAAAAAATATTTAAATAGACTTTACAGACATAATATATCAGAATATCCGGGATTTTATATGCTTTTTAATTTCACTCTATTTTGATATTTTCTTCAATTTTACCTCAATTTCACTTTATTTTGATATTTTCATCAATTTTACCTTAATTTCACTCTATTTTGATATCATAATATCTCAAATTTTAGAGAATTTTCAATTTCACACCATTGACCTTTCTGTGAATTTTACCTCAATTTTTTATAGCAATAGCACTCTTATTTTAACTTTTAAAATAAATGTACTAATTAATAATTTAATAGCATAAATTTTTATCACTTATCAAAGAATTTCTTGATGGCATAAAAATTAAATTAATAAAATAAAACCCTTTTCAACTATGTATTTTGCTTTCATATTATTTGTACTTTAAGAATAAAATAATCCAATTATTGTAATTTTTTCCATTGATAATCTAGCGAAATTTAAGAAAAAATAAATAGATAACTTCTTAATATTTAATTGCATGTCTCAAATATCATATTTGAAATCTATAAATGTGAATATAATTTGATATTCAAAGTACATTTAAAATTTTATTTTTATTATTATTGTTGTTATTATTTTTTAATTTATTTAAAAACAAGATAGTGAGGGTGAACTAAAATTTAAAAGTTAAGTGTCTATATTAGGATTCAAACTTATAATCATATTTTAATATCAATAAACCAAATTAATTAGTCAGTTTAAAAAAAAAAAATGTGATTACAAGACAATAAAATTAAGTGAAAAAATAAAAGTATTTTAGTATAGAAATACATTTCAACCTTTTGAAGTAATATCTTAAAAAAGATTGGAAATATTTTATTTATTTATTTTTAATTTCATTCTATTACTAGTACAAAAGGCCGAAATTATGGTAAAAAAAGAAGTCAAAATATGATGAAAAGGGAAAAGCTCACAAAATTCAGAATACTCTATTTCATTAGGCCGACTTTACAAGTCCAGCCTAGCATATTATAATATTCTAACTCACTCGACTCAACTCAATTTTAGTAGACTCAAACTTTATCACCATTGGAGTGGAGAAATTCATACTGAAGCAAATGATTCAGAAAGCCCTTCAAAGAACTGGGATTAACGAGGCATTTCAGTCTTCACCACAAACACTTCCTATTGCGTTTGATGATAGCAGTAATTTAAATTTGTGAACAAAATTAACTTAGAGGGTTTTCACCTCATGTGCATGGCATCAGACTATGTTTACCAAACTAGAAACATAAGCAGAAAAGGGCAAACCCTGCAAGGAAGTAAAGCACATACCTGAACTTGAACAGAGGAAGAAATATGCACCTAAGACAAATTGAGACGGGGCCCTTTGGGTGCATAATTTTTCCTCTTGATGCATTTCGTGCACTGGTAGCTAAATATTTGACGAATAGAGCAATGCCATCCATTTCTGACTACTAGTAATAATACAGCAGAGCAGACAGTGTCAGATCATACATGTTAAAAGGCAATAGCATAATTTCCTGTCCATTTTCTTTCCAAAATTGAATTGGAGATTGAAAACAACAGGAATTTGTAAAACTCCAAAACACAGCTGCATGTCGTTCCCATTATAAAAACTCAATAATTGTTCGTATAGAGACTAGATTTTTCAACTTGAACATCTGTGCAAGCACAACAGCTAAAACTTTGAATCTGATCATAAATTTTCATTACAGGGCCAATTTAGGTGATATTTTTCCCATAAAACCTACTAAAATGAAGAATAATATGACGATTACATTGGACAAGGATAAACAAAAATGCACAAGGTTACATAATTTCAACAAAAACAAAAGTGTACTCCATTATTACCAATATCATAGAATGCCCTTACCAAGTGGACTAAAATCACAAGGCAACATTTCTGTTCAATAAGAATAGATTATGAGAGCAACTAATCTGCTATACTAGTGCCAGGAACAGAGGCGTCGGTGCATAACACAAGGGTACTATCTCACAGAAAACCAATTAAGAATCCTGGGGTGTCTCAAATTTTGTTGGAGTATCAATGCCCATCATACAGCAAAGGCCTGATATTAAAATGATAAGCAAAACGATCCCCTGGAAATATCAGCAGATACATCAGAACATCAAAAGCATTACTAATTAGTTGGAAGGAAGGAAAGCAAGAGGATTAGTACAATGTATCATGCACAACTACAGCATAGACAAATTACAGAATTTTGTTGCCAAGATCAAGAACCAAAGAGCTAATCAATTTACTGAACTACTTATTTCACCCAAAAACATAAACAAACTTGCAGCTAAGGCACTTGCCTCTTCATTAGCTTTGCTCCAGTTTAAAGTAAGCTTATCAGCCTTTCGCACAAAAGGTCATTCAGGACACCAAAATAAAAAATAAAAAAAAGGGGAATTTTTGGCCAAAATTCAAAGGGGACTCGTGTTCATTTAACCTCAGGAGCTAAACTTGGCTCCAGTTTAAATTTGAAGGTTTATTGCCATTCCCCAAAAGCTAATCAGGTGTTAACTCGCCTCTTTTAATCAAACAATGGATGCTATGTGGACATGGCATTCCCCTAGTCTAGAATGATGCGAGAATGATCAATCATACGGATTGTGCATTTTTTGGTTATAACCAAACTGAACAAATGGTTTGCTTCGGTTTTGCTTATTTTTTTTTGGGTTAGCACATGTGTCTTCATGCTAGCGCCAAGAATGGTATTCAGGTAAACTCCTACTAGTTTCAAACCTTTGACCTTAGGGAAAGTTGGCCTAGGAATACAAATGACTATCCCTTATCCAATCACCTATTGGTTGCTTTGGTTTGGTTACTTGTGTATAAAAATATAAGTTTTCAGTTATCAGTTCAGCTACCTAGAAAACAGTAACTAAACAAACCAAATACCAAATTTTTAATACATATAAAATATATTTTTATTAATAGTATATTATTTATAATGAAATTTTATTGATAAAATGTAATATGTAATGATTTCAATGATAACATATGATCATATTTATACTTTTAATTAATTATATACTGATTAATAAATATTTAATTTATAAATTCTAATTATTTGGTTATTTTGATTATAACCAGATAACTGAACTGAATATTTTGGTTTAATTATATTAGGTTCTCTCCATAAGTTAGTTCAGTTAGTTTTCCAATGGTGTTAAAAAATTTTGATTCGTCAAATTTTCAGTTCTGTTCATTTTTCAACTAACTGAATTCTTATGGTGTTAATAATGGAGAGATTATGGAGGCTAAAATTTAAGAAGACTAAAGCCGGTTATGCTCACAATCTATCCCACAATATAGGAGACCGTAGGTAATAGGAGAATTCTCATTTGAAATCTTTCTTTCTAGTATAGCATTGCAAAAGATGAATCACACAAACATGGAATTCAGGAAAATACAAATTCAATGCTCAAAATGTTAAAGATGATTGTCTAGATTTCCTATACAGTTTAGATATTATATGACGGCAAGAGTTTTATAATTTGTTTATTCAAAAGTAAGCTGTTGATTCATTACTTTAAGGGCAAGTTTGTATAATTTTTAACTTTACTCGACAATCAATCAAAAATGTTTGGGCAGTCTTTATTTTTATTTCAGAATCTAGTTCGAGTCTTTGTTGCCTTACTACAACACTTTTCTTCTTAATATTCTGTGGAAGTCCCAAAATCCAAGTCCTTAGTGAACGGGACTGGTTTTGAAATTTTTTTACTTCTCACGGGATAATCACCACAAGCATTAGCCTTAACATTGTTAAGGATTAATTTGGGTGTATAAAACTCATGCATGTTCCTTTTTTTAATTCAGTTTTCAATGAATGAAATTCCAGAAAACTATGATTTTATTAAAACAGAATGCAGCACTATTAAAGCCGAATGCAAATGAAGGATCATAAAGGGAACATACAACTAGAACTCCCTCCAAAAGCGATGATTTGATCTTGCAAACTTCATCACAATGTGTGGAATTGAGTGATACATTTCCAGCAGTACTTTCAGCAAGAAACCTTTCCAGTTCTCGATGAGTAGGGTACTGGACTGATCGAAATGGGTCTGAAATATAGAGTACTTCATACTTTGCCCCCAATGTCTCCACAGAACTGATAAGCTCAGACAAAATTTCACCTGCACATTTAATTTGATCTATCTGCATAAACATTTTTCTGAGAGAGAAGAAATGACATTAATCAAAAAGTTCTGACATCCTCTAGCAACAAAGAAATTAGCGCACTTTCAGTTTGTGGTTGCTCAAGTCCTTTTGCAGAATAGGAGCCTGCATTGCAGAATACAACCAGATCTGCTTGCTCACTTGGTCTCTTTTCCATCTTTGAAACCAGAAAATCCTGTTCATAATTTGCAAATCGAAAGATAATTAGAAGTTTGTCACAGATCCCTATTTCATGATTAGTGAAACAAACTTTCAAGTTGACTTACATGAACTGCATGCACGTCTGCAAGCTTCTGAAAGTTGTCGCCTTCTACAAAGCATGACTCTGAAAAGGCAATATTTTTTATTCCTGAATCCTGCCCACAAGTTTCTGCAAAACCTGAAACCAATGATTTCTCCACTGTCTCCCCCTCTGATGCAGCAACATATGGGAATGCCAAGGAGAAATTGGACTTCGTAAAAGAGGCCTGTTCAGACCACGATATAACGTAAGAATAATAAAATTGGGGGGATTGTTATAAATTTTATGAATCCCAGTTTGTTGGATAAAACTGTAAAAAAAGGTTAACATACACAGACCCCATTACCTTGAGCAAGTTCACTAGAGCAGGGTCTACATTTTTGCTTGTGGAAATATCTGAGGACAGCAACTATCAACAACACAAATTACACAATCAGTACACTATATTTGAATAGTAATTAGCATGAAAGGGGGCACCAAGTAAATTAAACAGCCAATCATACATCACAGTGAAACAACGTTAATGTAAAAGGATTGACATATAGTTGACTGTTTCTACTAATATGTAGCTTGATACTGATGACAAATGACGTCCCAAAGTTTCTTACCTCTCTACCAACAAAAACAAGTGCCAGATCAACAGGCTGCTGAAGTTTCTTTTCTGAACACTACATGGAAATAAAAATTTAAAAGGATTAAAAAGGAACAGGCTATCCAGAGAAAGGGAGAAAAATAACATATAAAAATTCTTAACTTCAATTTTTTTAGAAGATATCACATGTATAGAATTTTAAAAAGAATTGAAGCAAACTATCAGCATAAAGGAAAGCTAAGAACCAGTAAATTTGACCAGCCCCCTTCAGACAGAATGGACCTGGCAAGATCCCTTGAAGAAATGGTCTGATAATTGACAACATCCATTCTGTTGTTTGAGAACCTGCAGTCACTCAGATTAATATAGTATGAGATTCTGATTTTGCAGAATTTGATACAACAGATACTGGAATAAGGAATATGACTAATACGGCATAGTTTCTAACCACATCTGGTTTGCAACTATCTCAATGAAAGTGAAGCACATACAGCATTTAATTGCAAATCCATGATATTGATTGATGATAACAACCATGGTTCTAAAGCCTGCCTCCAGCCACCGTTTGAGGCCAAAGTGCCAATGGAAGAGGCAGATGGACAACATAAGATGACTAAGTCCATCAAAAATCATGAACCTTTATCTTTTGTTATTTAAAATCGGAAAACCGGATCATATAGACAAATCTAGAAAGAGTTTTATTATACTCATCTTTTGTGTTTTGAAGATTCTTGTTTTTCTTCTCTAGCTTCTCTTCAATTTAATCTATGCTTGCTAATCATTGGGCTTCATAGATTTCTTGGTATTAGGTTGGTTTAATTCGACTTCATTTTCAATTCTAAGAATCATAATGTTAGCCCAAAAATTTTCCTTGCTATGTCCCTGTTTGGTTCCTAACTTTAAAAATTTTTTTAAATAAATTCTGACACGGTAAGTGGTGCATCAGACACATGACCACGCTTTGTCTCTATGTCCCAGTGTCCGACACATTAGGGACACTCGCACAGCAGACCAAGGGAAATCACCATGCTTCCTAGAATGCAATTATTTCAATAAGATATGAATAAATTCCCATAGTTGAGAGATTAGAATTTTGAAACATTGCATTTATTCCTGCATTTGCAATACCTTACTGTAACTACTGGACAATATTAGTAATCTCCCGAAAATTCCTATTGACTAAAAATGAAATGTCTTCCAAGTACTTTCAATTAAACAATTCAGCTAATAACAAATAACAGATATGCTAAAACCGAATTAACTTCTCTAAGCTTTTCCAACTTGGTGACTTGCTGGCCCCTGCTTTTCTTCCATTTTCCCATAAGACAAAACTTGAATAGGATGTTTATTCAAAACCATAAAATTTATTGAAAACATGAAAAGCCTCAATCTTACTACCATTTCATCATTCTTGTGAAAACAAAATCTCTCCAATCTTCTCAATCCTTAAACTCAGATAGCGTTCAGAATAAATCTATATAGAATTCAATCCATTTGCAAATGAATTTTCATATTTGGATAAATATGTATGTAGTTTTACTAACTTGTACTTAGGGTTCATTAGCTCTAAAATCTTGTATTCTTTTTTAAGCTGAGAGTTCATTTGCAAATTCTATCAATTTGGTCCAAGCATAAACAATTCCATAGAATTAGTTACGCTTGATTCCAAATGAATTTTCATTTACAAACACCAAAAGTGAAATTGAGGAAACCGAAAAAATTGGATTTATAAACGAATTTCATAAAATTTTAGCTCTTAAATAATAACTGATAACCGCCAGCACGTTACTTAAATTCTAAGACTAGATTCACACATTTTCACATTACTAGCCATGATCAAAATAACTATACACATACTTACCCTAAATCTGATCCACAAATTAACAGTACACTTTCATAATATGCAATATCCTACAAATTAAACAACAAATTATACTAATTAGAGAAAACAAAAGAGGAAACGTACCGATGATCGCGATGGGAAGACCAGAGAAAAGCAGGCACTGTGGTTGGGAAAGCAAACAGCAATTGAAACTGAACTGTAACTAACAAAAATGATATCGTAATAGCCTTCACCATCATCGCCATCGTCTTTTTGCCCTGAACACCGTACATACAAAATCAGTAATTAAGTTCGCCATGAATTTAGGAAAAAATGGAATCGAATCGAAGCGAAGCAAAGCAATTTTAATCGGCAATTAAAAGTTAAATTCAATAAACAAAAGAGTAAATATGAAACCAACCGGAGAGGCAGAGAAATCTAGAAGAAGGGAGAAAGCAATTTAATCAAGAAAGAGTATTTTGTATATCACAGACACAGAGCGGATCTGATTATGGAGTCATTAACTTTAAAGATCCAAAACGGGAAAAAGAAAAACCCCTTCTCAGACCAGTAATTTCCTTCCATCTTTTATTTATCAGCATATTCAGCACCTTCCTCCAGCGGATGAGAAACGGTCTGGGCCCGCAAACGGTGTCGTTTTTTTTTTTTTTTTTTTTTTTTTAAACCCCCTTCTCAGACCAGTAATTTCTTCCATCTTTTATTTATCAGCATATTCAAAGCACCTTTCCTCCAGCGATGGAGAAACGGTCTGGGCCCGCAAACCGGTGTCGTTTTTTTTTTTTTTTTTTTTTTTTTTTTTTTTTTTCTCTAGGAAGCATATTTATTTTTTAAAATACAGTCCAAATCAATTAAATTAAATACTAATCATAGTTCTTTGCTTTAAAATAGCCAAATAAAAAATTTATCACTAGAACATTACGAGCATAAATCCCGTCACGATGTGCCGATTAATTATTATAAACTAAAATTTGTAAATTTAATTTTGAAGTATGTCATAATTATGGAATTTAATACTGCATAATAATTTATATTTATTGACTTCATCCATAATAATTTTAACTCTTACATAATGATATTATACTAACAGTAACATGCATACTATAATAGTATTTATACATTTTGGTCTAATATAGTTTGATTAAAATATCTATTATTGGATGATTATGTTTTTTCAATTGAATGAAATTGAAAATCTATGCATATACGTTTGTGCTTGTGTTGAATTAATACAAATATACAATTTACATAGCATGTAGCATGTATAAAGATGTTTTAAAAAAAAAAAAAAAAAGGGGAAATATGCAATTTACATAGCATGTAGCACGTATAAAGATTTTTTCTTTTTTAAAAAAAAGTGGTAGGAATATAGTTAAGGAAGATAAAAAAAAACTTGCATGGGCAAACAATATTGTTATATTTATTAACTTTCTTCAACAATAAGGTTCTCCCTATGATGGGAACGTAGAAAAGATTCCATATTCTATGCCAGTAGACTCGTGAAATCTATGTACTGAGTCGTCAAATGAGCCACGTTAAGAAAGCATTAGGGTTCTCTCTCTTGGGAATTAGGGTTTCGCTCTTTGGCGTTTAGAGTCACCTCTACATGGGGATTGGGTTTGGTTTTTTCTGATCTCGTTCGGGTTTCGTCTTTTATTCGTGTCTTTTCTTGAGTTGTCTTGTCCCTTTTCGTGGTTCTCTTTCGTCTCTCTCTTGTTTTCACTTTGTTCATTCTGTGTCTGTCATTTTTCTAGTGTTGTAACGTTGTAAGGTTAGTGTGTCGTCGACTTCTCTCCTTAGACTTGTTCTCTGCTGTCGTTCTGTCTTAGGGTGTTCTAGTCTATAGTTTTTGACTCTAAATTCTTCATATTAGGCGGGTGTGGACTTGAGGATGGCTGATAGTAGTTGTGAGGGTGCTAGGCAGGGGGTTGGTGAGGAGGTTATAGTGATCCCTGAAGAGGCGTATAGTGAGGATGTAGCAAAATTTCAGTTATGTGTTGCGGATAAGCTATGGTCGAATTGCCCTTATAATAAATTTGCTCTTATGGACCTAATGCAAAGAGCCTAGAAGCCGAAGCATGGAGTTATTATGCCAGAATGGGATAAGGAGGTGCTGCTATTCCAATTCTAGCACTGGCAGGATTTGCAATATGTTCTTGATAATTCACCTTGGCACTTTCAGAAATAGCTTCTTATTCTTAAGCAAGTTACTAGTGATGAGCAACCCTCAACCTTAGAATTGTTCCACTCATCTTTATGGTTCTGTGCTTATGATTTACTGCTGAAGGGGATGAATCAAATGGTTGCCAAAATGTTAAGGGATAAGCTGGGAAAGTTTGTTGAACAGAATGAAGATAAGGATAGGGGTTGGGGTAAATATATCAGATTTCGAGTGGAGCTGGATTTGAGGAAGCTTTTAAAGAAATCTCTCTCTCTCTTAGTATAGGGGGTAAGGCTTTGGTTGTTTCGTTAAAGTTTGAAAGGCTTCCCAATTTTTATTACTATTGCGGCCGTTGTGGGCACTCATACAGACAGTGTGATTTATTGTCAAAGGAGCGAGAAGTTGACCAGTCTCTGCTTGTGTTTGATGAAGGGATTAGAGCCTCTCCATTCTGGAATTCAGTGCGTCTATCAGCAGGTTTTGTAGGATCGAATTCTATTCGTCATCAACTTTTTCCCAAGCTACATCAGGACCAGGGTGTTATGGACAATCTTGATACAGATGCCACGAACCCTGTAGAATCTAATGGATAGGAGCGGGAGGTGGTTGCGGAGTCCAATTTGGGTAATAATGTGATTGGTGTAGATGAGGTTCTTAGCAAGCTTAAACAGATGAATGTCCGAGTCTCGTCCCATAATAAAGATGTTAGTATTGACGATGATTGCTTTACTAGACTTATGGAGGGTTTTTCTGTGACTCACAAGGTTAGTTCGCCTCAACAACCTAATACTAATTTAAATTCAACTGTTCCTTCCAGCCTTTCTTCTGTTTCCACAACCCATACTATCCCTAGTCCCCCCCCCCCCCCCCCCCGCCTTTCTTTCTGTTTCCACAAATCCCATACTATCCCCTTAGTCCCCCCCCCCCCCCCCCCCCCCCCAATGTCCCTTTCACTTACTTGCACCTGTTCCCTTAATTAGCAATCCAGCTTATAGTCCACCCCCCCCCCCCCCCCAATGTCCCTTTCACTACTGCACCTGTTTCCCTTAATAGCAAATCCAGCTTTAGTCCACATACCCCACATGTTGATCCTAGTGACCAACCAGCTAAAGCCAGTGCTGTTATCTCTCCTATCCTGAATGATCCTTACCTTTCTGCTAGTTCAGTTGACCTTAATAATTCTTCTCCTATTCTTTCGACCACTCCTAGCCAGTTCACCTATACCAAGACACCATCCAAAATTTCTTAGAAGCGGATGGCTCGCACAAATCAAAACTCAACCCCTTCCTCAGATCCTGTGATGTTATTAGGAGGGAAGAGGAAAAGTGTGAGTCTCGACGATGTGCAATAGGTTGGTAATGAGATGGAGTTGGGATTGAAAAAATTTAAGAAAAATTATAGTGTTGTGATTGGTAGCTCAGACAATCTATTGGCGGAGGCTGGCTTCCAACCCCGCCGTTCACCATGAGTTTTTTAATTTGGAACTGCAGAGGGCTTGAGAACCACGAAGAAGTTCGACAACGGAAGAAGCTAATTCAGCTACAAGATCATGAGCTAATTTTTCTTATGGAGAACTCATTAACAGATAATGAGGTTGATAGACTTCAAAGAAAATGTGATTTCAGTAATGGTTTAGGCGTTCCGTGTGATTAAACTATTGGCAGGAGAGGTGGGTTAGCTCTTTTGTGGTCTAGTTCCTTTCAAGTTCAGTTACTGTCATACTCAGATAACTATATTGATGTTGAAATTAATGGTAAATGGCATTTTATGGGTTTCTACTGCTGGTCTGAAGAGAGTAATAGACATCTCTCCTGGGATTTATTGCGCCATTTGGCAGGTAATTTTGGCTTACTTTGGTTGTTTTGGGGGGACTTTAATGAGATTTTATATAATAGTGAAAAAAAGGGTGGGAATTTTCGATCTCAGCTGAAAATGGATTCCTTCCATCTTACTTTGGATAGTTGCGGTTTGAGTGATTTAGGATATATAGGGTATAATTTTACCTAGACAAATGGTCAAGAAGGGGATTCTAGAATTGAAGAATGCCTTGATAGATTTACGGCTTCTGTGGCTTGGGTTGATCTCTTTCCTGCATATTCTATCTCTCATTTGTTTCGGTTATGTTCTGATCACCGTCCTATTTTTATATCTCTTTCAAAATCGACAGCTATTAAACGTAGGAGAAGAAGACCTTTCAGATTTGAGTTTATATGGTTGAGGGATGATACCTGTAAGGAAGTTGTTCAAGATGCTTAGGAGGGGGCTAGGGGCACAGGTGTTCATGCTTCTATTGAGGAAAGATTTAAATGTTGTAGTGAGGCATTGCGAAAATGGGAGAAAATTCATTTTGGGCATGTTTCTAAGGAGATTTCGAACTATCAGAAAATGCTTCATGAACTTCAGGTTGAGGTGCAGTCTCGCGATAGTATTGAGAGGCAAAGAGCGTTGGAATCGAAGTGAAAAGAATTACTAGCCAGGGAGGAGGTAATGTGGTTACAGCGCTCTAGAATCGATTGGTTGAGGGCAGGAGATCGAAATATATCTTTTTTCCATAAAAAAGCTAATAGGCGTTAGAGAAGAAATCAGATTTTGGGTGTTCAAGATGAGTTAGGCCGTTTGGTTGATAATGAAGAGGGGATTTATAGGGTTTTTTATAAATATTTTTAGGAACTATTTTCATCTTCTAATCCATCTGCCTATGAAAATGTGTTGAATTCAGTAGAGTCAAGGGTAACTATGGATATGAATCTAGACCTATGTCAACCATATTCTGAAGAGGAAGTCATTTCTACTTTGCGTCAAATGCACCCCTCAAAGGCCTCAGGGCTAAACGGTATGCCCCCATTCTTTTTTCAAAAATTTTAGTCTATTGTTGGTCTTGCTGTCGTTGCATTAAGTTTTATATATATATATATATACTCATACTTTTTTGAGGTATATGTAGTTTTCTTGTGATGTCTACTTCTATATGCTTGTATATGCTTGTATACTGAAAAATGATGCTATTATAGAAATGAGCTCATGTACATAACTTAATTACATCTGTCACAATATTATGTACGTAGCTTGCCATCACACTATGGAAGGAAACTTTCCTATATTTGCACTATAGTAATTAAAAAGGTTTTGCTTACTTCACTTTTGCAATTCCATATGATAACCGAAATACTGAAAATTGAATTAACAAATGGTATATTGAAGCATTGAATATGATTATTAATATATATAATAAAGGGAGTGGAAAATAACTTTTTGATAATCAGAAGCGAAGTTAATCAGAGTAATGAGATAATCAATTTTGAAAGAAAGGAAATTTTAGTATGTATTGTATAAGCCCCATTCTAACTTGTCTCAACTCAAGCGACCTGCCCTTACCCAACTCAATCCAATCCATTAAGTTTTAAAAATATAGTAGATTATTATTAGGTGGCTAATCATTATAATTTATGCGTTGGGTGGGATCACGAATTCACTAGATAAATCCACAGATCTGATTCATTCCAAAAATAATATTACGTATGAATATGTATGGTGTGTGTGTCTATGTGTTTAATTCATTTGAGTTGATTTAGTTTGATTTGTAATTTTGAATATAAATACTAAATTATTTTACATATTTAGCAGGTCTTACCTTTTAAAAAGTTGCTAATTTATATAGTAAAACATTTGTAGTTTAAAATTTATTGTACACTTATATATAACTAAGTATTTTAATTTGGTTTTATTTCTTCTTGGAATAATGTTGTTGATTATTTATTTATTTATTATTATTATTTTAAAATACTTGTTTTGAAATGCCGTTAGAATATATTTTTATTTGTGAAAATTGCTATATAATTATGTTTCTAAGTGCATTTAATTTATTAGTTATTTCTATTAAATAATTGTATTTTATTTGAAATTATTTTTATCATTTGTCATTTATTTGACTCATAGGTTTACGTCAAATCCGTTCATAATCTATGGGTTTAAAGAGTTAACGAGTTGGCTTGGATCAAAAAAATCGACTCATACATATATATTGAATATTTTAAATCGATATATCCGACCTAACTCAATCCATATGCAGCTCTAGTATTATTATCATATGTGACTTTTCTTATATGTAAGAAAATTATTTTGATAAAATTATAATAACTTTTTGTATTTATGTGATAAAAAAATTATGTTGATTTTAAGGTGAGTTTAATTGTGGATTGTATAAAAGGTTTTTTTTTTTTTTCAATAAAATATTTCAATTATTATACGTATAGTTTTTGGTTGGAGTGTTTTTGTTATTTTAAATCTCACATTTCATTAACTCAGCTTTACTTATTGAAAATTCAATATATCAATCAAATACAATCATATTGTACTTTTCAGGAAGTCAACTCCCAGAAATTAGGTCGATTTGAACCAACCAAGACCTAAGATATAATTAGGATAAAATTGACAAAAAAAAAAAAAAGAGTAAACTCCCAGAAATTAGGGTCGATTTGAACCAACCAAGAACTAACGATATAATTAGGATAAAATTGACAAAAAAAAAAAAAAGATGTAAAAAAAAAAAAAAAAGAGTAAATTTGCAAAATTTCATAAAGTTTGTAGCATTTTGATATATTAGGTCAAATATCATCACCCTTACACAAATTATTATATAATAAATTTGACAAAACTTTTATTTGAATTAATTGATTTCTATAAAAAAATAAATCACTTTATATGAATTCAAAAATAATAAAATTGAATCAAAGCAAATCAATCATAAACTTAAATAAATAAATAAAATATAAGCTATGTGTCAATTAAAAATGGTCGAATACTTAAATTCACTTCTAAAATTTATTATTTTAATTTTATGACACCCTATAATTTGTAAATAATTTATTATGCTTGTGAATTTATAAATTTTCAATAACCTTGCACCTTTCCTTGCTAACGATATTTATTTTTGGAAATTTTAGTTTTTATATGTAATTTATTAATTTGATTTGTAATTAGCATAATTTTTAGAATAATAATTTTTACAATATTTAATTTAATTGATTTAATTTTATAAATTAAAGTGTTTAATAAAATAATTTTATAATTTTAAATGTTTGATACATGTAATTTTACTAAGTTAAAGTTGTTGGTGGATGAAAGTAAAAATTAAGAACCTCGTAGGATAAAGTAAAAAAGGTTAGCTAGAAATTATGTATCTGCTCATCAAAATCAAAAAAACACAGACAGCTACGCGCGCGCGGGAGTCCGCCTGGTTTACTGACTAATGCTGAGTTTTAAAAGATTTGCTCAAACCCGATATTTGTGAGACCCAAAAACCAAATTTATATTTTCACCTGTGTCGCCGCTCGCCTCTACTCTCTTCTTTCTGCCACTGTTCCCCCCTTTGCTCTCATCTGAATATGTTAAATAACTAATCTCTTCCATCTTTCTAACCCTAAGAACTTCCATCACCATCGATTCACCTTTTCCTCTCTACTGCCTCGTTAATGGCTTCTCCAGTGGCCTAATTGAGCTATAGTGGTCAGGTAGCTATAACCTATTTCTTTTTCTTTTGACGGAAAACCCATTTCCTTAATTTGGTTTCTCTAGTTGTATTGATGTTGGATTTTGATTTTTAGCGACTGTTCTGGCTTTTTTCCCTGTTATTATTTCCTTAATTTGGTTTCTCTAGTTGTATTGATGTTGGATTTTGATTTTTAGCGACTGTTCTGGCTTTTTTCCCTGTTATTACAGGTGCTTTGACTATATTTTAATTTGGTGTGTATGACAGGTTATTTTGTAAGTTTGTATTTGTGTTTTGTCCAACGCAGAATTTGTGTTGTATTGGATCTATTGATAGTTGTTTGTTTCTCTTGTGTCTGTTTGTTTTTTTAGCTGAATTTTTAATCACTGCCTCCTCTAATTGAGCATCTGCGTTTGATCCTGCAACTGTTGATAATTTAAGCTTGCAAGAAAGCTGTGGTTGGAAGCATATTTTTGTTTTCTGCAATATCACTTATTATTTCTTGAATTTCTTCTTTCTCAATATCCTTTTTTTTTTTATCTCTATTTGATTTGTAACCTCTTCTTTTATCCTAGCTTCGAGTTCCTCCAGCCCAAATAAAAGCTTTATACAATTGTATTAAATAAAATTTTACTGTCTCCACAAAGAATGGCTGAGTTTTTTTTGGCAAATTTCTAATCTCCGTCTAAACCATATATTTTTGCCTTGTTATATATAACCCCGCATTATTTATTTACATTAACCATTTCTAATTTCGAATCTCTGTCTAAACCATCAACTTAAAAAAACTTATCATTTGGCCAATGGATTATCGATTAACTTATTCCTGTAAAATTTATTCATCCTTGAGTGCTAGCAAGAGATGTTTTAGACAGTGTTTGCTATGAGTAAACATGAAATAATTTTGCTTTTTCTAATCTCTGTGATGGATATTTAAAGCAGGTTCTCTTTACTAGTTATTTCTCTCTCTCTCTCTCTCTCTCCTCTCTCTCTCTATCTTCTAATGTTCACTTGTTGAGTTACTAAACAACAGCAATATTTAGTAATTCTCTACCCTGTCTTGTAACCTTACTTGAAGCAATGTATTGTACTACCAGTTCTAATTCAATGATGTACGAGTTCTCTTCTTTTTCTTTGTACTACCAGTTCTAATTCAATGATGTACGAGTTCTCTTCTTTTTCTTTAGTAAGCTTCACATATAAGTTGGTAAGTGCAAATTATGGAACAAGCAGAGCCAGGCTGCAGTGGAGCAGAAGCAGTGTTAAATCTTCAACCCAACTCTTCAATTGCTATTGCTTATCACCCTCTCTTTGGTACTCATGATGATCTGATGCTCCTTGAGCTTGACGAGAAACTCCTTCCCGAGGTACTTCAACAAAGGTAATCTAAAATCTGATGTCATTTTAGGAATTCATTTAATATCACTTGTCTTTGGCCTCTAGTCATTCAATTTAAGGCTTTTATCTTGTAGGGTTACTTTAAGAGGTCAACCGGATGAAGACGCAGTTCTTTGCACTCAGTCGAAAACTTACGCCATAAAGTTTGTTGGAACTTCTAATTCTTCTTTCCTTATACCCCCATCAGATCAATTTGCACTGTCAGAAAGTTCACTAGATTGCAATGGCAAATTTCATGACCAGCAACTTCTTGCACCTGTCATTAAGGTTGCACCTGGTAACATGGAACTCGTTGAAGTTTCTCCAAAGCTTGATAAGCTCAAGTTGCTTCTCTTACAGAATCCCCTCAGGTCTGAGGAGGTCCTAGAAACGCAGGATTTGGATGTGGAAAAAAATACAACTGGATTGTATAGATGGGATGATCTTGTCGACAGAGTTCAGGCGAGCAATGATGAACTGAGAACTAGTTTGTTAGCTCTTTCAGCTGTAGAGATTGATGGTTATTGGAGAGTTGTCGATGAGAAGTACATGGACATCATTCTAAGGATGCTTTTGCACAATTTGGTATTGAATGACTGGTCATTAGATGCACTTAATGAAGGTGAAGTTGTGAGTGTGCTAGCTTCTGATGGATTTCCGCCCAAGCTTGCCCGCCATTGTTTGGATGTTTATGGTAGCAAGATCGATGGCGTTGTGGGCACAAGTAACATGTGGAAGTTGGATGAAAGGCGAGTATGTGTGCATTTTGCAAGAGAGATTTTGAAAGCGGGGAAAAAGAAGATGGAAAATTTTATGGGAGAATGGCTGAAAGAGATTCCAGATGGTATGCAGGCAAGTTTTGATATGTTGGAAGGTGAGGTTTTGACAGAGAAACTTGGTGTCGACATGTGGGTTCGAGCATTCAGTGTTTCTTCTTTGCCGTCAACTCCAGCTGAGCGCTTCCTCATGCTCTTTAGGGAGCGGGCAAAATGGGAGTGGAAAGATTTATACCCATACATCAGGTTTTGTTCTGTTTGATTTTTATGTTTTCCCTTTATTCTTGACATGATCTTTCTATGGTGTTAATTGTTGTTTGTGGAATTATTCTTCAGGGATCTAAAGGTACCTGGTCTTTCTTCTGAAGCTTTGTTGCTCAAATACACAAGAAGATCGCAACCGAGCCCTGATGCTGAACCTATTTTTAGTGCCAGATAGTGCCAAATGGTGCCCTTGCTGGTTTTTTAAGGCACTTTGCAACCTAATAAGTGAATTGTTTCAAGTGGTTTAGGTTGTGCATACTTTTTTTTTTAAGGCACTTTGCAACCTAATAAGTGAATTGTTTCAAGTGGTTTAGGTTGTGCATACTTTTTTGTTATATATGAGATCTGGTCGGTCATACAATCTAGGAAACTAAAGCGAGAGTGTGAGCACATTTGTTATGTGATTAGTGTTGCTTCAGTGTCAATTGAAGCTGCAACAGTTACTCAAGTCTCTCGCTAAGCTAGTTAGTTTCATCGAAGGAGACAGTAGAAGAGCTTCCTGGACCCATTAGTTCTGACTAATTTTTCCTTTTTGCTGTAACGAGTTGTTTCTTTCCTGTTAAGATTGAATGGGATTATTTTTTTCAATTAGTACAGCCGAAGCAATAGTGCAATTTAAAGCACGGTTGAAAATCTAAATTAATGGTTACATCTTTTAGTAAATGTTAAATCAATGCGTTGATGTGGAAGAACTTAAAGATGGAAGAAAACCCGTACTGCCAAATGCTATTTAATGGTAATAGGTTTTCACCTGGGAGATTCTTTTTTTCCTTTCTTTAAATTGTGTCTCCAGCCACCGAAAAAACTTGAAACTGTGTGTCTAATGAAAGATTAAGGTTGAGATTGTCACTTCCCTTTTCCATGGCTGTATAAAGTTTCACCTGTCATTTCAGTTAACAAATTGGAATATTCCTCTTTAGAAGTTTGTCTTCTTAGGTCTCAGGTTTGAGTCCACCTTCTGCCATAAAATGCATGTGCTGTTCTTTGGGATAGTGTGCTATCTACTGTTATTGTAAGAAGGGTTTTCCCTGGGAAAAAAATATATACACATACAAAAAAAATCTAGAAACTACAAAAAGTGACTCAATTCTAAGTCAAACAGATTTAGGATATGAGAGAAATTAAAAATGCTTAATCATCAAAAGACTATCTATTTATTGCAAGAGAGATATAAATATCTTACTAAATTAAAATAATAATAGATACAAATTATTTAATAATCAAAAAGAAAATAAAAAATTATTATCAAGAATAAAATATTTTTCAGAACTCACCTAATAAAAAAGTTTCAATATAAATATATAAATTTAAAAATTTGAAAGGTTTAATTATGTGTATTCTATTTGAAAATTTATTTTTTTAAAAATATATCCAATCAAATCATTAAATATAAAGAAAAAAGAATGTTAATAAAAAGAACATACTTTTTTCTTTTTTTATTTCTCTCTTAAATAAAAATTTTAAATTATAATTAAAATAGAATCAAATATTTAAAAGTAAAATATAAAAATTTTTAAATGTCTTCTTATCATGTATATTTATTAAAAATAAATTTTAAAATAATTTTGAAAAAGTAAAAATTTAAAAATTTTGAAAGGTTTAATTATGCATATTCTTTCTGAAAATTTATTTTTTTAAATTATGCCCAATTAAATCATACAAACATAAATAAAAAAAAATACATTTTTTTCTATTTTATCTCTCTCCTAAATAAAATATTTTGTATATTGTATTTGAAAATTTTATTTCTTAAAAAAATATATCCTATCAAATCATATAAATATAAAGAAAAATAATATTAATAAAAAATATATTTTTTTATCATATAAATAATAAAGAAATAATATTAATAAAAATATACATTTTTTTATTTCTCTTCCGAAATAAATATTTTATATTATAATTAAAATATTTATTTTTATTTGGTAATTTGATTTTCTTTTCTAAAAATTTAAAAATTTTTAAAAAATATAAATTTGGCTTTTTGAAAATTTTTTTAATTGGAATTTTTGGATTTTTTCTTTATTTTCTATATTTTGAATTAAATGATTATATTATTTTTTTTAATTTTAAAAAATTTTTTTAATTTTAAAAAATTAATATTTACATAATAGCAATATATTTTGAAATCTAATCTAATTTAAAATTATTCTATTTTAATTGGTACTTGGTTTTCATTTTCTCAAAATGTAAAATTTTTTAAAGATAATTTAGCTTTTGAAAATTTTAATTTTTTTAAAAGATAATTTGGTATCTGTTTCTATATATAATCATAGTTATTGGCTTACATGTACAAGATGATCGTTTTTGCATAAAATATATAGTTATTTTGTTTCTAATTGTATACCTATATGGTTACTACTTTGCTTTCTTTTTTTTGTTAGTTTGTTGTATGTTGAATTTTTTTTTCTTTCTTTCGTATAGGGCATCAGTTAGTATATTTTCACACATTTTTACTTACATTTATAATCCAATTATCTTCTCGCGGGTAAGCATCAATCATCACACTCCTCATTGGATTCAATATCTCTTGGAATCATGCATTTCCAAGAAGAGCTTTTTGCTTTCGTCATCGTTCCTACCCAGCAATAATATCCAATCAAAATTGTGCATGATTATAGTTATATGCTTAAAATTGTTCTACTTGATTTTGAAGATGCGATTCTTATCTTTTTAAAATCTTAATATGTACCGTTATTTTAAGCATCAATTTGCCTTTATTAATTTTATGTTAGTGTGAATTCTTTCTATTTTTTAGTATAGCTTCAAGCAGAAAAGAAATATTTTGTATATGCTATATTGATACTAATATAAACTTTCGCGTTTACAATATTATTTCCTTTGATTGTGGTGATGTTAAACGATTTAAATTTATTGATGTATAAACTTGACCTTACGAAAGTGACTGAATTTCTCAAACCGTTGAACGAAGTGATCATTGAATGAAAAATATGGTCATATCATTGAATGAAAAATATGGTCATTATATATAATATATATATATATATATATATAATATTAATATATAAGAACTATAAACAACTATTAAACAAGACTCTTAAATTAGTTTTTCATTTTTATATGTATGACCATATTTATTGGTTTACACTTAATTTAAACTTTTGAAGTTTATTTTTTAATTAAGAGATCTTTTGTTTTTATTAATTTATTAGCAAATACAATTTATAAATTATAAATCTATATACAATAATAAATAATCTTTTAAAAAAATAATAATAAAGCAACCCACGCAATACGCGGGCCTTCACCTAGTTATAATTAAAATGGAATCAAATATTTACAAAATAAAATATAAAAATTTTCAATTGTCTCCTTATCATATATGTTTATTGAAAATAAATTTAAAAAATTTAAAACTTAAAATTTTCAAATGCTTAATTATCTACATATATCTATTTAAAAAATAAATTTTATAAATATATCAAATCAACTAATAAAATGTAATTTTTTAATTGGCTATAACTAAGATTAGTTTAGTATATTTTAAATTCATTAAGGCCAGTATCGAAACTCTCATTATTTCCCATATTCTCACATTTATATATATAAATTTTTCAGGTACAATTGCTCAATTGGTTTCTCCCTTATCACTCATCACTTTTTAATTGAAGTATTGAACCCAATTCTAATACCAATCATTTAAAATCTTATGTTCAGTGAATAGAAATATTGATTTCCATCCATATAAATTTATTTCTGTCAATTCAAATTAAAAAATAAATAAATTATCCATTTATATCAAAATGAAAAAATATTTATTTTCCAAATATATTAATTGAAGTTTTTATAATAATAATTTTTTTTTGACATTATAATAATAATATTTTGATACTTATTTTGTAACACCCCTTCCCGGTCCACCCGTAAACCCGAATGAACCGGACCGAGATGCTACAAACTGGTTGACTGTATGGTCTTCTGGTTGACTGTATGGGTCTGACAATGCTGAAGTCAAACATGTATATTGAATATAATAGCATGCTGATGTGTATACAAAAATAATGTAATTTATATTGTACAAACATGATACTAGTTTACAAGATGAATGGGGCCAACTGAGTGCCTGTACATGCCATAAAAAGGGTAAGACAAAGATACATATTAAAATGAAGTAACTACCCTGAAGACTGAGTCTTTTCTACAGATGACTGCAGCAGTTGTAGCTGAACTCTCTACGGTCCCAAATCTCAAAAACCCTGCGAGTTAAACAGGTAAACTCGCTGAGCAAAATAAAGCTCAAGTGGATATCTAACAGATAAAGAAACAATTTACAACACAATACATGTATAGAAGAACCAGTACACTATGGCACATATAAGAGCACACAACCATCATGATACTTCATGATACCTGATTATCTTTTGTAACTGTTTATAATATACTGTATAATTTCATGAAAATGTTATGTCAAGAATATCCGTATTGGCTCCATAAGGTTATAGTGAAACCGAAGTGAAGAAAAACTGTTATGAAACTGGATGAATATGTATGCTTGGCTGCTATGGCCTATATAATCAATATCCACTCAACGGCCTGTAAGCCGGAGTATCAAAACTGTATGAGGTTGCAGATCTGCTATTCACTATGTCGCGACATAGCCTTATCTACATGGTTTCTACCTAACCTCAATGGAGCATAATGTTTGAATATGGTCAATATATCACACAACATCATAGTCATAGTTCATAACTTTCATAATTCATATGTTTATTTGATTTCACATCAATTTGCATGCTTGCATGTTTTTTTTGATACATGTTGCTAAATGTTGTATTTGATCGTTAAAATGATTGGAGGCATATAAGGGAAGCAAAGGAATACAATGCAATTGAAAAAGAAGTCCAAAAAAATGCATGAAAACAACAAGTCGCGAGCGCGCCTTGCAAGGTCGCGAGCGCGTAAAGCACCAGATGAGAACAGTGAATATCGGCAACAATCGCGAGCGCGTACTTGAAAAGTCGCGAGCTGCGAGAAGTGACAAATGAGAGACAGTGAAGTTCCCAGGCCAATTTCGTGAGCGCGCGATGGGGCGGCGTGCATTACAGCAAGGGCCGAAGTACGCGGAGCGCTGCACTTCAAAGTCGCTGAGCGCGAGATTGCCAATGAGAGTCCGAAGAGTTTGCGAGCACAAGTCGCAGCGGCGTACTTGAAAGTCCGGAGCCGGAAGATTGTGCCAAATGAGAGCCAGAAGAGTGTCAGGTGAAGCGCTGAGCTTGCGTAGTTTTCAATTCTGCGAGCGCGAGAAGGCAGAACTCGTCAATGCAATTCGCGCCGCGCGCTTCCAGCCTGCAACTATCTGTACCTCTTTTGGTCATATCTCTCAATATACAACTCCAATTTGGATGAATTCAAAAACCCATGTAAAGCTAACTACATAGAGGAACAAATAACTCTCTATGCACTTCCTAATTCCATCATTAAATGGGGTCAAAATCAAGATGAAGTTACTGGTAAAATAGCAAAACCTGTTTCAACATAAACTCAATACTCACTTCATTTATTCAATACTTCCCCTGTTTTCCCCTGTTTTCTCACCATTACCAGTCCTCTCACTCAACATAAAGCAATATGTCTCAGTAGCAACACACCACACAATTTCTCATGCAAAGAAAATGGAAAAGAACAAGAGATATCAAACCTTTACTCCAAAAGCTTGAGCTCCTCTTTAGCTTCTTTTTTCTACTCCCTTAGAACTCCCTTCACCTATAAAGAAGAATTCTTATAAATTCTAAAATAACAACACCAAATGATTCAATTATGAACTTCAAGAAGGTTTACTTACTTGATAGAAGAAAAATTGAAGTTAAGGCTTAACTACCATTAAAATTGAAAGGAAGGTGGAAGAGGAAAGGAAGGAAAGGAAGAAAATGAAGAAGAGAAGATAAAGATGACAAATGGGAAAGTGAAAATGAGTATTAACGGGTAGGCCACCAAAATCAAGGGATTTTTGTAAAACTTCTAATGGTACCTCTCAATTGTAACAGGCTAACAACTTAATACCCAAGCTTTGATCTTTAATGCAAATAAGTCCCTCACCCACATCTTGATCTTTTTCTCTCACTCAAGTAACTCCACTTAACCTCACCCACATGCTTGATCTTTTTCTCTCACTCAAGTAACTCCACTTAATAACCCATTCTACCCCAACCGGGTTTGGTTCAACTCGACTACTCAACTCTATGTTAAGACTCAACTCGGTAGGATGTCACATATTTATTTTGACATTTTTATTAATGTGATAATTATGCATAATCTATTAATTATTTTTAATTAAATAACCATTAAAATTGAGAGTTAAGTAATTAAATTAGAATCAGATAAGAGATGCAGTACTAATTTATTTGTCTTGAATATTTTAACATTTCATCCGTGGCTTCATTCAAATGTTAACCTATAATGATTAAAAAAAAAAAAAAAAAAACTTATTTAGACCTAGACCTAGTGTATGGGGCCCATGTTATACATCAAAAATACTATATTCGTGTCTATAATTTATCAAAAATAACTTTGTGGTATCTTAATCTATTAAACACTTCAACTTATAAAATTGTGTCTATTAAACACTTCAGGGTAAATTATACCAATGGTCACCTAATTGTATACTTAATTTTATTTAGGTCGCAAAATTTCAATTTTTCATTCTTTAGTCAATCAACTTTAATTTTTATTTCAACAGGAGGTCACTTATCGAAATTCGGTAATCGAAACAGTAATATGACATTAAAAATTACACATATCACAAAAATAAAATCATGACTACAAAGGAATATAAAAAAAAGAAAAGAAAATAATACTACACAACATAAATAATAGAGTGAAAATTTTTTTCTTTTTTATTTTCTTTAAACTTGTTTCGTGTAAATAACATTATTTTTTAATTAAATTAATGGATAGATTCCAAATTAATATATTGAGAGAAAATATATCATCCAATAGACGTGAAAATGATATCATTAATTAAACCCACGAGAACACATATAAATGTTGTATGGAAACGTAAAGAACCTTGTGAATGCTATTTATTAGACTGTTCAATCTATCTTCTTCTCCTTCTTCTTCTTTTTTCCGATATGAAATTAAAGCTTCACCGCTAGCTATAGCTCCCTTTCACTAGTTTCACGTTCCAACTTTGATGTTCAACAATATATCATCATCACAAGTTATTCTTAACTAGTCTTTAAAGCCCCACCTAATAATAATAAGAAAAGAAAGTACTTGTAGTTGTAGGAACCCTTTCCTTCCCCATGATAATAAAATCTCTCTACTACGTGTTATAGATCTTACAACTAACATTATATGAAATGAAAGATCTGTCCTTTTTTCTCATCAAGAACTCTGTCGGAGCCAAGATGAGAAAAGGGATCAGAAATTTTTGCAATGGCGATGGCTCCACATCTACTCTCAATCAACACAAACCTAATCATGTCGATGATGGAGGTGATCGTGCTTGCTTTATTAACTCTACTCCCTGTTTCAATAGTAACGCAACCCCACCAACACTAGAGGAGATGATACTGCAGTTAGAGGTGGAAGAGGAAATTGCAAGAACAGCTAAGCTTAATCATGAGATGAGAAGTCGGAGAATGTCTTGTGTTAACAATTCTGATATCTTACGATCTGCAAGAAACGCACTGAATCAGTATCCCCGCTTTTCTCTCGACGGGAAGGATGCCATGTATCGATCTTCATTTCGGAATTTAGATCACCACCAGCAGGTTATTGCTGGAAGAAAATCCATTTGCTGCGAGCGAGGATTACTGAGAAATGAAAAAAGCCTTTCTTCGCATAACAAGTCATGCTCTACTTTGGCCGGAGAAAGTGTGGTTTGGTGCAAGCCAGGAGTGATAGCCAAGTTGATGGGTCTTGAGGCGATGCCAGTACCAGTTAATAGAGAAAGAAATAATAATAAGGAAACGTTAAATTCAATTTTAAAGAGGCAAAATCTAAGGAGAAGGGTGGAAAGGCACGAGATGGAGAGAAGACTTGCGAGTGGTCATCATCGTCAGGTGATGAACAATAGAGGAAGGGTGATGGGTTCTTGTTCAAGAACCAGCAATGGATACTGTGTGATGAAACCAATTGCAGTAGAGAAACCAAATGAAGAAGGTGGTTGGCCGACCAGGCGATTTCGTTAGTCATGCCAAACATCATCTGACTCGATAATATATATGTTATATAATGTCTAACAGTTGTAGTGTGTGAACAATTTTCTTGCAATCTATTACCTTCACATTGTAATAATAGTGTTTGTTCCTGTGAAAATCAAGATGATGTAAACAGAGGTGGTGGATCTTTTCAAGGGCAAAGGCTTTCTTTCTTTCCTTCTTTTAATTTTAAACATAAATTTAGCTAAGATCAATCTAATCAAAATGGTTTAAACCGTTATACCTTTTCATCATTAAATTTATAATTTTGCACACTAAGATTTAGTCTAGTGATAAGTATAAATACGACTTCAGATTCAACTTCCTCTTTCCCCAACACTCAAAAAAAAAAAAAAAAAAAAAAAAAAAAAAAATACGACTTCAGATTCAACTTCCTCTTTCCACAAACACTAAAAAAAAAAAAAAAAAAAAAAAAAAAAGAAAATTAATAAACTTCACAAAAAAAAAAAAAAAAAAAAAAAAAAGAAAATTAATAACTTCACCAGCTATCAGAAAATATTGATGACAATAAAATTATTTGGTACTAATAAGGATGTAAATAGTTAATTAAACCATGAATTTATAGACAAGAGAGAAATGGAAATCAAGTACCTATAATGCAATGAAATTCCTTGCCGTATATGGTTGTGGTCACTTGCAATAGTTATTATTTCCTTAACTCTGTGTTCACTCGCAACAATATACGGCAGGAAATTTCATTGCAAGAGGTGGTGGGCTTTCCTTTCTCTCTTGGTGGTCTGTAGGTCCATAGCTTTTCTATTTCCATTCTTATTAGGACCATATAATTATATCGTAAAGAATAACAATCTCAAACAAGGCTCTGCAACTGGCGTCGAGGAGAAAGGAGGATGGTGTCTACGGGCAGAATTTGATGGAGAGTAGTGAATGAAGATTAAAAAATATAGCAGAGGCAATCTATCGAACATATGGTGGGCAGAAATAATTAGTTGGCAGTGTGATGATTTTTATTCAACTGAGTAACACTTATATATAACAAAAAACTTCAACTAACTCAGAAAAAATAGGAACCAAATTAGCACTAAACCAGCAGATAACAACAAAGAAAATTAAAATAAAAATAAAATAAAATAAAAAGAAAGAAAAGAGGACTCATATCTAACAACTCAAAAGACACATTTAAATATTTTTGAATAGTGATAAAATGATATTTATAAATATTTATTACTAAAATTTAATGATTATGTAGCCGTTATATATAGTTGTTTAGTTGAGTTTTATTTAGTTAATTATTCATTATATAAAGGACTAATGCAAAATGAAAATATTCATGTATATAAAATATATAGATGACTTAAATTTTAGATTTTTAAATATGTGTGTACCCATTAGCGTTATAATGGTTAAATACATAAATTCACTCATGTCTTTAAAATAAATAAAAAAACTCTTATTGCACCCTCAACTTTTGTTTTGACTTACACTTCAATTTATAAAATTGTATTTATTAAATAGTTTATTTGACTCATTAAACACCTAAACTGATAAAATTAGATTAATTAAACACTTATAAAATATAAAATTATTGTTTCAAAAATTGAATTAACCATATATCAAATCAATATTTTACATATAAAAGTAAAAAATTATTTTACAAAAAAATGAAGTTTAGGATGTCAAAATGTCGATTTTATAGTTCAGGTACCACAAGATTTTTTTTTTATCAAAGTTCCGAGGTTAAATGATGTATTCAGTTGTATTATAATGCATACATTAAAATTAATTTAATTAATCTATATTAATTAAATATACAGCAAAACTATATAATAGTTAACTATTTTATAATTATAATAACTAATACTAGGATTAAACATAAATAATATTATAAATATACTATTATAGTCTAGTTATCACTAGCATTCTAATAGTAGTATAATTATAAACTTTTTAATTATAGCCATTAGATCATAAATAATATTATTATTGGAACTAATATTCTAATAGCATTATAATAATATTAAAAAGAATTATATCTTTCTTTAATATATTATAATATTATAACGTGCAATACCAGAGTATTGGTTCATTATGAATATGCAGATCTGGTGAGTGAACTGTGAATTTGTGATGGACAGAGGGATGCAAAGAGGAAGGAGAGAGAGAGGAGTAAAAAAGAAAGAAAAAAATAGGTAAGAGAGAAAAGCCGACGTGGAGAAAATGTCAGATGAGTCTGTTGCTCAGGTACTATCATCATTTCAAAAAAAATCATTAAATTAGTGTTTGGCATGAGATGTAGATCCATCACGTGTGTTGAAAGACACCGCAGAAGTATTGAAAACAGGTACTGTATATTAAAATAGCGTTACCTCGCCTATTTTGGAGAAAGAAAATGTCAGATGACTCTATTGCTCAGGTACTATCATCATCTCAAAAGAATCATTAAATTAGTGTCTAGCATGAGATGTAGATCCATCACGTGTGCCGAAAGGCACCGCAGAAGTATTGAAAACAGGTACTGTATATTAAAATAGCATTGCCTCTCCTATTTCGGAGAAAGAAGTATGGGTTTCCTGGGTTGCCATCATCGGAGTGTAATGAATTTCGGGATAAGAAGTATGGCTTTCCGGGTGCCATATAGAGTGTAAAGTGAAGCCATGGCCATTCAAATGCTGCCACCGATGGTACAACTCTACCCATTTGTTGGTGCAGAAGATGAATTGCTGGCAATTTAGCACGATATTCCTTCCATAACTAGTTAAATGGTCAATGAGGGGAGGGACTTGAGGTAAGTCATCTCCTACTGGCGATGGCTCTTAATAGAATATGTCGGATGTCATTTCATATACTTCTTCACGGAGGGACTTGAGGTATATCATCTACTGGCAGGGCTTAACTAGAATATGTCTGGATTCCATTTCATGTCTTCTTCACCGCTATAGTTCCTCTGTAGTTCTTTTGGTGTTTGAACACGAGGAAACTCTATAGATCGAGGGACGGGTTAAAGCTTAGGATGAGTTTCAATACGAATTTCTTCATTCATTGCACCAAATAAGCTAAATAATCTTCGACGGACCGATGGATGTCTACATGTTGGTGATGTTGAATTGTGATATATATGTTGGAGCCAATTTGCCTGTATTAAAAAAAAATATTATGAAAATAAAAGCAAAATTTATTATTCAATTAGATTAAGAAATTATAAGATAAGATAAAAAGATATCGAATAATTACCACCGCTCCAACTGCTACACCTCGAAATGAAATCTAATGTCTAGTGCGTTGCACATATCAAATGTATTGCACTAAAACTACCAGATTATATGTATGTTTTGGTGAAAAAATATTTTGAGTAAATAAATATTTTTTATTAAAACCACTAATTAATCTGATCGACTATTAACGAAATACTATTTCTCTATGTACTTTTTACTAACTAGTGGTCACATTCCATAGTTGTACTAAAACCACCAAACGAAATATGTGTTTTAGTGAAAAAGCAAATTGACAACTTAAAATTTTCATTGTGTATTGAAACTCAATTAGATTGGTAGTCTCAATATAAAATAAAAATTATTGTTTATTCATACAACTACTTTTTGCTAACTGCTTATCAATACGAATTACTTTTTTAATTGCACTGAAACTACAAACTCAATTAGTGGTTTTAGTGCAACGCTCTCTCTCTCCATGTCAGGACAATTGTTAAATTGGTAAATAGTTTTGAAATGATATTAGATTGAGAAATAGTTTTATGGAGAGTATTATTTTTGTCAAAGCCCCATGCCTTAAGAAGGTTGTACTTTCCTCATACATAAACCCTCCATAATTTTTTTTCATTGGAGGTCTTTTGGCCGATATAACATTGTGTGCTATGCGGCTTATAAAGCTAAAGATAGTCCTCCCCTTAACTCACTAGATTAATGAAAACAACTGTTGTTAAAAGGACCTATACTCAAACCTCTCACTCCTACATAAAATAAGTGAGAAGATCAACCAAACTACCACCTGATTGGCAAAACCCTCCATAATTTTTGTAGTAAGAGTTAGTTCTTTAGGCTTGAATTGAAGAGTATAAAACCCTTCACAATTTTTTTTAATCTCCTACTTCACTATTTTGTTTTTTTTTTTTTTTTTTTTTTTTTTTTTTTACTATAAGTCTATTTGAATACTAATATTTTAAAATTTAATTTATTTGATTTGATATTCTGGTCATCAATTTTTCAGGATGTACTTAATACAATAGAAGATTGCAAGTGAAGGCACAAAAGTTATCTCTTTTCTATTCTGATTTCAAAAGTTATCCTTTTTCTATTATGATTTCAAATTCTACTGATAATTTGATGTGTACTTAATAATTAGTCATTTGAATTTGTTGAAAACTTTTATTATTATTATTAATATTAATTCGAAACATGATACTACTCTTTTTTTTTTTTAAGGAGAAACATGATATTATTTTTATTTGCTCTAAATAATGATATATATGTTTGTCAATCAAGTGTGGTCTGATTGGTCTTTTTACCTCTCATAAAGACGTAGGTTATCACCAATTTGGTGAATATTATTCAAAGTCTATTGAAAATTTTAGTGCATTTTCTCTAAAATCTTCTCAAAAACAGAATAGGTTATAAAGTCAATATAAATAAATTTTTTTCAATAGATTTTTAGACTTTTTTATTCACTTTAATAATATTTTTTAATTTATAATTGGCCCCTTAATCAATTTTCTAGGTACGTCCCTGATGGTCATATCTATTAATTTGTAATTATATGCACGTCAATATTGTTTGAGATGTTATTGATGATACTTGAATTCTAAAGCAAAAGGTTATTTGAAGTTTACCAATTGAGCAAAAAAAGGTTGAGAAAATAATACTTTTAGACTGGCAGGAAAATGTTATCATTTTTCCCAATTATTTTTTATTTTAATTTATTGTAGGCTTTTAAGGGCCGAATAATATTGCGGTCTACACAACAAGGGTATCCTCCCCTTGGTTTATCGAATTGGTGAAAACAATTTGAGATGATTCGAACTCGAGACCTTTCACTCTTCACATAAGTGAGAAGACCAATCAAATCATCACCTGATTGACATTTAAATTGTATTTTTCTTCAATAGAAAAAATGAAAAAAAATACATATATTATTTGAATGTAAAATAAGGATTAATTGGTACCATTATTTATGCAGATTTTACCTAAAACGTCAATCAATTTTATTTTTATCCAGGTGCGAAGTGCGGGATAATGACTAGTTTAAGCCCTATAATTCAAGTAAAAACTATTTTAAACACTCTTAGATTGTTGGTTGGCAATAGCTTTTTAAGTGTTTTAAGCATTTTAACTGGTCAAAACGCTAAACTCTAACTAAAAAGTTGTTTAGTAACATATCGTTTGACTAACTTTAAAGATTAGAATAGCGTTTTATGAAAAGTTAACTCATGTAACGTTTAGCTTAATGTTTCATGAAAAGTTATTAAAACAGCTAACAGTTACCAAAACATTTAATTTTACAGAAAATACTCTTAAACTCATGATTACTCAATTGGAGTATTTTATATTTATTCACTTTTTTTTCTTTAATTCAAAAATGAAGTGGTGTACAAGTTGAAGTTATTGTCATTAATTGCACATGACTCAAATGCAATTTTGCTTATTCTCAGGATCATAACACGACGCATTTGCATTTTCCCTTCTAATTCTCAGCACCAAATGATAATCAGTGCTTCCTTCCAATGCAATTCATCTCTCTCTCTCTCTCTCTCTCTCTCATCTCTCCTCTTCTCCTCTCTCTGCATTCTCTCGTCTTTCTCTCTCTATATATATACTATACTCTCTCTATATATATATATATATATAACATAAAATTAAAAACTATGATGTACGGAAACTCCAAAAGGTGAATTTTTGCATTTCCATTTCTATATGTAAAATATTGCCACAGTTAGGGGTGGCCACGGTTCTGAAACCGCCGGTTCCAGTTCTAAAAAATTTGAAACCAGAATCGAACCGAAAAATAACTGTTTTGGTTACGGTTTGGAACCGTACGGTTCCGGTTCCTCAGTGGTTCCAAAATTGACAGTTCCGGCCGGTTCTCTGATCGATTTTTCGAAGGTTCAGGTTGGTTTTAGACCGGTTCCGACCGGTTTTGGATGGTTCAACCTGGTTTCAGATGGAACTAGAACAATCGGTTCCGACTGGAGCTGGAACCACCGGTTCACGGTTCCAAAACTGGTGGAATAGAAACCGAACCTGTTTGGACCGATTCCAGTTCCGGTTTCGGTTCCCATTGATTCCGGTTCCAGTTCCCACCGGTTCGAAACCGATGGTTCTGGTTCCGAAAATCGAATTTTGGCCACCCCTAGCCACAGTACAAGCTGAATTATCCTCAAAAAAGTTTTTAAGTAGAAAATAGAAGCACTTTGAGTTGATTCTATTGTGTAGGTTGATCTGCTCAATCAATATTTAATCAATGTATTATCTTTTTTAAATATTTTTTTTAGATATATGAGAGGTTCAATAGATCGAAATAATATTATGGGTTACATACAGCTTTTGTAGTGGAAATGACTCGAATTCGAAACCTCTCACTTTTTCTATCTTCTACGAGAAGTAAAAAGACCAATCAAATTAAAATCAATTTGTCTGTTTCTTAAATATTTCAAATACATGGTTGAATTGACTTTGAGTCTGATTGACCCGTTTTCGAGTAGAATTGCCGGACTGAGCAGGTTTTAATAACAGTACGAATCGAGCTTAATTATCACTTGTGGATACAGCTAAGATGTTTTACAAAGGCAAAGGAAATAAAGGATAAGGAAATAATAGCATTGTTTTGATTATTATTTAATTGTTTGCACATGCAAAGCACTTCGATCTAATCCATAAGATCCTCAATTTGAGGCAGTCAAATTTCATGCTCAACCTTTTAATCTTCACCCAAAAATAAAAATTATATTAACCCATTAGATTCCTTCCTTAGAAATGGCATGTCAACCTCTAAAAATAAAAAAATAAAAGATAGAAGATGTGTCAAGACTCTAAAGACACAGGTGGATTCCCAACATGTGTGTGGTACAATTGTATATGTCAAAGAAAAAAAAAAAAAAAAAAAAAAAGAAAAAAAAAAAAAAAAAAAACCACTTCTTGTAAGAGTTACAAAGAGCCAACCACTTGAGTATATTCGGTGAAAAAAAAAAAAAAAAAAAAAACCACTTCTTGTAAGAGTTACACCAACCACTTAGAGTATATTCGGTGAAATTAGTTAATTTGATAGTTGTTTTAATATTGTTTAGCTGTTAACTGTTTGAGTTTTTTTTCATAAAACACTGAAAATTAAACATTATATGAGTTAACTTTTCATAAACCTCCGAAAAGCTGACCCAAGCAAAGGCATTTCGGCAGTTGGTCAGTAAAAACCAGTTAGGGACTTTCCCAAATCTCCTTTCGAACTCAGCTCTGCAACAAAGACCGATATAAAGAATTGAAACGCTATCATAATCTCTAAAAATTAATTCAAACAATATATTATCATTCAATCAATAATTTTTTTTAGAAAAAAATCAATAAATATATTTGATAGACTCTTATTGTACAAACAAGTACTAAGTGTCCAACTTGGATAGGATAAGGACCCCATGACCAAGCATAATAAAGAAATATTTTTTCAAAAAAAAAAAAAAAGCAAGATAAAGAAATTAAGAGAGAATTTTTTTTTCTGCTTTCTCACTAAATTAATCCCGTTCAATTATTAAATTTTTTTTTTCATTAAAGTTAAAGTGAGGCCACGTCTCCCCTGATAAAAAAAATATTTATTATAAAAAAAATCTCCCACCATAGAATTAAATAAAAATAAAAATTTCAAAATGCTTACTTAGAGAAAGGTTAAATAATAGGTCAAAAGGTGAAGCCAATGGTGATAAAACTTTGCAAAAAGATTCTATCCCTAATATAACTTAAGGGAGCAAAAGACATGAGTTTGCATTAAGCTATGAAATTGAGAAAATGAAAGCTTGGAATTTCAAACTCTTCCTCTTGGCTACAGAATCTTAGAATAGCATGCCAAAAAGTCTACCTCTTTTGTCTTTGGTCCATAGGAGAAGAGAACTGCATTTATTCCAGAATCTGTTCTGCTCTCCCATGATATTCAGTTAATCACTTTATAACTATAAACCGTCACATAAAATAATATTAGAGGCCGGCAACACTTCGTTCGGTTCAAAATAATCTATTTTCCAAGAAGTAATTTGATAGTATTTGGTATACAAATCAATTCCATGAAAAGTAAAATACTCTCAATTTACAAAAGCAATAATATTCATAATATAAGTTTAAGTATATTTAAATAACAGGACAAATCGGTAAATTCATTGCACTTAACTGAAAAAGTGTAACTTTACTGATCCCTAAAGAAATAACTTTCTTTGTCGTTTCTAAAGAAATTGCTTTCTTTGGATGATCTACTTTTCAAAAAGTAGAATTAAAAATAAAAACAAAATACAAGCATTTTATACGCTTTTCCAAAAATTACATTTTTCTACTCCATCCAAATTAATTTATATTTAATTTATATTCTTAGGGTAGTGGGTGCTTTGCATTGCATGTGCCACCCAAATTGAATGTGAAGTATAACTTCCACTAGTGTTACTAAATAAAATTCTTCTTTGTTTCTTTCACAGCAAAAAGACTTGCATTTGTTTAATAGGTTTCAAGTTATATCTCACTTGGTTTTCGAAAAGATAGAGGTCAAAGTTACTTTTTTCAGTTGAATGTGCACTTCTAATTGCTCAGTTTCAGTTAGCTGTTAAGATTCTTCCAAAAGTTTCCATTTTCTATTATTTGGGCCATATATGTTTCCTAATAATTTTTTAACCATCTCTGCATTCCCATCTATATAAACAACTCAATTCCTTGACTTCTTTATCACATTCTTTCTTTGCCTTCAATCCAGTTTAGGTTTCTTCACTCAAAAGTGTTTCTTTTCTTTTCTTTTCTTTTCTTTATTGCCAGGAAATGGATTTGATTGCATACACCATTCTGGCTTTTCTCACAATTTTAAGGACAGTTAAGGGTTATGGAACTGGATGGACTAATGCTCATGCTACTTTCTATGGAGGAGGTGATGCATCAGGGACAATGGGTAAGAAAAACCCACCAAAATGAACTCTTTTTGTTTTTGGTTCATTAAAAAAAATTTCTATTCTCTTTAGTCAAAATATAAAATTTTGGGTCTTTTTGTTTCTTGCAGGTGGGGCTTGTGGGTATGGGAATCTGTACAGTCAGGGTTATGGAACAAACACGGCTGCATTAAGTACTGCTCTTTTCAACAGTGGGTCGAGCTGTGGAGCTTGCTTTGAGATTAAATGTGTGAATGACAAAAGATGGTGCTTACCTGGGTCTATTATGGTCTCTGCTACTAATTTTTGCCCACCAAATTTTGCTCTTCCTAACAATAATGGAGGGTGGTGTAACCCTCCCTTGCAGCATTTTGATCTTTCTCAGCCTGTTTTCCAACGCATTGCTCAGTACAGAGCTGGAATAGTTCCTGTTCAATATAGAAGGTATTATATATTGTCTATTTAGGTTGTCCTCGGCAACAGTTTTTGAAGTAGCTTTTAGTATTTTAAACAGTTAATTTTGCCGAACAACCATTTAAACTTAACGTCAACGATTATGCAGGGTACCTTGCAGGAAGACAGGTGGAATCAGATTCACGATAAATGGGCACTCCTACTTTAATCTTGTGTTGATAACGAATGTGGGTGGAGCTGGTAATGTAGTTGCTGTGTCTATAAAAGGCTCTAAAACAAATTGGCAGGCCATGTCCAGAAACTGGGGTCAGAACTGGCAGAGCAACTCTTACTTAAATGGTCAATCCCTCTCCTTTAAGGTCACTACAAGTGATGGCCATACTGTGGTCTCCAACAATGTGGCTCCTTCTAATTGGGCTTTTGGCCAAACCTACAATGGAGGGCAGTTCTAATTTTCTCTAACCAAAATCACCCTTTTTAACACAAATTTCCTCTACTTTTTCTATATTAACTAGTACATATTATATATATAGAGAGAGAGATATGGGGCTGTGTTTTTCTCTTTTTCTAAAATGGCCTCCATGTCTGACTTACAACAAGTTCAGTGTAGAGAGCTTCTGCTAAAAATGGTAGAAAAGCTCTAGTGAGTTTAGGTTAGGGGGTCTTCACCTTTTTTCCCTTGTTTATTGGATCCCTAAAAACAGCTGGGTTTTGCTTAATTAGTATGCCTAATGTCTTGTTTAACACTTATAGGTCTCAAAGTGCAATTATGTTTTTCCTTTTGCAATGGCAGAATTGAGTCGAGTATAACAAGTTGTTTGTAAACTTTGTATACGGCTTTTAAGTTTGTATTATGTACTACAATATATTAAATAATAAAAATAAATATTCCATATCACTCTTGTTATAATTTAAGTTGAGTATGATACAGTAAAATTGATCGAGTTAAACTAAATCCATTAATTTAAAGTATTCAAATAAAATAAAATATTTTTTTTCTTGTTCTAACATAATTAGTTTCGTTATTAATTTAATTTATACTCTGCTTTTCCTTCCTCTGTATGCAATGAAGCATAAAGATTTAGGATATTTATAGCTTAATGCCTAATAGTTGAATTCAAGTATTCTCATGTACAGAGACAAAGCAGGATCTAAAAGTAAGGGGCTAAATGAATATTATACAAAGGAGATAGTGGGCAAGATGGTTAAAAGGTTGTTAAATTTTCTCATCCACGAAGACTCACCTCTTTGTTATTAAAGGAAAAAAAAAAAAAAAAATTTCCACTGCAAGAGAAGGGGGCAATATTATCCCCTTCTTTATAGTACAGTTGGTCTCTATTAACATAGTATTAAGTGGGGTGTCAAAATGGGATATGATACGCGAATACAATTTGCCATAAACGGATTTGTATCGCCTTGAACGAGTTTGTGTCATAGGTTATGGCACGTGTATATATGTGTGTCATATCATAGTCACCTATTTATGACATATATATAAATATAACGGGTTTTACTATAAAGATAAAAGAGACAAAGGGAATCTGGTTCTTTTTCTGAATTTGATAATTATCTAATCACTTCTTTGAGTTTGGTGATAATTATGCAGATAATAATTTTCCAATTTTAGATTGGTGGAGTTGTCATGCCAATACATTTCCAATACTTTCTTTAATTGCAAAACAAGTTTTAGCAGCTCCGGTCTCCACTGTTGCGGTTGAATAAGCTTTTAGTGGAGGAAACATACTTGATGAATCAAGACCTCGTATAACACCCGATTCACTAGAAGCACAATCATGCGTGGATGATTGGAGCAAGTCCGAATTAAGAGAACAAGAAAATCTAAAGAAAATGAAGATTTATATGATTTTTACGATGGGTCTGATAATTATGCGAGATAATAATTTTCCAATTTTAGATTGGTGGAACGTTGTCATGCCAACTACATTTCCAATACTTTTCTTTAATTGCAATCAAGTTTTTGCAGCTCCGGTCTCCACTGTTGCGGTTGAATAAGCTTTTTAGTGGAAGGAACACTTGGATGAATCAGACCTCGTGAATATATCACCCGATTCACTAGCAAGCACAAAATCGACTGCGTGGGCACAATCATGCGTGGATGATTGGAGCAAGTCCGAATTAAGAGAACAAGAAAATCTAAAGAAAATGAAGATTTATATGATTTTTACGATGGGTCCTCAACGGGAACATCAACCGATAGTGGAAATAGCAAATAAGGTAAAAGAGGTGAAATTGGTACAAGGTAAGTAAGAATTACGTGAGTTTTAATTCCTCTAAACCCCAAGAGGAAGCCCTTTTTTTTAAAAAAAAAAAAATGTTCCAACTTTTTTAAACAAAAAATAAATTTTTTAAAAAAATAATTAAGTTCAAGTCTTTTTTAAAAAAAAAAAAATTTAATTAAAGCATTTTTTAAATTTTTAAGTGTATTTTTTTTAGAAATAATTTTCATAAATTTTTAAAATTTGAAAACCGTTCTTCAAAATTTAAAATTTAAAAGTATGCGATTTGCCGAAAAACCGGTCGAAAACCGATCAAAACCGTCGGTTTTGGAACCGTTAAAGAACCGGAACCGAAATCGAAAATTTTCGGTTCAGTTCCGGTTCCAAAAAATTTGGAACCGGAACCAGCGGTTCCGGAACCGTGGCCATGCTCAATCAACGCATTGGTTTAACATTTACTAAAAGATGTGACCATTAATTTAGATTTTCAACCGTGCTTTAAATTGCACTATTGCTTCGGCTGTACTAATTTAAAAAAATAATCGCATTCAATCTTAACAGGAAAGAAACAACTCGTTACAGCAAAAAGGAAAAATTAGTAAGAACTAATGGGTCCAGGAAGCACTTCTACTGTCTCCTTCGATGAAACTAACAAGCTTAGCGAGAGACTTAAGCAACTGTTACAGCTTCAATTGATACTGAAGCAACACTAATCACATAACAAATGTGCTTACACTCTCGCTTCAGTTTCCTAGATTGTATGACCGAACAGATCTCATATATAACAAATAAAAGTATGCACAACCTAAACCACTTGAAATAATTCACTTATTAGGTTGCAAAGTGCCTTAAAAAACCAGCAAGGGCACCATTTGGCACTATCTGGCACTAAAAGTAGGTTCCGCATCAGGGCTCGGTTGCGATCTTCTTGTGTATTTGAGCAACAAAGCTTCAGAAGAAAGACCAGGTACCTTTAGATCCCTGAAGAATAATTCCACAAACAACAATTAACATTAACAACATTCTAAGATCATGTCAAGAATAAAGGGAAAACATAAAAATCAAACAGAACAAAACCTGATGTATGGGTGTAAATCTTTCCACTCCCATTTTGCCCGCTCCCTAAAGAGCATGAGGAAGCGCTCAGCTGGAGTCGACGGCAATGAAGAAACACTGAATGCTCGAACCCAGATGTCAACACCAAGTTTCTCTGTCAAAACCTCACCTTCCAACATATCAAAACTTGCCTGCATACCATCTGGAATCTCTTTCAACCATTCTCCCATAAAATTTTCCATCTTCTTTTTCCCCGCTTTCAAAATCTCTCTTGCAAAATGCACACATACTCGCCTTTCATCCAACTTCCACATGTTACTTGTGCCCACAACGCCATCCCATCGATCTTGCTACCATAAACATCCAAACAATGGCGGGCAAGCTTGGGCGGAAATCCATCAGAAGCTAGCACACTCACAACTTCACCTTCATTAAGTGCATCTAATGACCAGTCATTCAATACCAAATTGTGCAAAAGCATCCTTAGAATGATGTCCATGTACTTCTCATCGACAACTCTCCAATAACCATCAATCTCTACAGCTGAAAGAGCTAACAAACTAGTTCTCAGTTCATCATTGCTCGCCTGAACTCTGTCGACAAGATCATCCCATCTATACAATCCAGTTGTATTTTTTTCCACATCCAAATCCTGCGTTTCTAGGACCTCCTCAGACCTGAGGGGATTCTGTAAGAGAAGCAACTTGAGCTTATCAAGCTTTGGAGAAACTTCAACGAGTTCCATGTTACCAGGTGCAACCTTAATGACAGGTGCAAGAAGTTGCTGGTCATGAAATTTGCCATTGCAATCTAGTGAACTTTCTGACAGTGCAAATTGATCTGATGGGGGTATAAGGAAAGAAGAATTAGAAGTTCCAACAAACTTTATATTAGAAGTTCCAACAAACTTTATGGCGTAAGTTTTCGACTGAGTGCAAAGAACTGCGTCTTCATCCGGTTGACCTCTTAAAGTAACCCTACAAGATCAAAGCCTTAAATTGAATGACTAGAGGCCAAAGAGAAGTGATATTAAATGAATTCCTAAAATGACATCAGATTTTAGATTACCTTTGTTGAAGTACCTCAGGAAGGAGTTTCTCGTCAAGCTCAAGGAGCACCATATCATCATGAGTACCAAAGAGAGGGTGATAAGCAATAGCAATTGAAGAGTTGGGTTGAAGATTTAACACTGCTTCTGCTCCACTGCAGCCTGGCTCTGCTTGATCCATAATTTGCACTTACCAACTTATATGTGAAGCTTACTAAAGAAAAAGAAGAGAACTCAGTACAAGAACTCATACATCATTGAATTAGAACTGGTAGTACAATACATTGCTTGAAGTAAAGTTACAAGACAGAGTAGAGAATTACTAAATATTGCAGTTGTTTATTAACTCAACAAGTGAACATTAAAAGATAGAGAGAGTGAGAGAGAAATAACTAGCAAAGAGAACCTGCTTTGAATATCCATCACAGAGATTAGAAGAAGCAAAATTATTTCATGTTTACTCATACCAAACACTGTCTAAAGCATCTCTTGCTAGCACTCAAGGATGAATAAATTTTACAGGAATAAGTTAATCGCTAATCCATTGGCCAAATGATAAGTTTTTTTAAGTTGATGGTTTAGACAGAGATTCGAAATTAGAAATGGTTAATGTGAATAAATAGTGCGGGGCTATATATAAGAAGGCAAAAATATATGGTTTAGACGGAGATTAGAAATTTGCCAAAAAAAACTCAGCCATTCTTTGTGGAGACAGTAAAATTTTATGTAATAAAATTGTATAAAGCTTTTATTTTGGCTGGAGGAACTTGAAGCTAGGATAAAAGAACAGGTGACAAATCAAATAGAGATTAAAAAAAAATGGATATTGAGAAAGAAGAAATTCAAGAAATAATAAGTGATATTGTAGAAAACAAAAATATGCTTCCAACCACAGCTTTCTTGCAAGCTTAAATTATCAACAGTGGCAGGATCAAACGCAGATGCTCAATTAGAGGAGGCAGTGATTAGAAATTCAGCTAAAAAAAACACACAGACACAAGAGAAACAAACAACTATCAATAGATCCAATACAATACAAATTCTGCATTGGACAAAACACAAGAGACATAAGAAAATAACAATACAAACTTACAAAATAACCTGTCAAACACACCAAATTAAAATATAGTCAAAGCACCTCTAATAACAGGGAAAAAAGCCAGAACAGTCGCTAAAAATCAAAATCCAACATCAATACAACTAGAGAAATCAAATTAAGGAAATGGGTTTTCCGTCAAAAGAAAAAGAAATAGGTTATAGGTACCTGACCACTATAGCTCAATTAGGCCACACTAAGAGAAATCAAATTAAGGAAATGGGTTTTTCCGTCAAAAAAAAAGAATATTTAGGTATATAGGGGTACCTGACCACACTATAGCTCAATTAGCCACTGAAGTAAAGCCTATTAACGAGGCAGTAGCAGAGCAAAATCCAACATCAATACAACTAGAGAAATCAAATTAAGGAAATGGGTTTTCCGTCAAAAGAAAAAGAAATAGGTTATAGGTACCTGACCACTATAGCTCAATTAGGCCACTGGAGAAGCCATTAACGAGGCAGTAGAGAGGAAAAGGTGAATGGATGGTGATGGAAGTTCTTAGGGTTAGAAAGATGGAAGAGATTAGTTATTTAATATATTCAGATGAGAGCAAAGAGGGGAATAGTGGCAGAGAGAAGAGAGTAGAGATTACCTGTCGTTTAGCCACTCTAAAAAACAATAACCAATGGACGAGGTTACACATGACAAAACTGAACTGGACTGAGGTTGCATCTTAACGTATTCGAGCTTCTGTGGGCTTTATTGTTGGGCACAACACAAAGAACTGCCTGTATTTACAAACAAAAGTGGGTTTTAGCTCACTAGAGAGAGAGAGAGAGAGAGAGTCGTTGATACAAAAGCAACAGGAGCAGAAACAACTATAAACTGATCAAATTTACTTTCGATAAGACAATTTCTCAATCAATCAAGTTCTTCTTTGCGCGGTACGATCTCCTCTCTCTTTCTTCTTTCTCTTTCAATGTTCAATGGAAAAAAAGAAGAAAATAAATACTTTCTGTTTCGTTGTTTTCTTTGCTATTCTGTAAATGAAATCCACAAATAAAACTACGTCGTTTTAGTTTAGGATTGCTTTTCAATGATACAAACAAAACAAAAGCCCTCTCATGTCTCAACTCAAGCGTATTCTTCTCCCTGTCCCTGCGCCGCTCATTCTCTCCTTTTACAGTCACACTCACAGTCTTCTTTCTTTATACCTTCCCGTCGCTTCCTTTCTTTGCCGTCGCCTCCGCAGCAGTGGTGCTCTTCAACCGTAGTACCACTAACAGGTTCCACTCTTGATGTTTTCTTTTATTTCGTTCTCATTTTTTTTTTTTCGTTTTCCTTCGTTCCATTTCCTTTTTCTTTGTTCTTTTTTTTTATATAAATACATATAGACAGACAAAGAGGAGGACTTGTTGAATTAATTTGTGGGTTCAGCCGGGAGATATATGTTTATTGTTTTATTTTTTCATTTAGGGGTTTTGTGCGTGTTTAATTTGTTGAAAATATATATATTAAAAGGCAAAAGGATGGTGAATATAAGCCAATTCGTGGCTATATGAGTGAAATCTGACATGTTTGGTTGTTAATTCAAAGTTTGATTTGTTAGTTCAAAGTTTGGTTTGTTAATAATGATTAAGATTGTGTAGAGATAGCGAGATGAATTTGTGATTGAACGGTTCGGCCAATATGCGGGTAATACTAAACGGATTTGGGAGGGACGGATTCGGGTACTATTGTTCATGTTTGTTTGGGATTTAACATCTGATGGTGTAAAAAAGTAGCATTTTTTTCTGGGTTCTGGGGTTTAGGTCATGATCAATTTACTGTGTGCTATTTGTTAAGGTGCTTTTGCGTTTGAAAGTTTGTGGTTTTTGGCCTATTTGATCATGTGGTGTGTTAGGTTACTTTTGATTGAATGAGAGCTGGCTTTTGTTATTCTTTTGTAAACAACTTTGTAGGTTTTTGTGATTCATATTTGAATGGAAATCCATTTTTCAGGTATAATCTTAATCTTTAATAAGCAAGTTTTGTTTTAATGTGACTATGGATGCCAACTTGCAGCATACATTTTAGATTAGAATTTTTTAATTAGGCATTTTAAACTTAATTAAGAGTTTAAAAATCCTGTTAATGTAACTAGAGAATTTGATCAAGCGTTGAGAAAATTAAGTTAAATGGCAGAATATGAAACTTTGTCCGTTTTTGATGCCTCTAAGCATGAATATATATGCTTTAATCAAAACCAAAGAGCTTTAAGCCATATCAGATCAATTTGTTATATTCTTGTAATGATTTAGTTGTTTGATGGCTGCTGTATATGGTATATTGAAAAGCAATCTCAGACATGATTTCTAATTTTCTATGAATGGTAAGAATAAATTAGTAATTATGATAAATAAAAAAAGATAATGGCTCATGAAAGTAATCAAGAATTCATCCTCTTTAGCCATTTCTCTCCTTTCTTCTTTCTACCAGTTTTGCTTTTGCTTTTCACTTTGTGACTGGCTGCTGTTCCCTTTCTTTTTTTTCTTTTTTTTTTCTTTTTTTTTTTTTGAGTTTTCTCGTTTCAATAAATTTTGATATAACTAGATTTTATAATTCAAATCTGTTTTAATTTGATATTTTTAGGGTATTTATTTTTTTTTTTATAATAAAACTAGGACTTTTAGTATTCTGTTCTTATCTGTTCACAGATGCTGTGGTTTCCTTAATTAAGAAATTCAGAATCAAGTGGCTTGATGATAGAGCAATTTGTTTTGCATGTGGAGAGTAAAAAAAAACTATTTATTTGTGTTATTTCTGCTGCTTTCTTTATTTGTCCTCTCTTTTACTGGGCGTTTTGCTTTAAAGGAAAATATTTGTTATGCATGGAAGAACTAAAGATAAATATCTGTGAAATAAAAGTTTTGAAACTTGTTTATGTTGTTTTATCATTTTCTTCTAAATTTTCTTATTTTGATGGTTTATCTTTGGTTGCAACTGTCCTTTTTCACTATACCAATTAACTAGGCATTTTGCTCTAAAGGAAAATGTACAATATGCATGAGGATTAAATTATTTGTGGAAAGGCAGCTTAATATAAGTTTTGAGACTTGTTTGTGTATTTTCATCCTCTTATCAAATATCTATTCAATATGGCTTCTTTTTGCAGATCAGTATTGGATTCTATTGTTTTGTGATCGTCAAAGCCAAAAACTAAATCTCAATCGCAATGGGCTCATTCAGCAACTCCAACTTTGACAATCTCATGCTCCAAACGCTAATGGGCCGCCTCCAAATCCGCCCTCCAAATGCTACATATAACCCCTTCCTCTCTGAGTCTCTTGAGGACCTCCTCTTTGACCGTGCCAACACTTTCTCTGATAACTCAGATGAAGACATCTTTGATACTAGAACTCAACTATCCAAAGAAGAATCGAAGCTTGAGAAGGAAATTATTCGGCTAATTCTCTCGGGTAAGACTGATTCGTTGAAACCTAACTCAGGCCAGGCAGTTACAATTGGTGAACATCACATATGTGTTGGGTTTCATGAAGAGAAAGGATCAGATTATAGGGTGTGGGAGTGGCATGGACATATTATGTTGTTTGATGAAGAGAATGGGTATACTCCTGAGTATATTTATGGAAATTACTTTGAGAGATTGCAGCGTAATGAAGTTGGACGTGGTGGGATTAGTAAGGTGGATAAGAAAGAGGAAGAAGAGGAGGAAGAGGAGGAGGAAGAGAAGGAGGGGGAGAAATTGGAGAATTTGGGGCTAAGAGAGTTGATTGATGATGGGGATGCTGCTGGTGCTCGAATTCTTCACAGGAATATCAATGCAGGTTCTCCAAGGTTTGTTCTATAAATGACTGCCCTCCCTATTTATTTGTTGTGTATGTGTTCCTTTTGCTGTTTATGGCTAATGCCTATGATCATTTGCGGTATTTATTGGTTTTTTTATATCCCTTGCTTTAGGTCGGTTCATTCTTCATGCTGTATGTCTTATTGGAGAAATAATTTCATACTTACCAATATTCTTAGAGCATTTGGCTAACTTATGCAGTGTGTATGCATGGTTGTGGTGTTCCTTGCAAAAGTATTTGCATACGAAGATAGACATCATGTTTAGCTTAATGCATTTTATAAACTTGAAGTGCCTAAGATTTACTTGAATGGTGCTATATTATCTTGCAGATATATTTTCCAAATTTGACAAATGCCTGGAATGCATTTTGACATTTGTTTGAACTATGATTTAATGGTGTCTACATTCATGCTGTTAGAATGTGATTTTTGTAGAGTTGATGTATCATGGATCCGTCCCTTGTGCATTTTATAGTAGCAGAACTTCATTTCTCTTCGTGCCAAACTAATGAATGAATGCATTTGATGTATGTATATTTGTCTTTCTACGTTGTGCTACAATATAAGCAAACATGTTGTACTAAAGTATTGATGACCCATATATTTACTGGAAATGGACTATTTTATATACAAATGCTTTCATGATTCTGATTTTTTGTGATTAACTTGTGAACTCCCTTCCGTACAAAATGGCATTCTTCTCTGACTGACAAGTAATGGTTCTATTGTAAAACATAAGCTGAATACACAGTATGAACTATTTTTGTTGGTTGATGTGTATGTTGTGAAAATGATATCCTCATTTCTGTTTATTCCTTCAAGTTGATTTAACAAAACTGCAATATTGATGTTTGTTGCACTCATTTATAGTTCTTATTTGTTTGTTCCCATTTGTTATTGAACATAACAGGTTTAGTTGAATGGACTTTGCATAACTGGTTTTGGGCATTCAAGGAGAGACTTTAAATCAATACCTAGGTCTGTCAATTCTTCAGGATCGAAGCATTTGGCACACTACTACTGCTGCAGTTTGAGCAATCATTTTGGGGTCGTGTATGGTTCCTATGTTTGACTTTCACGAGTTATATTAAATACATGAAATTTATTTTTTAACAGTTTTGTTATGAGCAGAATAAATGTATACTGTTGATAGCTGTCGGTCCCTCTCATATAGATATTACAGTTTTACCTGCAAGTTGCAAGTTGGTTTCAAGTTTAACAACTTCTTCCCATTTGGCAGTATGTGATTGCTTGGCTTTCTATGGGTTTTTTAGGCTTTCTTAAAAGTGCCTGAGCTTCCAATTTCGATCCTCATTTCATAATTTTGTTAGTATTGCAAGTTCTGATATGTAATTGACAATGTGTGTTTCTGTTTTTATCGGTTTATATAGTTTTATTCAGTTATAGTATTGGTTTGTATTTTACTTGTTAGTTATTGGTTACAATTGGGTATGTTTGTCTTAGGGGACTTGCTATGATACCTTGAAGAGATATTAAAGGAAATTTTCCTTGATTTTACTTTAGTCAAAATAGGCCGGCCACCTTGTAACCTCAGCTACACGTTAAAAAGGTAAGAGTTTTGTCAAAATTTATAATAAAGAGGATCGACTTCGACTTTAAAAATGAGATTCTTCGACAATCTCTGATTTCAGGTATATTCCTTTACAATGTTTGAGATTATGGTATTTTCGGTTATAACTAACACCAGAAATGTCATGAGTTAAGAGCAATAAGAGCGGAATCTATAACCGTTAAACCCCTAGTTGAATAGAAGTAAATTTAGATAACCAATCAGCATAGACATTCGCTCCGCGATATATATAGAACAAATGAATTTGAAAGCCAGTCTGGGCAAGAAGATGTTCAATCCGAGAAACCGAAGGGCGAAGGAGCTGAACCTTGAATGTGTTGGACTGTATGTAGCTCTTTCTTCTGCTTTTTGGATTCAGCTAATTTATGGTCATTGATGATTTCATCATTATGAAGCATTATTATTAGAAATCAGTGATTCTAATTCTTTGAAATTCATGTAATTGAACCATTTATTCAGTTTTTATGGCATTTGTTAGTTTATTCTTCAAAGTATTCTTTTAAGATTTACTAATGTAGATTGTGCTTCTGACTATCATTTATTTGCTATGGCCTTCATTTTTAGCTTACCCTTCAGTAGACATGATCGATTTAGTGAGCCGACCGTTCGAGATTTTATAAATTTTGAATCTGAATTGATTTTTGAACGCTCTCGGTTCAGTTTTGGTCTCGGTGTGACTCCGATGAATTTTTAAAATAAAATACTTTATTTCTATTACCACGTTGGTATTTCTGATAACAGTATTCCGGTGAGTGACTTTCCATTCACACAAACGTTGAAGTTCTGTAATTAAAAAATAACGAATTAAAATTTTGTGAACTTACGAAATTAAGTATAAAGTTAGATAACATTGCAATTCACCCGATCACAGTTTTATTTGCTTGTCTATGCAAAAGACGAAGCCATGGAAAGTGCTTCATCTGATTGTACTTTTTTTTATTATTATTCTATTGCTGAGTGTGACCTTTAGATATTGCTACAGATGCAATTGTTCTAATATAATTTTTTTTTATTTTACTTTTTTAGCCATTTAGAATTCTTTTTTTAATTAAAATTTTTGCTACCATAATTCTCAAAAATTAACAACGAACCAAGCATCTGGTTCAAAATTGTGGTTGATTTAATTAAAATTAAATATTAATAACAAATTTTTATATTATATTTTTATCCTATTTAAAATTTTTTATTTTATTTTTTATCCAACAAAATTTAGATTTAAAAACACCAATAATAACTCAAATTGAATTCTTATATTATGTTCTTACCATATTTCGTAAATACCATGTAATATAATTTATTATATCATAATAATTTCAAACATAAAATCTTTTAATTAAATTATAAGTTAGTAATATATAATTTCACTTAAAATTAACTATCAATATGACTATTAAAAAAAATTAACCAATTCATCAATATTTAGTTGATTGTTTTTAATTAAATTCTTTTATGCTTTTTATCAAAGATATCGATGCTAATTAAGTCTAACCTTATCATTTTTAAAAAAATTTGAAGTCTAAACTTATAATTAATAATAATTTTATTATTTTATCAGTTATAATTATTTTATTAAATATACTTTGCTTTTAACGTTGTCCTATTATATTAAAATTAGTTTTAAAAAAATATTATTCAGTTATAATAAATATTATTTAAAGCTGTTGCGCTCATATCTTACCATTATATAAATATTTAGAGAATAAATGAGAAAAATTATAATCATACTAAATGCTATATAAAAATAAATTAATAAATATAAACAATGAGTAATATCGAAACATTAACGATATGCAACGCACGTTATAATAAACACTAATATATATATACTAATTTAAAACTGAAAATCAATAACCATCGTTAACCATCGAAACTAATTCATAATTAATATATTGTTTTACACCTTAAGGGGTAGGGATGGAAGCGGTACAAGTATTTTAGGGTATCTGCTTTGTTTCATTCCATTTAAAGAGAATATGGATAGTTATAAATGAGTTTAGAATGATAATGGATAATGAAATTACTACCCACAACAGATATGAATAATGAAATTACTATCCATAATGGATAAAAGTAGGATACGTGTATAGATATTTGAATTCCTGCTATCCATTCTCTTCGGGGGCACCCTATCCATTGTTAGTAAAAATGTATTTAAATAATCTTAAATTTAGATAATTTAAGATTTGCAGATACACTACCAAGGTACTTTAAACGAGTTTTGGACACATACGGATAGTAAAATTTAAACAGATTCAAATACGGGTACTTAAAAGAGTATTTTAAATGAATCTAGAATAGATACATGTACAGGTAGTTTAAAATTCTTAGGTATCCACTTCACTTCCATTCTCATCAAAGAGTGTATTTGATTAAAACTCTGTTATATTTTAAAATATTTTTGAAATCTTTGGATTGGATGATAAATTTGAGAATAACTCTTTTATAAAATCCAACGAAATTAATAATTTTATAAAATCTTTCCAAATCATTAATTTAAAAGTCATAATTGAATATTATCATATTTTTATAAATTTTATAAAAGTTTAAATTGAAAATCTTTTAAAATCTTTTAAATTTAAAATGTGATAGAGTTTTAATCCAATACAAGAAGCCAAATCTTCCATTAGTAACTAATAATAATAAAAAAATTCCATTAGTAGAATAATATAGCAGAACTTATAATGTTACATTAATGACTAAATTACCCCTGATTGTAGGAGTAGGGAAAATGTCGGACACAAACGTGAATTAGTTTCCACTTTTCTGTTAAAATCCGTAGCACATGCAATTGCTGTTTCAACTGATCATACGATGGTTAAAACCCTCCTACACTCCTCTAATTTAATCGCCGAATTTCCTCACAGAGTCGCTTCGTCAACCAGTCGATGACGCTTCAACAGAATCACCACTCCCCATTGTCCTCTGCTTTAGCGGTAAGTCCAATTTTGAATTAATTTCTTTTTTTTTTTAGTAGTTGGACATGAAGACTTAATCTTCTATTTTCATCGACCAGTCCATGATGCTTCAACAGAATCACCATGCTCCATTATGTTCTGCTTTAGTAGTAATCCCAATTTTGGATTATTATTATTATTATTATTATTATTTTTGATTAGTTGGAGATGAAGACAGAACCTTTTTTTTTTTTTTTTTTTTTGATTAGATTGGAGATGAAGACAGAACCTTTTTTTTTTTTTTTTTTACTATTTCAAGGATTTTTTTGAGTTTAAAGAGAATTTTTAATTTCCTTTTTTTTTTGGGCAATTATAGATTTTTCGAGTTCAGGCATAAATGTTAATTTGTTTTTTGGAATTTTTTGATTAGAGGGGCGATTGAATGCAGAATCTCGTTTATTTTGGTTTACATTAGAGTATGGTTTATTGGAGTGTGGTTCCACATTACAGATTGTGTGAACAATATGCATTTCCGTTTGATTCAAAATTTTGCCTTTTTTTTTTTTTTTTTTACTATTTCAAGGATTTTTTGAGTTTAAAGAGAATTTTTAATTTCTTTTTTTGGGCAATTATAGATTTTTCGAGTTCAGGCATAATGTTAATTTGTTTTTTGAATTTTTGATTAGAGGGCGTTGAATGCAGAATCTCTTTATTTTGGTTTATTAGAGTATGGTTTATTGGAGTGTGGTTCACATACAGATTGTGAACCAATATGCATTCCGTTGCATCAAAATTTGTGAATGAGTAGTCTTCTACTTATATGGATTCACTTGCATGGTTTTTGTATGGTGCAATCAACAATTTATGTTAGCTCAAATTTATTTCTGGGTATCTTTTTATCCCACACCATCCTTTTAATTTCCAAATGCCGTCATGAATCATGGTTGACTTTTTTTAGTCATTATTGCTTGCTTTTCCATCACTTTCTTTTGCCTACTTATGTCTAAGTTTGATTGTCAATTTGCATCATCCTTTATGCCTCAAAGGCATTTTTGGTTTTGACTTAGATTTGAAAGGTTAAGTCTTGAAGGCTTGATTTTCAATCTATGCTAATTTGACATTAGTTTAGATTTTTCTTGATTTAAAAGAAGAGGAGGAAGAAGGTAAACATAAAATTTACCAAACCCCACTGAAGATGATTTTATTTTATTCATTTATTTTGTGTATGTAGGAGGAGGAGAATATGGGCAATGTGAAGAAACAATTATCCAAGTTGTTTGCCGTTTCACTTCGAGAAATGCTGCCTCCTCAACTCAATGCTGAGCCACTGGTTGCTTCCTGTGTACCAAAATTTGGCGATTACCAATGGTATATAAGTTTATTTTTAATTATGCGGATATCTTGTTTTCTATTCTGTCTTTTTGAATTTTTCTCTCTGTTTTGTTTCGATACAATGTCCATGGATGGGTCTCCGATTAACTTTTATTTTATTCGGATTCTCATTTTCTCTCCCTTTTTGGTAAATCTAGTAACCTTGTTGTTATTATTATTGTTGTTGCAGTAATAACGCCATGAGTCTTTTCTCTAAATTGAAAGGAACAAATAGCAATTATCAGAATCCCCTTGCTGTTGGACAGGCATGTGTACTGGACAATGTTCTTTGTTAGTCTTTTTAGTCAATATTGATGACATGATAACTATATTTTTGGAATGTTGGCAGGCTATTCAGAAAAATCTGCCTTTCTCTGAAATGATAGAGTCATCCTCTGTGATAAAACCCGGATTTGTGAATGTTTTTTTGTCGAACAAGTGGATGGCTGAGGTGCATTCCCTGATTTCATGTGTTTTCCATAATCATCTTAATCGTTGCTTTTCTAGTTATATGTTTGTTTTTAGCATGAGCTCCTTTTTGTTTTAATTTAATCATTCTGTTCATGCCAACTTTGTTGGACTGTCTAAATTATATTGTTGTGCCTGCAGTACATTCAAAAGATGCTTGTTAATGGCATTGAAAGTTGGGCACCCAAGCTTTCGGTTAAACGTGCTGTGGTCGACTTTTCATCACCCAATATTGCAAAAGAACTGCATGTTGGCCATTTAAGATCTACCATAATCGGTGACTCGCTAGCTCGCATGCTTGAGTTTTCGAATGTTGAAGTTCTTCGTCGAAATCATGTTGGTGATTGGGGGACTCAGGTATCATTGGTTGTATTTACTACACTCACTAATCGTGTTTGCTAAAGTTATTTATGAGATTTTGAAAAGCTATCACTTTGCTTCTTTCAACAGTAGCTCTTTACAATTCAAATGAGTGATATACTATTATTTCATTCCTGATTTCTGTACTAAACTGTGTATAAAGTATGATTATTCTTCTTGTCACTTGGTTGACGTCTGCTTTAGGTGTTGTGTTTTGCTATTTTACATGAAGTGAATTATGTTCTAATGTTGTAAGTTTTTTGAACATAATTGCATGTGTAGCTCGTCAAGTTCAGATGACATGGTTTGATTCGATATTTTAAATTTAATTTGAAATTTATGTTGGCAACTTATTTTGATTGTCTACATATATCTACAGTTTAAAAAGGTTTGTGTTGTATGCCAACTTGATTTCATTCTCAATCAACAATACTGACCTAACAAATTATTATTCATTTTGTAGTTTGGTATGTTGATTGAATTTCTGTTTGAAAAGTTTCCAAACATTGAAGATGTTAATGAAAGTGCCATTGGTGATCTACAGGTGGGTCAAGACTTTTTAATAAACTTAAAAAGCTAAAGTTTAGTTCTCTGTTATCACTGTCTTTTAATTTCAAATAGGCTGGCAATATTTTCATTGGATCTAGATCATAAGTTTTTAGAAAATGGGATATGCAGATTCTGACAACTTGTGTTTATAGGCATTCTACAAGGAATCAAAAAAGAGATTTGACATTGATTCTGAGTTTAAGGAGAGAGCACAACAAGCAGTGGTCCGCCTTCAGGTAAACTGTTTAATCTTCTGTTTTTACAGCTAGTATATTTTTCGTATTATATCATGTTGACATTTTTTGTTGCAAAGGGTGGAGAACCCAAGTACCGCCATGCTTGGAAACAGATATGTGATATCAGCAGGAGGGAGTTTGATATGGTCTATCAACGCCTTCGGGTTCAGCTAGAGGAAAAGGTAAATGTTTAGCATTTTTTATGTTGTGGATCCATGGATGTCATAAAAGTTTGTTCTGCTGAACTGTATAGAATCCTCTAGGAATGCCTGTCAAGTCTGATCTTAGTGGGAAATTATAAAATTGGTGTTCCTCAAATATTTTTTGAAGTCTTTCTGTGGTTGTAATATGATATCTGGCAATCAAAAAAATGTCAAGTGATGAGAATAAAATTAGGTAAGTTGCATGTTCTTCTTTTTCCGCTTTCTGGTGGGGGTGGGCTCTTTAATGTACCTTGTTGTCACAGCAGTATAAAATGATACTTAGGCTGTTGGTACCAAATGTTGCTTATGCTATAGTCATGAATAAATTTAATTCTCTATTTTATTGTTCATTTAAGTATGTTGCAGTTTTGAAACTCTGTTTAAAGCTTAGACATACTGATTACCGAGCATGCATTAATATATACTGTGCAACCACACTTGCAATCCATAAAAAAACATGCTTGCTGATTTAAGATATTGGGCTTATGATGACCTCCTTTTACTTTCTTTGTTTCCTTTTTTTCCCATAAAGGTCGCTTGAAATAAGAAATGGCTGTTTATTCTAGTAGAGGCGCATTTGAGCCTCACCAGTGTTTTGCATTTTTTTAGGAGAAAAATAAGCAGCAAGCTTTTACTAATCACATGCATGTTTATATGCCATTCCTTATTGACAGGGAGAAAGCTTTTACAATCCTTACATTCCTGGGGTTTTAGAGGCACTAACCCAGCAAAGATTAGTTGAAGAAAGTGAAGGCGCTAGTGTGATATTTATTGAAGGGTATGATGTACCTCTTATTGTTGTGAAGAGTGATGGTGGTTACAACTATGCATCAACTGATCTGGCTGCTCTTTGGTTAGTTGGCCTTGCTTCATCTTACTTCAGATTATTTTGATTGCCTTGTAATCTCTATAACCATTTCCTAAATTTGTATTTGGTGGGCGTTGTGGTTAAAATCATCCTATTATTGTTGTATGGATTATGCAATTTTCTAGTGATCTTAATTTGAATTTGATAATGGATGGTAGGTGATGAGAATTGGAGAAAACTGTGATTGCTTCTATGTTGTCCTTTAACTTTCTCTTCCTTCCCCCCCGCCCCACCCCCCCTCCCCCCCCAAAAAAAAGAAGTTCCATCATCTACAGAAATTTTTTCGTTTCGATGATTTCTGAGAAAATTCCGGTTTATGGTTTCCTGAATTACCAATATGGAAGGTTGGCATTGGTGGGATTTGTTGCACATATAGCAACTTAATTTTGAATTATTACTTCCTCCCACTCAAGTTAGAGGCATATTTACGCCCTATGGATGTTTGTTCGCATGTAAAGTGGGGTGATGTCCTTTGCTTCGTGATTTGTGACATTTCGTTTTACGGTCCATTTTTGCTCAACATTAAATTCAATATATGTGGAGATGGGTAGTTTTTTTCTCTTAACATCAAACTATTAGTACTCTGATATATGAATTTTAAGAATTCCATTTTATGACATATATTCACGAGCATTTGGAGAATGGATTCTCAAGAAAAAGAAAAAGCTAGAGGGTAAGGTGGGTTGTAATTTGTTTTGATTGCTAATATTTCTTGCTTTAGGTATCGCCTTAATGAGGAGAAAGCTGAGTGGATTATTTATGTTACTGATGCTGGCCAGAATCAGCACTTCGAAATGGTTTTCAAAGTATGTATTTGCTTCTGTTTCTTGTATTCACTTATTTTCCTCTTAGTGCGTGTTGTTTTTTTGTTTTGCTTGAATTATTTTCTTCTTTATTTTCTATATACAAGTTTACTTTTGTGTTATATTGCAACCACTCTGTGATGGTGAAGTGCAATACTGATCATCAAAATCTACACATAGTTGCTTTTATCTCATGGATAGTACTTCTAAAATTAGATTTTGTTTGAATGCAGGCTGCCAAACTAGCAGGTTGGCTCCCGTCTGCTGATAATTTATACCCAAAAGTTACTCATGTTGGTTTTGGCGTGCTTAAAGGGGAAGATGGAAAGCGCTTTAGAACTCGTTCCACTGAAGTGGTTCGATTGGTTGATCTCCTTGATGAAGCCAAGAAACGCAGTAAAACAGCACTAGTTGAGCGTGGTAGAATAATTGAAGTGTTTTATATTTAGCTGTGATTGACATGCTTTTAGTATTTGCTCAAAGATTTTTTATGGGCTACCTTTATATTTTCTTAATTCTGGACAGGTAAGGGTGAAGAATGGACTGAAGATGAGCTTGAGCAAACAGCTGAGGCTATTGGTTATGGTGCTGTTAAGTAAGCTTTCTGTCTATCCTCTGTCTTTCCTTTTTCATTAGCTTAAATCTTGTCATCATATTGTCAATAGGCATGCAGTATGCTTTTGGTATTTTTTTCTATTGATGCATGGCTTACTTGAATAATACGTCATTATCTGCTGTGGGTGTGAGGGAACTTGGGAATTATGGAACTCAATCTTTGGATTGATGGAAGAGAGTTCATTAAGTATTTATGATGTGATTTATCAAGGAATAAAACTTTGGTGTAAAAAATTATAAATTGATTGATTGTTGTTTGAATAGTGAAGCAATGGGATTAGTTGAGAATTGGTATGCTACAACAACAACAACAACAACAACTAAGCCTTAGTTCCAAGCTTGTTGGGGTTGGCTATTTTAATCTTTTGTTTCCAATATCTCCACTGATCAAATTAATATAAAGTGCAGATTAAATTTATAAGTCGAAAAATTTTAAATTACTTTCTGTAAGAAAAAGTTTGATATATTTTAAAGAAAAATTGTAGTGGAATTTTAAAATCATTTGATATGTTAATAAATAAGCAAAGCATAAAATAGGCAACAACAACTAACTAAGGTTCTTTTGAGAATTGGTATATGCCTTAAAAATTAGGTAGATTTTGGCAGGCAATATGGAATGGTACTTTGTTCAGCTACAGAAGCATACGCCTCTGATGCTGTAATAAATATCATCCTCAAGGAATGGAGATCAAGTACTGGCTTGTTTAATAGGTTAATTCTAAAGGAAGTGCCGCACGGATAGGCATAGCAAAATCCTATCTCCGTGACAGGTGGTATCAGAGCAGGTTCCGTCCTAGGTCCCAAGCCCTTTGCCTTGATCAATGGCAAATGGCAAACGATAAAGCTCAATTGGGTTGGTTGCGGAGGAACGAAACAACCCGAGCAGGCAGAGGCAGTACGGCAGGTCCGTAGCCGGTGCGCACTCGATCTAAGAGGGGGAAGTCTAAGGCACGAACCTCACCGCGTGGAAATCATCGTGGAAGCGAAAAGATTTCAGCTCTGCAGCAAGCGGTGATCTTCTCAAGAAGCTTTTTGTGGGCAGAACTTTGTGGGAGAACTCTCCGAACAAATCGACAATGTTGTTCAGGAGAATGGAGAGATCATTCGAGCTGCCAAATGCATGATCACCGAGCTTGGTAGATCCCTACGAGAGGAGCTTCAAGCCCTTGCTGGTAGGATAAACGAGGTACGTACATTCACTGAATCTGAACTTAGTGCCTTACGTGGTGAAGTAGATGCTATCCGTTCTGAATGCCGGATGCACCAACGAAGGAGTAGCCCAGCATCGACCAGTGCTACCACAAGTCATGTAGCACATGGTTTGAAAGTACCCAAGCCTGCGACGTATGATGGAACGCGCAGTGCCTCCATGGTGGAAAACTTTCTCTTTGGCCTTGACCAGTACTTTGAGGCCATGGGGGTAAATGATGATGCTGAGGCCAATGGGGGTAAAGTGATGATGCCGCTAAGATTGGCAATGCCCCCACATTCCTATCGGGATGCTGCTCAGTTAATGGTGGTTCGAAGAAGCTGCGACGTGAAAAAGGCACTTGCAACATCCATGACATGGGAGCAATCAAGTCCCGAAGTTGCGAAAGCATCTTCGTGCCTCATAAATGCGGATACTGGAAAGCAAGGGGTAAACTACGTCCGTCCTACAAAAAGAGGTAGCCCTTTCCGATTTACATTAAGGAGTTCACACACTCTTATGTTGGAAAATTGACGACTTTGTCGCCATTGACGACTTGTCCGACAAAGATGCTCTCTTCTTCTTGAAGGTGGAGCTAGAGCGGCGTAGCGTGCAAACACTTGATGATGCTATTGCCGTAGCTGAAACTCTAACAGACTACTCCACCCGAGTTGAGAACAACAAGCCCATTCCTAGCAAGAGTGGGGGAGAGGAAGAAGATCAAGAGAAGGACCATCATGACAGGGAAGATGGTTCGCCCAAAGCTCTCGAGGGAAGACATGATAAGCAGTTTAGGAAGCATAATTTCAGACCTAAACCTTGCTTCCTATGTGGAGGGCCGCATTGGACAAGAGATTGCCCCGATAAGGAGAAAATAAATACGATGCGTGAGGAGAAAATAAATACGATGCGTGACATCTATAAAAAGGCAGTGAATGCCATGGTCACTGAGTGCAATAAGGAGAAACAGGCGACAGGCGACAGAGGAACACATAAGCCCAGATGGGTTCCCTACGATATTTGGCGCGCAATATCACTCTTCGCACTCCAGAGGAGGAAGTGAAGGCGACAGAGGGAACAGCCAAGCCCAGACAGGTTCCGTGACGAATTTTAGGCGTCTTCGCACTCCCAAGGAGGAGGAAGTGACAAATCATGAGCAATCCTCGCCGAAGTCTGCCGAAACGATGGAGGATAAGTCCAAAGACATCACACCTCCACAGTCACCAAAAACACCTCCTAAAAAGGAAGTTAATCACCAGGTTGAGCTGGAGCCAAGAGCTAAGCTGCCAGCCATGCCCTCTCCTCGAAAGTCACCTCCAAAAATGGGAGAACAGAGGAAGGCCAAGATTGCCACAGAAGCATCAAGTCACAAGGCGAAGCTAGCCAACACCAGTGCTAGCGCCTCACAAAACAACCCACGGGATCACATCCCTAACCTCACAAGTGTGTGAGGAAATTGCATAAGGAAGCAGGCGAGATTCTTGCTTGTCTCGACAAGGCTGTACGGTTTATAAAGAAATGGGCCAAGAGGCGACCGAAGAAGTACGCCAAAGGAGACAAGGTACTAGTCAAACTCAGCCCTAACCAACTCAAGTCCTTACAAAAGGAACATAAAGGGCTTGAGAAGAAGTATGAAGGACCATTCCCTATCATCAAACGAGTAGGGAAGGCCGCATACCAAGTCCAACTGCCTCAAGAGTGGAAGATTCATAATGTCTTCCATGCTAGCATGCTAAAACCTTATCATGCTGGTGGTAAGGATCCAAATAGGGGCAAGGCCACTAGAGCGCCAACTGTTGTTGCCAAAGCTGACAAGGAGGTTGACAGCATCCTCAAGTCACGAGAAGTATGGCGACGAGGAGTACCGAGCTACCGCGAGTACTTGGTCAAGTGGAAGAACTTGCCCGAATCTGAAGCTAGCTGGGTGCATGAAGAGGTTCTTTGGCAGTTCAAGGACAAGTAAAAGAGCACGAAGCTCATAGCGCGACGAGGACGTCGCTGAATCAAGTGGGGGAGGATGTTACGCCCCGCACTGCAAGCTGCGCAAGAATGCAAGGCAGGACGTCCGCTGAATCAAGTGGGAGGATGTTACCCCCCGCACTGCAAGCTTGCGCAAGAATGCAAGGTCAGCCTAGCAAGTTTATAGGCCAAGGCATTAGAGAGGTGCCAATTGGGCTGCATAATATAACAAGGCTTGATGAGTAACCTCCAGCCCGCATTTCTAGAATCCTCTCACTGTCTCCACACTACTGCCACACGAAGGAGATATTTTTGTGGTAGTGTCTACATTATTCTAGAAACTCTCTATGTATCTACGACCAATTGATTCCGTGTAGGCTAAATCATAACCGTCCCATTGAGGAGGTGGAAGGGCTATAAAGTACACCCTCAAAGCTTCATTTGTAAATCAACCAAAAAACAAGGCATTAGCCAAGCAATTCATGTAATACAAAGCATTTGGGTAGTAAAGAGTTCTACCAACAAAGCCTCTCTTGTGTTCTCTTCTCTATTTGGCTTTCAGTTTTGCTCGCATCATAACTCCAAGGCTTTACTTAACTCGTCCTAACACCTCTTATATATGTTGCGACTAAGTGCCGCACGGATAGGCCTCCATCATAACTCCAAGGCTTACTTAGCTCGTCCTAACACCCAAAGGCGACTAAGTGCCGCACGGATAGGCATAGCAAAATCCTATCTCCGTGACACCTAGGGCCAGGTTCACGTATGCAACTTGCTATGGTTTTGTACCTCTAATGATGCCAAGTTAATCAAAACCCATTAGGGTTCTAAGTAACTTATCATTCGGTACTTCGTCAGTCATTTATTAATAAGCAAAGTGAGAGGACCCTTCTCAAATAACAACTAAACAATGCTTTCATTAATTAAAAGAAAAGTTCTTACAAAATCACTGTGTAATCATAGTTTACCAAACCCTGAAAAGAGAAATACTAGCCACACATAGCTGTTAAAGAACTGATAGATTTCAAATATAAGGCAGCAAACATTAATCAAACTAATGGAAAAAAATACAAGAGAAAGTAATAGAGAAAACTAATGGCATTCTTCAATATTTGCATCTTGACTTGCTCTGATGTGCTAGCTCTGCCAATAGCCTCCTTGTACTTGAGATCTCCAAGATTTAATATTCCAATTAATATATGTAAATGCGCCAATTTCTTAAGATATTTTTATGTTACATATAATAATAACATAAACAATTATATACTCTAATGGTTCTCATGTGCGATGTGCAAGTCATTAAACTTTTCTAAACAACAAAGTTTGATGCTTCAGAAAATCTTAAGAGTTGAAATCTGTATTAATGGTAACAATTGCTATGATATTATCATCTAAACTTTCTCTAATACACTTGCCATTGTTCGGTGCTGTGGGTTTCGTACGTTGAATTATGTATTACTACATTCTATATTTTTATTTAGATTATATTTTCTTGCGTCTATGTGAACGTAAATTTTCTTGCATTTATTGTAAACTTGTTCTGGCAGGTATGCTGACCTAAAGAACAACCGAATGACTGATTACATATTCAATTTTGACCAGATGCTTAATGATAAGGTAGGCATACTGCTTTAAAGCATATTTTAAAAGGTTATGACACTAAACCTGCTTATATCTAAGGTGATTATGATAGTATTAAGATTTCTCTTTTTTCTCCGCCCTGGCATGTTTATATGACCTTTTGATTATGCTATCATTTCATTTTGTTACTTTATAGACTGTTACTTGCCTTATTTGTTGCTGCCACAATGAATACCTATAACTTGTGACCAGGGCAATACTGCTGTTTACTTGCTGTATGCGCATGCTCGTATCTGTTCAATAATCAGGAAATCTGGTAGAGACATAGAGGAGCTGAAAAATGTAAGTTGTTTTGTAATGTGTAATTTTCTTGTACTTGTTCAATTAGTCCCTGTTTCTTCACGTGACTAAACTGTTATCATTAATTAGTCACTCCTACATTCCTCGGTTTTGATTGGAGGCTGCACCATTATGGTATTCTTGTTTGGTTAAATATGTATACTGAGGCATGTACAAGTGACTTATTAACGATCTAGAAAGTCGTTTTCAATCTTTCTGCTCATCTTACAACTCATTTATGTATTTATTTTAATGCCTTGAGCGTAAATAATTTTCATCTTCTCATGATGATTACAAATTTAAGCGTAATACTGAAATTGATTGACAGAACTTGTTCTATGTTCGTAATAATATGTATTTATAGTCCTTGACATAGTTCTTAGGGATGTTTTCCACACCATTTAGTCTACACAATCTGTTGCATGATTTTGTATTCTCGTTAGCCATTATTAAGCTATCATCAGTGGACTTTGTAATGTCAAACACGGGATTCCCCCAGCCCCTGCCATAATTCAGAAGACCTGCAGTAATTAACATGTCAGCTACCTTTTTTGGGGATTATACAGACAGCGAAGCTAGTGTTGGATCATCCAGATGAACGTTTTCTGGCACTTCATTTGCTACGATTTTCGGAGGTAAGATTTGATAAAGAACCATGAGTTGATTGTGTACCTTGAGGTAGATCTTTTATTTGTTTGGCTGGCTTATTTTCACAATAGTTAGATAGTTAACTAATGAAATTAACCTTTCAGACGGTTGAAGAAGCTTGCATCAACTTGTTGCCAAGTGCGATATGTGAATACCTCTACAGCTTATCCGAATATTTCACTAAATTTTACTCTAATTGCCAGGTGTGCTTCAACTATTAGTTGATGTATCTTGAATGTTGTATGATAATCTCAGAAAATTTGAAGGTACATTACAACTTTGATTTAACTAAAGTATGTTGGGAATTGGTGCAGGTTGTCGGATCTACAGAAGAAACAAGCAGACTTTTGTTGTGCGAAGCAACAGCCTTGGTCATGAGAAAATGCTTTTTTCTCCTCGGAATTGTACCTGTTTACAAGATATGATAGGAGGGGCTTTCAAGTACTTATCTTTTCTCTTTAGCACTTAGAAAACATTTTGTTTAGTTGCCTAATGCATTAAATCACCTTGTATTTTGCGTTTTGTTGCGATTTCGCCCAATTTTGACCTAGCAAGCTCCCTAAAGCACAAAACTGCACCTTTTCTTTGAACTGAAGCCCTTCCAAATCCTTTCATCAATCTCCCTTCTATCTCTCTGCAATTCGTTTGAGTTGGTAATTCTTGAATTGGATTGGTTAATTTCACTGCACTTTATTTGCTTTTTCCAGCTGAAAATTCTTAGATTATTTCATGAAAAACCAAGTATTTCTTCTTAAAAAGCTTAGAATTCTCTCCTTTCTTTCTTAGGGTGTTCGGCCAAAATGAGAGAATAGAGAAGAGGTGGTTTTTGTCTCTTTCATATAATCATTCAATCATACTAATTAAGTTAAATGCTCAAATATTAATTCTTTAAATATTAAATCAAGATGTTAGGTCGAGGAGCTTCACGTGCTAGCTTTTCATTGTCGTGACTTAAGCTCACTTGACCTTCTTCTAATTTGATTTTTGTAACATGATTGGATTCCATTTTATTTCATAATATCAGGAACTACCAAACAGAAGATGTACAAATAGAGAGGGAAACATTGGGATCGCAAAAAAACACTTTACCAAATTTATGGATTGATAAAAATACTGTTAAGGATTTTAATTTTATTGGTTAAAAAATAATGGTAATTTAATTTTGATTGGTGACTTTAATTTTCTATTTAAATTTAAATTATATTGGATAAATTAAGAAATTATATTATATGCTATATAGTATATATATTAAATATGGCATCAATATAGTATATTTTAATTTTATTAGTTGAATAAATAAAGACAATTTAAAATAAAAAATTGATTTTCTATTTGAATCTAAATTTTGTTGGATAAAATAAAAAATTGTATTATATACTAATTAAGGTACATATCAAATACGGTAAGAATAAAAAAATTTGATTTGATAACATAAGAAATTATATAATATATTGAATATAGTGTATTAAATACCATGTATAGGATGAATAAGAATTCATTTCAAGAAAATAAAAATTGTATTATAGATTAAATATGTATACTTTAAATATATTGGTAACATTTAGTTGAAACAATGAAAGTTTGGCAAAGAAAATCAATATATATATATATATAGAGGATAATAAGAATTCATTATCAAGAGACAGTCGGAGAGACACAGAGAGCGTAGAGAGTTATAATAGAGTATACCTTTTAATATATTGGTAACCATTTAGTTGAAACATGAAAGTTTGGCAAGAAAAACTTCAATATATATATTATATATAAGTTTTTTTTTTTCAAGTTGACATATGACATAATTTTTCAATAAAGTTTTCACTTGGCATATTTTTCTAAGAATGACATGTGGCATATTTTCTTAGTTGAACTCGACTTAATATGTATTGCAATTAATTAATTAAATGCGAAACTATAAATATCAAGACATAATAATCAATAATATATGAAACAATAATCATTTGAATAAATAACTAGCTTAACCAAAATTTTTCGAATAAATGAAATGGCCATCAAAATTATAAAATTTTATTTGACTATATAAATAAATAAAATTATAAAATAAATAGAATTAACTAATAATATATGTAACCTCATTATCCTATATTTTAAAAAATGGTTTAATATTATAATTAAAATTTATAAAATATTATTAAAGATTAATAAAAATATTATCTACATTTTTAGAAAATTTTATTTCAACATTTGCAAGTTTTAAATTAATTATCTTACAATCAATTTTTTATAAATATTAATAAATTTTAAAAAACTTGATCAAATTTTAAATACTAAAATATTTAAAATATTATTTATTAATATTTATTTCTAAACTTGACATTTCATCTCCCTCTATTAATTGTCATGTAAATTGTAACTGTTATTTTTAGTTAATTCTCATTAAAATATTTTTATTGTTATAATTATTGATTGTCATTTATTATTTCTATCATGATGTTTTTATCATTTAAAATATAAAAGATTTAATATCATAAATTTAAATTTTACAAGTTTTAAAATTGTTTATTTACAAATAAGTTATATAAATATTAGAAAATAATTGTAATAAAAAGTGAAATATTAAAATTAAATTTTAAAAATTAATATTTATTAAAATTGTGCATAGCACAAGTATGTGACTAGTTATGTTTATCTATACAATATGTAAAGGTGGGAATGACAAGGAATAATGACATTTCCTATATTGTACTTGTAAAATTTAAGATACTCTAAAATAACGTTAGTCATAGTCAATTAAAAAATTTTAACATAAAAATATATATAATATCTCTACAGTTTGATTGGACATTTTTTTAACTTTTTTTAATAGATAAATACATATAGATAATTAAGTATTTGAAAATTTAAAATTTTTCTATTATTATTTTATTATGTCTACTTATGTTTTATTTCATTATATTATTGTATAAATTATTAATAATAATTTATTATTATCATATTATTTTTATTTTTATTTAATATTATTATAATTTATTTTATTGTAATTTATTTTCAACATTATTATTTTAAATGAATATGTATAAATCTGAGGTATTTGAAAATTTTTTTTTCAAATTTATCTTAAATATATATATCTAGATAATTAAGATTTTGATTTAAAAAGGGTATTGTTAAATTTCTTTAATTACATGTTGTACTCTAATTTGGTTGGGCAAAAAATAAAATAAAAAAAATTATTTTTAAACATCTTGAATATGATTAGTTATGTTGATATCTTATTGAATTCAAATCATATTCTTTCTATTAAGGAATATAAATTTATTAATAAATTTTTTAAATGATTTCATGATTTTGATTGCCTAAAAAAATAAAAAAAAATTATTATTATTTATAAATATTTATTAATTTATAAATTTTATTTGGATATTTGATTTATTAGATTAGTTTCTCATTCGATTGTTAAAGTATATTTATTTACTAAAAGAGATTATAGTGAAAGTTATTAACAAAATATGTAAGTTAATTATAAGATGTAAAATAAAAGGTGTATGATGATTTTTATAAATTAAGATACTTAAATGAAAATTAAAAGCAATTAGTGTATAATAAAAACTATATGAACCAATATACTGAATAGAATATAAATGACATATTTCATATTTAAATTGCTATTTTAAAGAGAGAACAAATATATAATTTTTTTTTTCAATGAGATATTACATTGCAAGACATATAACTAAAAATTTTTACTATATATATAAAAAATCACTATATTTATTGCAATCTAAATAAGAATTTATACTTTTAAATAAGAATTTATACTTTACATTATATAAATAGAAAAAATTAAATAAATATAAAAAAATGAGCATATAATGAGTAATAGTCAAAATGCAACGTACTTTAATTATATAAATAAAAAAAATTAAATAAATATAAAAAATGAGCATATAATGAGTATAGTCAATGCACGTCGTAAAAATGACCTGTTGTATGAATTGGACAACCGTAGCATTATCACACTCTACTTGAATGTGAGCTATACCCATTTGTTTAGCAATTTTGAGACCTCTAATACTGCCCAAAGTTTCGCACTAGGGACTGAACATGTTCCAATCTTTGTTACGAATCCTTTAATCCAGCGGCCTGAGCCGTCTCTTATTAAACCCCCTGCATGAGCTAAGGGTTCTACGAGGGAGCCATCTATGTTAAGTTTAACAAACGGGAGGGAAGGAGCTGTCCAAGATATCCATTTCTCATCCCTTATAGGATTTTCCTTCACCTCTCCATGTAGGATATGGCCTCCGGTGTAACATTCTTTAGCTGAAAAGAGAATCTCATTAACAATTTCTTCAGAAGTGATGTGGTGCTGTTCAAAGGTCCATGTACTTCTTTTCGAAATCTTCCAGCAAGCTTCTCCGAAAATAGTGGTCCATGGAACACCTGAGGCATGAGTCTCTTTGCTTTTCAGGTCATTAATCATCCATTCTTCTAAGGATAGACCAACATCAAAGAAATTATTCAAGTTAAGCCAAACCGGTTCACATAACAACAGTCCCTTAACACATGAAGGACTGATTCATGAGCCCCCATGCAAATATTGCACACTGGAGAGCTGCAGATGTGTCTCCTATGTCTTTCGCTACTGGTTAGTAGCCTGTTATGTAGAGCTAGCCAAAGAAATACTCGGATTCTTTGGGGACCGGTCCACTTCCAAATAAGAGACCGATTCCCATTGTTGCTTGGCATGAAAGACTTGATTGCTTATTGGGAAAGGTACACTAGGATCCCGTGGATTGCGAAATATAAGTAGTTCGTCTATGTATTTTTAAAAATAAATTAAAACATTTTTATAATTTACTTCCATCAGATTATAAGGTTTTTCAGTTCAATTTTTGCATTTTTTCCGTTAATACCTTATGAAATGGCAAAAATATCCCTTTTATTTTTAAAAGCACATGGACGAACTAATTGTATATTTCAAACCATAAGGACCGTATTATAATTTTTTTGGTATAATATTTTAGTATCTCTCTTTTAACTCTATATTTTCTTATTTACTTAACAGAAAAATGTAAAAAATAGATTGAAAGACCTAATAGTATAACAGGAGCAAAAGATAGGGATAAATTGATATATTTTTAAAAAAATAGAAATGAACTAATTATATTTTGCAAACCATCGTAACGGCTTTTTCCTTGCTTATTTGATTTTGATATTTAAATTAACTTTATATAGCAAAATAAATAAAAACCAAGACACCAAAGTATAGGGCTGGTAATAGATCCAGGTTCCCTGACTCTAAAATAAGCGAAACCCATGAAATCAAATCGGCCTAAAGAAACGATTAGCATTCTAAAAGGATTTAAGGATTGCCTACATCTGTGTATAGGCCCATGCCAAATATCAAACTAATCAAAGTGAAAAGCTTTTAACCTGTATTACTATTTTATCCTATCTCGGAATGAAAAGACATAAATAACCCTCATTTATTCTAAATAATTTTATTTGATTGGCTAGATATATGGGGCACCCATACAACATGAGTATACAATTCCTTCCCATAAAAAAACACGCCAATATCTCCTTCCCTCGCTCTCCCATGTAGGATATATGAAGGTTTCTCTCAAATTGTATCACAGACCAAAAAACCAGTTCTGCGTGAAGAAAAGAAACAGAGAAATCGCTTCAAATCACATCTCTCCTTCCTTTTCCCTCTCTCTGCTCCAAGCTAAGAGACAAAGATGGTGGATGTCTTGAAAATGTACACAACATCCACACTTTTAACTGAGTTTGATTTTACATTATCATATGCTTTGAGTTCGATATTATATGCTTTATATTTTCATATGTCGTTTTAAATGCATATATTAATTCATTGTTGCTTCCATGGATAGTGATAAGTTCGAAGAGTACTCCTCACTTGTGGATTTGGTTTATTCTGGAGCACTTTCTGCAACAGGTAGTGAAGTCTAAATCTATCAGATTATTTGTTTCGGTACTTGAAATGATATGAGATGTATCAATTTTATTTTTGATATGATATTTATGTGCATATAAATCTATCAGATTGGTCTTGTGTTATTGTGTTTGTTCATTGATTTAATTATGAATGTTTTGTAGGAAAAAGCCATGCAAATGGCTTTTTTAAAAGACAAAGAGTTTCACATTATCCTGGTTTACCTAGCAATGGAGGAAGTGCAACTGATGAAGCGGTTGAAAATTATGGTGCAAATGGAGGTGGTGGTGCTGTTGCTGGTAGAGATGGAGAAGGTAGTGGTGGAGGTGGAGAAGGTGGAGGTGGAGGGGAAGCTCTAGGTGGAGGTGGAGGTGGAGCTCTTAGGATTCCAATTCTTTTGAGAACTCCACGGAATGAGTTGCAGCAGTTGTACGAGATTGATTTGTATTCAGATATGAATAGGGAACAGGTACTTGACCTCCTCCACCACCACTGGTGCCTTTATGCCAATCAACCGCCGCGTCAAAATGTTACTAGGGAGACGGTGTGGCCTGGATTTAGAGTCATATTTTGCGGTCTGCTGGATATATATGACCCTTACCCAGACGAAGAGGACTTTGTGGAGTTAGATTTTAATGGGGATTGGTTTCAGTTCCACTATAGGATTGAGCGGATAATAGTAGAAAGATTGGCTCGTTGAACTCACCATTTGAAATTGGAATCTCAAACTATGTTTTAGACAATGTTGCTATTTTTTTTTTTTTCTTGAAATTGGAAATTCAAGACTATGTTTTACTTGAACTGTGTTTCTTTTAGCCGATTTATTTTCCTTATCGTGTCACCAACAGATTGAAATAAATAAGCAACTGTTAGGAATTCGTTGATTAAATTGAAATTTTCTGATTAACTGATTTTGACCAAAATAAAAATTAAACGAAATATTATCTATTTGATCAAATAACTAGTTTTAAGAGTCGGTTAATTTGATTAATTCGGTCTATTTTTAATATTTTAATTTTATTGATTAAGTTTAATATGATTATGCTTTGGTATATGTTCTAATTAATTTTAATATATCATAGGCAAATATTATAAACAAATTTATTCGATTTTTGATGTTTTGCTGAATTTTTATTATTATGATGTCAACTTATTTTTTTTTTATTAATGTTAAGCTGATAACAATTAATCAGTAGTATCGGTAGTAGGTTTAGAGGTCAAATTGAATCATACAAAATAAAATCATAAGGCAAAAGGTAATTTAGTTTTTTTTTTTTTTTTTTTTTTCAAATGAATCATACAAAATAAAAATCATAAGGCAAAAAGGTAATTTAGTTGTTTTTTTTGTTTTTTTTTTTTTTTTTTTTTCTAACAAATACACTTAAGTTTGAAATGAAAATACTTTTTCATGGATAGTAAGTACCAGAAAAAGGAAAATTCCAATATCACCAATACACTGTAAGAAAAAAGAAATGGAAATTTTCTTAATCACTCATTTATATTTATAATCAGGTATCTTCCTATTACATTGACCATATTCAAAAGATTGCATTGGTAAGAATTTTCCAATCTTTATCCCCTAAAAATGAAAAAGAAATCATTTTTACTTATTTTGTAAGTAAAAACTAACAAAAGAAATATCAATACACGTTTCCAATATTCTTAGAGCATAAATAGGAAAACCCACAAAAATTAGAGGAAAAAATAAATTAAATATGCAATTTCAATTTCTAACATTGACATATACAATCAACATACAACCATCAAAATTATAGTTGAATTCTCCAAGTAGGAACTACAAAGAAGGAAAAACATGTACAAATATATATATATATATAGTATGATATAATATATATATATATATATATATTGGATATCAGGTGATGTTCAGCTCTTAGGACTGACTAGTAAACAGGCGTAGTTCCTACTGTCTATGTCAGGTCCATGCAAATGCTTCCCCCATATGGACCGGCAAATCTCCAATACAAATGAGCAAATATATATATTTATATATAGCAAAACTATAGATTCTAGAATTTGGAGTGCTATCCGGAGAAAGCAAAAGAATTAGAACAAAGACGATGCCAGAAGCTACAAATAATTTTATAATAATCATTTTTATTATATATCAACGTTAGTTTTTCTTTTTTTAAAATAATATCTAACTTCAAACATAAAGAAAGGGAATGAAGATTTAGATTTTAAAGTTTGTAATATAAAAGAAAGAATGTATATGGATGCTTTAATAAGATGCCTAGTGATCATTTAGATGATTTTAATGTTGGTTTTTTGATTTTGGTATATACTATCACAAAAAAATTTTTAAATTTGATTATCAATAATATATGTATATATTTATTTTTGTATATGGTGAAATCTTGAATCAAATGATTATTTATTTTTAATTTTGTAACTATTCCATTTTATGAAAAAAAATCTACTGTAAAAAAATATTAAAAAATTTCATCAAATACTAGATATGTCATATGGTGGTGATTTGCACCCATTTTGATATGAGTGATAATTATGATTATAAATATTGAATTTTTATATTATCTTTAAAAAATCAATAAAAAATATATGTATAAAAATAAATTACGAAGTAATCATTCTAACGGGTATGTTTAATGAGTAACAACGCTAAGAACACATGTTGTTAAATGGTAGTATCCTAAATGCCAGTAGTTAACAAATATGGGATAAATGGGGAGATTTTCTCCACTATCTCATCTAAATTTAAAAAACAGTTATAATTCTATTTGTCTTCTCTATTCTACCTTTCTTGTTGAGTTCTCAAAATTCTCTAAACAACACTTGTGAACCCATTCTTTTTTTTTTTTTTTTTTTTTTCTTTTTTTTTTTTTTTTTTTTGGTTCACTTATATTAAAAATTTTATTCAATTTACATACATCAAAATTTTCAGTCAAGGAAACATAAATTGAACAAAAAAAAAAAAAAAAAAAAAAAAAGAATCTACCTTTGATAATGAGATAAATAGATTGTGAAAGCTAATTATAATATAATTTTCATACTTATCTTAATACATTTATTAAAAGTGAAAACTTCCTAAAATTATCGATTTGTATAATTAACTCCCATAAAAATTTCACAATGTTATGCTTGCATGATATATGATAAACAAAGAATAAAAAAAAAAAAATCAACAATACCAAAATAAAAAAATAGCATTTAATTATATTTCAATTTCAAACATTGGGTGTGGTAATAGTATTATTCTTTCGAAAAAAAAATAATGTGAATTTAAAAAAATATTGATAAGTTTTATTTTAAATAACTTTTAGAATGCTCATACTTATATAAGAAATAAAATTAATTAATTTTACAAGATAATTAAATAACTTATCATTTTATTTTATCTAAATATTATTCATCAAATAAATTGTTAAAAAAAATTTCAAACGATATAATTTTGAACTAAGTAAAAAATTTAAAGTTAAAAAACATAAAACTTCCATTTGTATCAAATAATATAATTTTAAACTAAATATTTCACTTTTTTTTTTTTACCATTTTATTTTTTTAGATTTTTAACTTTTGAAGTAAAGTGTATTTTAAAAAAAAAGTTTTAAATAAAGTCTATCATGTAATGAAATATTATTGAAATTGTTAAAGATGTATAAAATAGACTAAATAATTATAATTTTGAATAAAAATAATCGGTTCGATCAAAACCGTCGGTCTAAGTTAGAAATTATTCCTTTTTTTTATTTAGATCAGGACTAAGAAGAATGGTTGCACAACAAGTATGCATCTCGTTGCTTTGGAGACCGGTATAATATGTCAGAGATCGTTGAAATGACTTATTCCTAGAAATTAAAACATTCACTTGACCGGCTATTGAATTGCCGGTTTTGATTTGATTTCAGTTTATCTAAGATGTGGTTTGATTCTGACCGAAGGGTGATCACACTATGAGTATGTAATTACTTGGCATGAAAAAAACACGACAATGCACACATTTGTGTATTTCAGGATTGCCTACATTTCTGTATGGCACAATGCAAACATCATCCAATCAAAACTTATCATTTTAAAAAGTTTTTACTCATTATTACCATTTTGTCTTCTTTTTCTAATTTAAAAGACTTATCTATTATAAATAATTTTATCTGATTGGTTAGATACATGGGGCACCCATACACGATGAGTATGCAATTCCTTCCCATAAAAAAACACGCCAATATCTCCTTCCCTCGCTATCCCATGGAGGATATATGAAGTTTTGCGTGAAGAAAAGAAACAGAGAAATCGCTTCAAATCATCTCTTTTGATTTTAAATCTTCATATGCTTTGTATTTTATATTTGTTTTTGAAGTGCATGTCGTTTTCAATCCATATATTGATCCATCGTTGCTTCCATGGATAGTGCTAAGTTTGAAGATAATTCCTCACCTGTGGATTCGGTTTCGCCTGAAATTTGTAATTCTGGAGCTCTTTCTGCAACAGGTAGTCCTCTCTCTCTCTCTCTCTCTCCAGCATGTTTGTTTTTTATTTGCTTTCCAGGATAGATGGCAAACATCTCTCCTAAAAGGCTTGTATCTCATGCTAGTTAATTAGCGCCATTTCTGTTAACTTCGTCTTTTCTAGTAATTTTTACTATACAAATTTCTGGTATCTCATACAAGGTGATTCTGTAATTTTTATTTCGTCTGGGAACTTTCTATTACTGATTTTGTTAGCAAGCAAAACAGAACAAGAATTATTTGGCTATCTTTCTGCTAAGCTGTGCGTGTATGTATAAATCATCGGATTAGTATTGTGTTGTTGTGTTTGTTCATTTATTTAATGATGTATGTTTCGTAGGAATGAGCCATGCATCACCAGATGGCTTTGTTAAAAGACCAAGGGTTTCATATTATCCTGGTTTACCTAGCAATGAAAGAAGTGTAACCCATCAAGGGGCTGCAAATTATGGTGCAAATGGAGGTGGAGGTGCTGGTGCTGGTGCTGGTGGAGGTGGACAAGGTGGACAAGGTGGAGGTGGAAGTGGACGAGGCGGCGGTGGAGGTGTACGAGTAACTCCTCGTCCTAAGATTCCAATTCTTTTGAGAACTCCACAGAATGAGTTGTACCAGTTGTACGAGATTGAATTGTATTCAAATATGAATCTGGAGCAGGTGCTTGCCCTCCTACACCACTACTGGTGCCTCTATACCAATCAACAGCCACGTCAAAATGTTAGTTGGGAGACAGTATGGCCTGGATATATAGTGAAATTTAGTTGTCTGCGGCATATATGTAACCCTTATCCAGATGAAGAGGATTTTATGGAGTTAGATTTTGATGGGGATTGGTCTCAGTTCCGCTATGGGGTTGAGCGGATAATCGTTGTAAGGTTGGCTTGAACTGACCATTTCAAATTGGAATCTCAGACTATGTTTAGGCTTTGTTTTAGACGTTGTTGCTTTTTTTTCTTGAACGGTCTATCTGGCTATAGTCATCGTTCTCCTGCAATGGCAGAGCTGACTGGAGTCCGGGAAGTCTTGTGAGGGCCGGTTGTGATCGAGTTGAATCGCTTTATGTTCAAATATTGTTGATGTTTTCTGAATTTGGTTTGCTTATATATAGTTATAGAGGACTGCAGGTTTTTGAATTCTTATGCTAATAATATTCACTCTCTTAATTGAGTTAGGAGACAATATAATTTGGTTAATATTTCGATGCTTCCATTTGAAAAAGAAATTATGGAAATAAAATAATGGGCTCCCTGAGCTTTAACCTAATTCATACCGGAGAACCTCTATTTCCAAGAAACGATTATAAAATCTCTAAATTTCAATTTCGTCAACAGTTTGGTCTTTTGTTTAAATTTTGTTTAAATTTTTTTTTTCTGTTAGTGTTTGCAATAAAGTGAGTTATAATGAGAGAGAAAATATTTAAAATTCTCATAAACACCCCATATGCAACATTTTCATATTATTCTGAATTTGCTAATTTAGCTTATATATTTATGTATATTATTTAAAAAATTTTTCTAATATTTAGTATTTGACTATTTAGTGAAGGAAGAGTTGAGGACAATATGAACTCAGTAAGGTTCAAATATTTTGAAGAGCATACTCTTCCAGTTCCATCATTCAAGAGGAAAAGTGTTTGAGGTAAAACATTCGTCAGCAAATGTGGTTTTTTTAATTATTTCTTTTGAATTTTATTTCATGGAATAATTGTTAATTTATTCTAAGATTGATGTTTCGAAGCCCATGGAAGAGGTTGTTGTTAGTTATATGCCATATAGTCAATTTAATTGGTTATATTTTGGATATAATATTTCATGTAATAAATATTTTATTATTAATAAAAGACAGTTATTTATTTTTTATATTCTATGGATTGAATCTTGATAAAAGATAAAGTTCATGAGACAGTATTGTTTTACGAAATAAATTATAATTATGAGTTTTATATTTGTATTAAAGCAATTGCACAAAACTAAACATAGAGCATAAAATAACTAGCACCATCATATACTCTTATCTCTCAACCATCTAAAATAATTTTAAAGTTTTTTGATTGGCTAATTATATGGATACTACTAGCCAGAGGCTAGACATTTGGATGACTTGTGATTTGCAACAACCTAGCCGTGTAGATTGAAGTTTCGAGGAATTTGCAAAATGGGTATTCTTTTAAACAAATTTTATTGCTTTAATCGTTTACACGGATCCCTATTGGTATAATTATTTATTATAATTATATTATTTCGCTGCGTATTATTAATATTGAATCCCAACAGTTTTTGAGTCAAAGAAAACTTATTTGACTCCCTAATTATCACAAAAAGTGGAGGTTGAAGTAGATGGTGATGCTGTGGATGAGGTTGAAGCTAAGAAGTGAAGTTAAAAGTAGAGGGTATTTTCATACTTACACATTAATTGATTTAACATTTAAAATTATGTGTTTTGGACCGAAGGGTCAAACTGTTGATGGAATCAAAATTTAGGAATTTTATAGTTGATTTTTGGAAATAGAGGCCCTCAAATGTCAATCAGGCCAAAACTTAAAACCCCATTATTTTTTCCTAAAAATTATTTTAAAAGATCAATATATAAATCAGAGAATGAGGAATTGAAAATAATAAGATATGGAAGGTTCTCATATGAATTCTAGAGATTATTTCTTCAACAAAATCCGCAAACCAATTTCTATAGTAAATGATCAATCTAATTCTCCTCTTTTCTATTTACAATCTCCTCTCTCTCTCGTACCCTCACAGTGTCCAAGCTCTGCCATCTTTATCTTCTTTACCTATCTTATATGCTTTCTTGAGAAAGAGAGAACAGAAAGTAAGCGAGGAAAATAAAGATGATAAAATAATAAATTGAATATTAATTCAAGGATATACTTCCTAAGACAACAAAACAAATATGATGATTCTTTTGTCACTGTCGTTGTAACTATTATTTAATTTCCTACAAGGGAGAAAGATAATAAGTTGAAGGACAAAAGAGGCCAAAGGAATTTTTTTTTTTTTTTTTGTTATTCAAATGTTACGTATTGCATTTAACTAAATTTGGATTGGTTATGGAGTCAATTTTTATATTATTTTAATTATAATTTCAACCTTAATTTGTTTTTAGGATGAAATTGCAACAAATTGATAAGTTTATGGTGCTCTAATTCACTTTTAGGGTGCAATTGCACCCTAAAACCAAATTAGAGTGTGATTGCAACTAGATTAATAAGTTTAAGGCGTCCGGGGCACAAAGATCGATTTAGGGTAGAATTACAACTACTTGAAAAATTCATGGTGAAATTGATGGTTACACCTGTTATAAATAATAGAAAAATAGGGAGAGAAGTAAAGAGAGCACATGGAGAATAAGGAGATAATACGAGAGTGTATTTATTATTGATGAGAAGCCACACATATATAGTTACATAAGTGGAATCCTAACAGGTCCTACACAAATCAGGAAGATATAGTTCTTGATAATTAAGAAAAAAATCTTAGTGAAGAAAAAAGACTGTATTATTCTTTTCTTAAATATATTTTGAAATACTGCCTCATTAAAAAACCTTTACTGGGAAAACCCAGTGGAAAAAATTCTTGGTTAAAAGGAAAAAGAGTATAATGTGTATTTACTCCCCCTCATGTTAGTTATAGAATAACTCATTTATATTATGTCATGGAGATATCAAAATACATATGTAACTCTATTCAATTTCTTCATTTTCAAAAAGAATTATATCTTGCAAATAAAATTTATAAAAATGCTTATATCTAGTTATATGACTAGCAAGATACATTAGTGTCTTTATTACACTAAAATATAGTACTCCAGGACTAATATGTTGAATAATCTTTAATATAGCCCAGATATCAACAGTACATAGTGTAACCTCTCATTTCAATTTCTTCATTTTCAAAGAAAAGAAATTAATACTCTGCAAATTAATAATTTATAAAAACTCGCTTATATTAGTCGTGATATGACTAGCAAGCAACCGCCAGCACTCACCTTTATGTGTCTCTTTTATTACACTAATATAGTACTCCAGGGGATAATATGTTGAATAAATCTTTAATATAGCCCAGATCTATTGTTCATAGAATTTGTTTGACAAGAAGAAATATACACACCACTCAGCAAGCGTTACCTGGAGTCCATAACGGCATTAAATCTCTGTATGCGGTTAACTCTCGGTTTGTGCAATCTCGACTCTCTTCCCGTTAACAGCAGATCTACGTTCTTCACTCCTGGCCTTTTTGTCTGTAAGTGCTCTCTTAATTAGTCAGAGAATAATTAACAGCTATGCCCGTGGTGAGTTTCTTTTACTGAGCTCGTGGCTCTACAACAATAAACTGATCTCAACGTATGTTTGAAGACCCATCAGCACTCTCTTGCGTTTCTGTTGTTAACCCTAATCTCGTGATTACACTTTATCTTTCTATAAGGCAGAGGAAAGGTTATTTAAAAATCCTAACTGCTTCTTATCCATTAACGCCCACATTAACCACTCACTCTTTGGGCCACCTTACTTATTAATCAGCCCTTTACTTCCACTTATGGTGGGCCACATACGCCCAATAACCATCATCTTGGGCCACCTTAATTAGAATCAGCCCTTTAATCACATGGGCCACATACAGATTATTAAATAATCTAACATAATAAGTTCTTCATAATTTTCTCAAAGTTGAAAAATTATCATTTTCTTATCAAGTGACCTCAAAACCATTGGAATTCATATAAAATCATTTTAATAACTTAGTCATATATATAGATTCATAGACAAAATTTTATTTATGAAATGTTCGATCTTCAGGTCAAGCAAAACTTTATAGTCCCAATGTCTTTCTTCTCAAACTCTTCTTTTAAGAAAACTATAATCTTTATAAACTCTTCAAGAGTTTCAATAATGTTCATGAACCAAATATTGATAAATTCATATTCAAAATCTCTTTACAAATAAAATTCATGAACATATAATAATATCATTATAATATTCTTTCAATAAATATTCATTAATCATGATATTACCTTACTCGTGATAGTATATAAAGTAAATATCAAAAGTATGAAAACATGTGACTTTTAACAAAAGAATATACAATATAATCATAATATAATATAATATTTTTTCAACCATAAATATTATTAAGACAATTATACTGTATGCATTGAGATTTCTTTATCCCATATAGAAATCTTGAATAAATTTCTCGAGGTCTTAATTTTCTTGTTTAAAGCATTTTTCAATATTTCATGGATATTATTTTTCATTAATCCATATAGAAATCTATAATATTAGTTGAATAAATTTTTCGAGAATTTAACTTTATATTTTAAGCAACTAGAATCCTTCAGGGGTTTTCATATATATATCTACATCAAGTTAGCGTATAAATAGGCAACCATTAACTCATTATACGTATTTTGAATTTTTATAAATTGACAAACTAATCAAATATCAAATTATAATTGTATCCACCAGTTGAGGGTATTTACGCTCATAATCAATGTCAGTTCTTTATGAAAAAAACATGTGTAATAAGTTTACTTTATATCTCATGACTCCATCTCAATTTCGCACAAATACATATTTGTATTCTACTAGTTTGACATCTCTTGATACCCATATTAAAATTTCAAAATTTACTTTTCAAGAAAATTTAAATGTCACATGCGTCGTTCTATTTTTGCCAATCAATTTTATATATATATTCTCAATGGACTATATGCTCAAGATCCTCATCATTTTTCACAATTTCAAGCGTTATATTTAAAGTTGATGTTTATTTTATACTAGTTTTATACTTGTCCTAATATGACATAATTTATAAAGATCTCATAATTTTCAATGATTTCAGGTACTTGAGTTTCTTCTGAAAACTTATTAGTAATGTCTAGGAACTTCTTCCACAATTTGCTCTTCTAGAGTTTGACCATCTTAAATATTTCCTCCTTTCCTTTTCTAAGATTTTTATCCTTAAAATCGATTGTCTACCACACTTCAGACGTGCCTTAGACTCATTAGCATATGCAGTTTGTCCTTTAGATACTTTAACTCTAATAGAAGCATTTGCAGCTAGTATGTATGTAAGCAAACGTTAGTTACCTTATATAATTGTACTTTAACAGGAATTAAATCTGAGTTAATAAATATTAATGACTTTTAAGGAAAATCATTATTCAAAATTTGAATATTACCCTCTTTAAATGGAGAGTGGAATTCAAAACGAAATTAAACGCTTCATTTTAATGATTTAAAATCTTCTAATAAATGTTAATTGCCTTTTATAATCTGCTTAATCATAGTAATTGCGTAAAAAATGTTATTATTACATTAATAATAATTATAACATGAGATTTTGAAATTCTTTCTACTACTACAAACCTTATAAGCATTAGCTTTTTATTATCTTTTCTAATATGAACAATAAAAATAATATTAGTTTTTTAAGCTTTTCAAATAAAATAAATGTTTTTGTGGAAAAAGAACGAAGAGGTTTTGTTCATGAAATAAATAGGACAATGGATGATTGGTTGCTAGTGATTAGAATATGTAGGATACGAGAGTCTGTAGATCTCAAAAATGATTCTGAACTTATAAGTTTAGATATGGCGCTTATAGATGAAAAGGTAATTGCAAATCATGTATCGATCAGGGAAAATCAAGTTATTAGGTATAAGTAATTATTGGTAGAATGATGCATTTTCAAGATTAAGCATTTCAAAGTAGTTGCAAGTAATAATCACTATCGATCAATTAAGAGCTACTACAAAATTTTGTTTCTCCTCAACAGTTCTGTCAAAAAAAATTGATGAAAGATTGTAAAACTTGCAAAGCATGGCTTTCAATTTATTAGTTCTGATTAATATAGAAAAACCCCGCACATTGCGCAAGTATACGTCTAGTGTTATATATAAAGAAGACAAAAATAAAGGTGAACATTCGACAAATTTGATCAATTTGAGTAACATTTTTAACTTAAGTAATTAACCAAAAGTATTTTTAACTTAACCAAATCTAATTGAACTTAATGAAATTAATTTTGATCATTAACTGCACTAAAGTAAAATGAAAACCTAATTAATCATCCGTATTTAATCGAAACCTATGATTAGCCGACTTTAACCGAAATAAAATTAATCAAAATATTATCTACTTAATTAAAACGACGTAGTTTTGAGAGTCGATAATTTAATTAATTCGATCTAATTAACTTTTAATTGGTCATCAAAAAATTTAATTTTATCTAATCGAAATTTTAACTGAATACTTATTCGATAAATCAAATTGGCCAAATGACGAAACCGAATGCTCACCCCAGATAAAAACACCAAGTTAGACATTGACAGGTCTTCAATTACCAGCATTCAAACTTAAATACATTACTAAGCAATTTTAATTAAAGATTATTTAACAAAATGACAAGTAAGTAAATCTTAATCATTAAATGAGTAATTTTCTATATTTTATCTTTAAGTTTTGATTCTCAGAATTAACGTTTGAGAGACAATTTTTATTTAAAAAAAAAAAAAAAACCGTTAACATAATGCCATAGGCTAACAGTGGAGATGACCATTTTTGGACATTGACATATACCTAAATATTCATCATTTGCATTTTCTCTTTTAATCATTCAACATAATTCTTTCACCATCAGTGACCTGATCTTGCCAGTAATTTAGGTGACTGTTGTCTTGACGGCGAGCATGGCTAAGCCATATAATATTCTTATTCCGTTAGGATGTGTTTGGCTTATGGTGAGTTGATATTCATTACAAAAATCAACTGCAGGCTCACTTAAGATAGCCTAACACCCGATCTTAGATCCTCCTCACACAATATTAAAGAATTTGAAGCTAGACACTCATTCGCTCTCATTTGTTCAGATGAGCGAACTAGTTTGTATTCGGCTGGTATGTGGTACACCAAAGATATATCTAGGAGCTCGGCTTTGTCGATATCAGAAGAAGTACTAACAATTTTGACGTTCTCTTTCCTCGCCTTAATGCATTCCTCAATATCTTTAGGGATGTTGGTAATATCATTATTAAGTGCGGTTATAGAATTCTCAGAGTCACTCAAGAGGTTATGAACTTCACCCTGACTTGAAGAACCCGTATGATCAAAATAACGAAAATTTAGAACAGATGGAAAAGAGAGAGGAAAGAGAAGAGCTTACTAATGAGAGAAACTTCGTAGAGAGAGAAGCACTGGATGAAAGTGTGAAACAGTGAAAGAAGGAGCCCATATATATAGGCCAGATTACGGAACGAAGAGTTTGTACAAATGCAAGATCCTTTGAATAGCCCGCCTGCAAGAAACAAAGACAAAACCTATTGCAAGGAAGACGTGTTATAAACCGAACACTGATCTCTTGATAATATCTATATATTTGAAATCTTTAAAATGCAGATAATTATCTCCTAAATCACTAGAATATCTCATAAAATACCTTATAATATCGTAAAATTAATGTGGATGTATGATGTGCTCGATGGAGAATGTTCATGAACCCGTTCTTACTGAAGTTTTGGGTATCGAGAAAGTATCAAGCTGGTTCCAAAATTGATTCTGTGGTATGGAGTTGGTTGTGGAAAGTGATGTTTAAGGGTGGTTCAAGCTATTAACACTAAGGTTCTCGATCGAATTAGTGTGCCTATGTCTATAGTGTCTTTTAGTTCAAGATTGTAGAATGCTCATTAGAGACCTCTCTATAGTGTCTATTTTGTTTGAGGAGAAATTAGCGAACTAACGTGCCCATGTCTTGGCTCAAGCAACTGTTTCTATGTCTTGTCCCACCATCTATCATTTGTGATGTTTTGCACAGTAATGCAAATCATATACATGCATTTTCATTTTCAAAACAAAAAAAAAAAAATCTAAATATTTTTTTTAAGTACCGGGGAAGAGGGATTCGAATCTGAATTTATAATCGGGTCATCTATGCACTTACCAGTAGGGTATGCCTTGGTGTGCAAAAAAAAAAATCTAAATATTTAATTCATTTATTCAGGCTATATTCAAATGGTTAAATGATATTTGATATAGCCAATCAGATGTGGTCTAATTGGTCTTTGAAAGTTTTGTAAGAAACGTAGAGAATAGGAGGTCTCGAGTTTAAATTCTCTCAACTATAAAAGTTATCACCAATTTAGGAAATATTATGCAAAGAGGAGGGTAATCCATGCTGTGTAGTCTATGATAGTATCTTTTGTCTATAATGAAACCTAAATAAATTGAAGTTGGATAACTTTTTTCCTCATTAGGAATAACTAATTAAAAAGAAAAAATTCAATTGAATCAACAATCTGAAATCAAAGAGGAAAAAAAAAAAAAAAACACTAAAGAAACTTGTAATGGAATTATTCTTATCATTGCTTATTTGACTTCGAAATCTAAATTAACTTTATATGGTAAAATAAATGAAACCTATGAAATCAAGCCGGTCTAAAGAAATGATTAGTATTCTAAAAGGGTTTAAGGATTGGCTACATTTGTGTATGGGATCATACAAAAATCAAACTAATCAAAATTTATCATTTTAAAAAGCTTTTACTCTTTATTATTATTTTTTCCATTTTCTAATCTAAATCTCCATTTGTTTTCGGATAATAACTTAATTTGGAAAATGTTTTCTTTTGAAAAATATTTTTCAAATAACTTATTTTTCATTATTTAGTTACAATATTGAGAATTAGTTAAAAAAATATTAAAGTTTTTAACTCATAAGATTATAAGAATATTTATAATAATGAAATTTTATTATTAAATATGAGAAAAATTAAAAAATGGTAAATTATGAAAATCGCCGGTGTCGGTGTGGCTGGTGATGAATGGTGATTGATAGTAGTGATTACTGGTGATTAATAAATTAAAAAAATATGAATTTATAAGGTTATAATAAATTTGTCAATATCCCAAAAATATTTTACTATCATTTTTTTTTAAAATGACTTAAATTTTTCTTTGATCAAGTAAATATAAGTCATTTTCCTTTGAGTAAATAAATATTTTTTGTTGTCTTATTTTAGTGAACACATTAAACAATGGAAAATTATGAAAAATGTCAAAACAATGAAAAATTATAAAAAATATTTTCCTACAAGTTATTTAATAGAAATAAATGGAGCCTAAAAGACATCAATACCCTTACCTGTTATAAATATTTTTTTTTTTTTTTTTTTTTTTTTTTTTTTTTTTGAATGCTATATTACGGGGCATGAATCGCTATAGCTATTCCTTTCAACAAGATAAAAAAAAAAAAAAAAAAAAAACACGCCAATATTTCCTTCCCTCGCTCTCCCATGTAGGATATATGAAGGTGTCTCTCAAATTTGTATCACAGACCAAAAAATCAGTTCTGCGTGAAGAAAAGAAACAGAGAAATCGCTTCAAATCACATATCTCCCTCCTTTTCGCTCTCTCTGCTCCAAGATAAGAGACAAAGATGGTGGATGTTTTGAAAATGTATACAACATCCTCACTTTTAACTGAGTTTGATTTTTCATTTTCATATGCTTTGAGTTCGATATTATATGCTTTATATTTTCATATGTCGTTTTAAATGCATATATTAATTCATTGTTGCTTCCATGAATAGTGCTAAGTTTGGAGATTACTCCTCACCTATGGATTTGGTTTCGCCTAAAATTTGTAATTTTGGAGCTCTTTCTGCAACAGGTAGTCTTCTCTCTCTCTCTCTCTCTCCACCATGTTTGTTTTTTGTTTCGGTACTTGTTTATTTTTAATAACAGATGCGAACATATTTATTACTGATCTTGTTTCGCTACTTGTTTTATTGTGTTTGTCATTTGATTTAGTTATGTTTGTTGTAGGAATAAGCCACGCATCATCAAATGGCTCTGTTCAAAGACAGAGAGTTTCAGATCCTCCTGGTTTACCTGGCAACGGAGGAAGTGCAACTCGTCAAGGGGCTGCAAATGATGGTGGTGCAAATGGAGGTTCTGCTTCTGGTGCTGGTGCTGGTGCTGGTGCTGGCGGAGGTGGACAAGGTGGCGGTGGAGGTGGACAAGGTGGACTTGGAAGTGGAGCTCCTACGATTCCAATTCTGTTGAGAACTCCACCGAATCAGTTGCAGAAGTTGTATGATATGGATTGGTATTTTAATATGAATCGGGAGCAGATGCTTGCCCTCCTTCACCGCCACTGGTGCCTCTATACCAATGAACAGCCACGTCAAAATGTTACTAGGCAGACGGTTTGGCCTGGATTTAGAGTGATATTTAGTGGTCAGCTGGATATATATGACCCTTACCCAAGTGAAGAGGACTTGGTGGAGTTAGATTTTAATGGGGATTGGTATTATTTCCAATGCAGCATTGAGCGGATAATCGTTGAAAGGGTGGCTCCTTGAACTGAGCATTTGAAATTGAAATCTCAGACTATTGTTTTAGACTATGTTGCTTTTTTTTTTTTTTTTTTTTTTTTTTCTGGAATGGAAATTTTTTTTTTTTTTTTTTTCTGGAATTGGAAATTCAAGACTATGTTTTAGACTGTGTTTTACTTGAACTGTGTTTCTTCAATTTCTTTACTTGAATTACTTGAATTGGAAATTTCTTTCAAAAAAATAATATTTCTCATGAAATGGAACAACCACATTTTCTAACTTAGGCATTTCTAAAGCTACCATATTTAACTTAAAATGTATAAATCTTAGAGAAAGATTACACATTGCAATCATTATGATAGTTCAAATATTTATTAAACCAATAATAAACAAGCAATTCAAAACCACAATGCTCTTAGCAAACAAAGGAACTAAGAACAGACTTTGAATTCTGACTTAGGAAGAAATAAAAATGAAGAAACATGTCAAGCTCAGTAGCTAAAGAAACAAATCATATACTAACATACATAGACCAAGTTGTTAATTTCAAGACCATCACCAAACTTCTTAGAAAATCAAAATCTTACTTGGGATTTTTCGGAGCTTCAATATTTTATTTCTGAACCACCAAATGTTTACTACTAACCCCATAATTTTTTAGCTTCACAAAATCGATTTATGCAAATTTTTAGATATGTCTAAGTCTAGCAACCAGTCTAATGCACTTAAATATTTGATAACATTACCCCTGAGTCCTGTGACGAGATGAGATGATACGGATCCCTTCTCTTTTAACTAGAGATTTCAAATTTGAGTTTAGGTATGGAGTCCCTTTAAATATTCTAGAGAGAGCACTTTGCCTTCTCTTCGTAGGCTTGCCTAATGTGAATCGAGATGTAAATTAATTGGGTTAGTGGGCTTGAAATACTGGATGATTAATATGTGATAATATTATATAAAAGTTATACAAAACTTTAAGATAGGAGAGGTCACCAAATTTATCATAATCTTTGTGGTGGTGGCACTCCCTACATGTTCAACAAGAAGCTCTCACTCCCAAGTTGGCACTAGTTTGATTTATAACAATAACAAAAAATAATAATAATACAAGTATATTAATTAGGAAGTCCAAAAATCATTTGGTTTTTTAAAAGTTCATATCTACATTTTTAATAATAATGCTTTGCTTACATTTCTCAAAGGATAATCTTATTAAATTGGATAAGATTAGTTAATTAGTTTAACCAAAAACTTTCACAAAATGAACCTTTTCAAGTTAAAATCTATGCGTTCCTGTAATTGATAAATTCATGAAGTTAATGAGTGTAGAATACTTTAAAATTATTCATGAAAAGTGCATTTTTCGAATATCAAATTTGTATTTTCACTCTTATTAGGATTAAAGTCAATTATTACCCCCAACAATAACCTTGTTGGTATTGTTTGCTGGATTTTGATAAATGCAATGAGTTGTTAAGCAGAGAGATGTTAAGTAGAGAGAGGGAGAGAGCGGAGATGGGTAGGAAAACAGAGAGGAGGAAGATGGAGGTGAACATGACTTGCCTTAATTTATAATTTTTTTCTCACCTTTGAGAGTCTTTTTGATTTTACAAAAATAAAAAGTTAAAAGACAGTTTTAAATCCGGCCTGTTCTTTTAACGGGAATAGGTAACAGTCCCTTTGTTGTTACAAAAATAAAAATAAAAATAAAAATTAAAACGGTGTTCAGTGACAAAATTAAGATGAAGCACCATACAGTAATACCTCCTAAATTGGGGGACACCCGGTGAAAATAAGCCCATTTCTATTCAATTCAGTAAATGGTGTTTAAGGACGGCGTTTTAGAGCATCAAGAGCTGTGAGGTGTGATGCTCGACTCTCCGCGGCTGCTATTATTCCCGCCCAAAACCCAAACAAAGTAACAAACCAAACCCCTGCAGAGGGTGAATTACTCTACCGCTGCTAAACCCATATTCTGCTAAACAACTTTACCATTTTCCTTTTGAAAATCCGATAATGGCTTCGGAAGATGATACAAGCATAAGAAAAGTAGAAATTGAAGAAGATATGGAAGGTTCTCATATGGATTCTGGAGATTACTTCTTCGACAGAATCGGCAAATCAATTCCTATTGTAAATGATCAATCTAAATCTCCTCCTCTTTTCGATTTACAATCTCCTCCCTCTCGTACCCTCGCCGTCTCTGAGCTCCACCGCCTCATCTTCCTTGCCCATCCTTTAGGGTTTTGCGTTGCCAAAACAAAGGACGTTATGGACGCTGCCGTCCAGATTGAGGCCAACGGGAGTTCTACTTCTGTACAACAGTTGTGTATTGTAGATGTTCCTATTGGAAAAGTTCACATTCTTTCTCTCTCTACCGATTCTTCTACTCTTGCCGTCTGTATTGCAGCAGATGTTCATTTCTTCTCTGTCGATTCTCTTCTCAACAAAGCAAGTACCTTATACCCTTACTCTGTCTCTCTTTTCCTTTCATTTTTCAGTTTATTTGTTTTTAGTAGAATGACTCGGTGTTTGTTGCAGGAGCTAAAGCCGTCTTTCTCTTGTTCATTGAGCGAGTCAAGTGTTTTTGTCAAGGACATACAATGGAGAAGGAGATCAGAAGCTTCTTATCTTGTTCTTTCAAATCATGGCAAGCTATATCGTGGTGCTCTTGGTTCCCCTCTTAAAGAATTAATGGATAACGTAGATGCTGGTATGCTTTCTCTCCCCCCCGTTATTTCATGGATACGTATAACACATTTGATGAATATAGAACTACTCAGTGTACACATCTAAGTTTAAAGCATATATATACTCATTAGTTGTGTTGGTAATTTCAGTTTCCTGATGTAATTTTTACCTTTGCCTGATAACTATCACATAAAGATTGTTCCTTTCTCTCTCTCGTTTCTTTTATGAAATTAGTGGTAAAGTATCTACTCTTACTAGATATATCTCTGGCTAACTTGGGCTCGTTGTTTTTGATAGTTGAATGGAGTTTAAAGGGAAAGTATATTGTTGTGGCAAGAGAGAATATTCTCCACATATTTTCATCTAAATTCAAGGAAAGGCTGCGCATATCCTTACCTGTCAAGTCATGGATTGGTGATTCGGATGACAACTGCCGAGTTAAAGGTATTTATTTGTGGATATTACTTCCATTACAAAGCATTTCTTCTCTCTCTCTCTCTCTCTCTCACACGCGCGCGCACACACACACACACACAACAAAGAAAAAGAAAAAAAAAAAAAGAAATAATCTTGTTATACATGCACATAGACACACATGGACTGGAAGAACTTTCTTTCTGGTTGTGGGGATCCGGAAGTATGTTTTACTTTTTTGGGAGGTACACCTTTCATTTATTAAATCCACACCTAGGATATGAATTACTTATGTTGTATTCCTAAACCACATGCACGACTTTTCCCCTTATTATTGCTGATTTCTCCTACTTTGTTGTGGTTGCAAAGCAGGATGGTAGAACTAGTTCTTCTGAAATTGATTGCTAAGTAGGCAGCTTATTTGTAAAACCTCAAGATATAAGTTGAAGTGCTGATATGTATCCAAGTCCAATAGCGTTCTTTCAATATTATTTGTATGGAGTGAAATTTGACAATGTTCACCTTGTTTCTTGTGTTTCTCTGTGGAGTTAATTGCTGTCTTGGAGTTCTTAATGTTTCATGTGCTGTTGTGAAGTTGGTTAACCCAAAGTTTTTAAGCATGTTTCACCTATTGCTGATATGGGTGGCTTATGTGGTGAGACTTCGCATTATAAATCTCTTGCATATAAATTGTTGGGTGGTTTTATAATTATTTTTTTAAAGATTATGCAGATTACTTTTATTAGGAGTCCACCTGGTGCAGGCATCATAGTATTTGTTGCTTACGTGTGCCTACTTTTACCCTGACATTGGAGGCAAACATCTGGTGCGAACATTTTGAAGAATCTCTCTCCACTGGGTAGGCTAGAGAAGTAGGGATCCTAGAGTTTTCTCTGGTTTCTGAGCAGATGCTGCAGGCACCAAACCCCTCAGCTGCTGTCTATTTATCAGTTGGCACCTAGGTTCTCAAGTATTAATATTTTTCACATCAGGACATAAGCGAAACTCTATTAGGGAGTTATGAACCATTTTGTTGGTAACAATAATGTGTGCGGTTCTGATGAACAATGGGATTATTTTCACTAATGGTTGGTTTTTCTACTTGCTTTGCTTTGTAGGAGGTTGTGAACCTTATAGGAGGAAATTATTTTGTCAGTTTATTTATATTTGCAATATTAAAATTAGCTATCTGAATTTTTACCATGCCTTGATCTATACTAGAAATTCTAAAAAAGTAGTATTAAAAGGCAACAATTTGTTTAAAACCCTATGATGCTATGAGAATCATTTAAAAGATGAGAAATTGGAAAGAAAAACAAAAATAAAAACAAGTTGCCTAATCCCAACAATTGATGAGCTTGACATTTATGTGTGCATATTTACTTAAGGTATATATTTTATTTTCTTTCTCTAGTCTGCTTGACATAATTTTTCTGTGAACTTTTGAAACTAAGACATTTCTCTAATAACTGCACCAGTGGATTCTATCAGGTGGGTACTTCCTGACAGCATTGTTGTTGGATGCTTTCAACAAACTGCTGATGGAAGGGAGGAAAATTACCTTCTTCAAGTAATCAGAAGCAAAGATTGCAAAATTACTGATGTGAGTAAATTATTCCATGAACTAGGCTTAACTAATCTTATTTTGTTTTTGAACTTGAATAATTTGGTTTTGCCTTTATCACAGTCGTATTTTCCGTTTTACTGTTTGTAGCTACTGTTCTAGTGTTTCTTGGAAGGTATCTGTAGTCATATGTTCTGAATTTCTATTTCAATTGTATTTCACAACATTGGTACTGGTATAGCTCCTTGTAAACCTTGCTTTTACTGACATCAATAACATGAATTGGAACTTTTTAGTGATAGGTTGTGTGATTCCACGACTTGTAGGCAACTTATATTCAGTTACATCATAAGTTTGCTTTTGAGCACACTGTAGAAGTATAAAAGGCATAAAGCTTGTAGAATCTTGTTCGGGAGCTAATTTTTGCTTATGTTTAACTAAGTCAGGGTCATAAACTCTAGCGGGTCGAGTTGCATTTGCAATAAGACATACATCTTACAGCTACACTAGCTTGGCTTGATAAGGATATGCTAGGCCTCAACCCAAGTTCGAGCTCGTCCCGTTCAAAAATAACCAAGCTTGTCTTGTTTAAAAATAGCAGAGCTCAAGCTCGAAATCTAGCAGACCAGCACAAATATATTGAACAATTTTATCAGCAGTCAACTTCGAAGGTAGGAAGTTACTCTAGCTTCAATGCACCTAAATACCCTTCATTGCAAGACTCTGGTAGAGCAAGTGCTTGAAAATGATAAAAGCAAGTTAATCATATACTGATTATTTAGCTACTTACATTTTAGCGCACTTATCCGTTTAGGAGGTTTCTGCTCTCTGATTTTAGAAAACAAATGAAAATGAACTAAGGGATAGACTTAATGGTGGATATGTTAATCAGCCATAGTAATAGTAAAAAAGTAACAGCCATTAGAGAACTTTATATTTGTAATAAACCAGAATAAACCTAAATTTCTTTCAAAAAATAATATATCTCATGAAATGGGAGAACCACATTTTCTAACTTAAGCATACCTCAAGCTACCCATGTAAATTATTTAATTTTAAAATATATAAATCTCAGAGAAAGATTACACATTGTAACCATTAGGATAGTCAAATCTTTATTGGCGGCTTGAAGTTGAAGTCAGGGGTATGAGTTTCTAGGGTGGCATTTTCATCTTATTTCCATATCTTAATTGTCTTGTTAGCTTCATGCTTGACAAGCCTGAAACCAATAATAAACAAGTAACTCAAAACCATAATGCTCTTAGCGAACTAAGGAACCAAGAACAGAATGTGAATTCTGATTTAGGAAGAAATAAAAATGGAAAAAAAAATCTCAAGGTCAGTAGCTAAAGAAACAAATCATATACTAATATACATAGACCATGTTGTTAAATTCAAGATTAAAAGATGACTTAACAATAGTTCTTATTGTGACAAACACTCAAATCTAAGAATCAAAACTGTAAGACCATGTATTTTGCTGATATGATGGGCAAATAAGCTAAATATGAAGAAAAAATTTTCATTTTCCACCACAAATAAAACCAGCTCAAAAGCACAAGAGAGCGAGACATATTTAAGCAGCTCAAAAGCACAAGCAGATTGCAGACATACTTTTCTGTTATATGTATATGTATATTTGATACTCCAATAAGCCCAAAACAATTTTCACCTTTCCACCAAGATAGAACCTGTTATTGCAAACACCATAAATCCAACATATTGGCATACACATGGAGACAGTTCTGCATTTATTTGCAAGATGAGAAAAATCTTCTAGACTTTCAGCAACAGCAACCCACAGAAGGAAGAATTAGAAATCAAAACCAATGAATTGAAAAACTAAAATCCCAAGAATCAGAAAAAACAAAAAAATATACATATGCAGCAAAATAAACCCAAAATTACCCGAAAGGACCAATTTTGAGCACCAGATAATCAATATCACATAACCTTGTTGCGATATTTGATCAAATAAACAAAAACATGAAATGGGTTTTCTCATTTCACTAAATCATTTTTTCTGGTTTTCAAAATTAAATAAACTTGAAGAAACTTAAAAAAAAAAAAAAAAAAAAAAAAACATGAAAATGGGTTTTCTCAATTTCACTAGAATCATTTTTTTCTGTTTTCAAAATTAAATAACTTGAAGAAACTTAAAAAAAAAAAAAAAAAAAAAAAACCTGGGGTTGCAGAATTTCAAAAAAAAAAAAAAAAAAAAAAAAAAAAACCTGGGTTGCAGATTTCAAAAGAGGGAATCGCAGTCACAGTCACACAAATGGTGGATGGAATACAGCATAACACAGAGCACAGTTTAGGATTTACAATGTGGAAATTCAAGAGATTGGTTGAATGAAACAGAGCCACAGTCAATGGAGCATGGTGTATGAGAGCAAACAGTGGAGGTGCTCAATGAGGCTGAGCTGAGCAGAAGTTGAGAGGTGTTCTATTTTGGAAAGAGGAAGTTGAGAGAAACAGCTGAGAAGTCAAAAAATGAAAGAGAGAAAACATGACGGAAAAGTAGAGCAAGGTTTTTTGATTTGAAATGAATTTGAAAACCCTAATCAAAATGACATCGTTTGATGTAGGTTTGATTAACATTACTATATACGGCCAGCTTTATCGAGCTGGCTTGCGAGCAAATGGATTGAGGTTGAGCTCATTTGATAAGCTCGAGCTTGGTTCATTTACAGCCCTAACACTAGATAATTTGTAACGTTGTTGGATTGGTTTATGTTACTTAGATTTGGTTAAGTTGGCATATATTTGATCGACGACAAGGATTTTACTGGTTCATTGTGTTAAATTATGACATGTTATCCTGCCATTAGTAGAAACAAAGGAGTAGTGAAGTGTTGTGTCATGCATATTTCACCTGTAAATTCATATATCACCTTTTTTTTTTCAAAAATTAATGCATTGTCTTTTCTGTTATCCATACGCTTACAGGTATCTGATCTCAAATTTCTTTAGCGCATGATATACTTCATATTTGCATTGTATTTGTTGCCAGGGAGTGTCTAATTCCTTGTTTCTTCCCCATCCTCATCACTTCTTATTTATTCTTTAGTGAGTATTTGTCTTAGACCCCATGTTCCTGGAGAAGTACATGAACAAATAAGTGCATACAGTAATTAATTAATTGCCATTTATTTGCTTGCTTGCTAATTGTCTGACGATTGTTCTTACAAAATCTCTTTTGCAGGCTTCTTCCAAGCCATCTGTGTTGTCATTCTATGACTCATTTTATGGTCTCATTGATGACATTGTTCCCTATGGAAGTGGGCCTTACTTGTCCTTGAGCTATTTGGCATCATGGTATGTGGTGATGATCCTGTATCTGTTAAGCTTTTCTATATACTTGATATTTCAAATTTTTTATGACTTTCGTTTTTTGGTTAAATTGCTCATCCGAATTTTTATCTTAGTTTTTTCATACTTGAAGTAACCATAAAACTACATTGTCCTATCTTATCCAATTGATCTATGCGTAATTCAGTTGAATTTTATTTCTGTATTTCAGATTAGTTGATTTTGTAATCAACTTCTTATCTTATATATTTGGAAGTCATAGAATTCAATAAAATTTTAATTTGTTTGCTTCTATTTTTAGGTTCTGCTATTATCTTTGCCTTTAGAAACATGGTTGTATCTTCGTCCATGCTATCAGGTGGTATACAGGCTAAGGATTTTTCAGCACAAGAATTTTTTCGGGTATCAATTGAATTCTAGTTTGGGTTCATTGACTATGTTCTACCAATCCTCAGCACTTCTTTTACCAGCTACCATATGAACTTTTTATCCAATTCCCCATTGGGCAATGACAAGTTAGAAACTTTTATATGAAAATATAATGAAGTTGCATATTGGGAGAAGTAATAGGAAAGGAAGGGAAAAGAAAACGGGTAGGATAAGAGTTATTTCTCGTTCGGGGGTTTATTGAACTTGGAAAAGAAAGGATTGTCAGTGATTAATAATCCCATTTAATCTCACATTGTTTTCCTTTCCATATTTGGGGATAAGATAAGATATCCTTCCTTATGACTAGTAATAATTTTTTAATAAGACTATTTTACTCTTGATACTTTTTATCTTTCTTATCCTTCAAACATTTGAACATGAGGTAGTTGTATTAAACGTTTCAATTATTTTGTTTCAACATCCCATGGAGTAAAAACTATCCTTTCTTTCCTCATCATCTAAAACTCTCAAGCACAGTGATGCTAATAGTGACAACAAATTACATTTTGTTGAAACTTACTTTTGCCTTCTTTTCTGCATTTATGCTTCTTTGGGTTGTTTTTGTTATTGTGGAAGAACATTTTAGCTCATTCTACTTTCTTATTTTTTCACTTCCTTTAGACCGTATATTGGATGTGGAGGTGTCCATTTATTGTGTAAACCATTTGAGAGAAAATAGGTTAAGCCAAATTGACCAATAAAAAAAAAAAATTGAATTATACAGTTTAGAACTCTTCTTGTACTGGTTAATAAAGTTTCTTTTTCCCCATTTACTTACTGATTGAACTTGACAACCTACATTACTCGGATTTATGGATAATGTCTGTAATTTTGAAGATTTTCTCAGTGTTTTCAAAGTGTTAAAGTGGAAATGTGTATTTTGAGAGTCAAAGAAACTACGACAGTACCACACATTGCTTGATTCATAATTTTACCTATGTATATTGTGGATTGATAACTCTGGAATTGATAAATTGCTCATAGTTCTACATTTCTTCTTATATTTTGACTCTCTTTATGTCCCTTCCAATTTCATTTAGCTTTATAGTTGCCATAGTTGTTGACTACATATATTTCTTTTCTATATTTAATTGCAGTGGGCTTGCAATTACAGCAAACAAGAAGAATACAGATGAACATATTCAGTTACTTCAGTGGTCGGTAGAAGATGACATGAGTGAAATTGCAATTGTTGACATTGATCGAGATACTTGGCGTCCTAGGATTGAACTTCAAGGTGATTAAACTTGTTCTCTAGCCTAAGACTTTTGGGGACTCTCACAAATAGTCAAGTAATAACCTTGTCTTGGGGCTTTTTACGTTAAAGGGCCAAAATAATCATCATCAGTCGTTAGTAAGACTTTGAGTGAATTTTTTGGTAGAGGACAGAACTGAGAGAAGAAAAGGATTTTACTCTTCTAATTCTTGTATATCTATAGCCTCTATACAATCTCTTTATATATACAAAGATGTTTCCTGTATTAGGAAACAATCTAAATAGGAAATCAACCTAAATTAGGAAATGAAATATTCTTCATAATTACAAAGATTTCAACACTCCCTCAAGTTGGTGTATAGATATTACACATGCCCAACTTGTGAACTAAAGTGTAGATTTAATGTGGAAAAATATTTTCTTCTCTTTGATTCATCAATAGGGACACATATATATACACATACAAGATACTATAAACCTATTAGGAATCTATATATACACATACAAGATACTATACCACCTATTCGGAATCTAACTCCAATAGAGTTCTATTTACAACTCCTAATAGAGTTTCTATTACAACTAATTCCTTAACACTCCCCTCAGTTGGAGGCATAGATATTAAGATCATGCCTAACTTGTTACAAAGATAGTTAACCCGAGGTACATTTAGAGCTTTCTGTAAAGATATCTCTTAACTGTTCACATTTTGTTTTTAACGTGTCCTGTAGAGATAACACCCCTGTTGGTAATCTTTTCACGAAAATGACAATCAATCTTGATATGTTTTGTTCGTTCATGGCATACTGGATTTGATGCAATGTGAAGAGCAGCTTGATTATCACACCATAACTTTGCAGGCAAGAATGACTTGAAGCCAATTTCATCTAATAACTGACGAATCCAAATTAATTCACAAGCAGATTGTGCCATAGCTCGATATTTTGATTTAGCACTCGATCGGTGAGACTACATTTTGTTTCTTACTGTTCCACGATATCAGGTTTCCACCCATAAAGACACAATATCCTGAAGTTGATCTTCTATCAACCTTCAAACCTGCCCATCCGCATCTGAAAAACACTCAATGTCCAAATGCCCATGATTACTGTAAAGGAGGCCACGACCTGGATTACATTTCAAGTAGCACAAAATTTGTCCTAAAGCTTCCCAATGGATAACAGTAGTCTAAAGCATCCCAATGGATAACAATAGGAGAAGACATAAAACTGGCTTTAAAGACGCTCACAGAGTAACAATATCATAGACGTGTTACGATAAGATAATTCAATTTGCCCACATCAATCCTTATATACATCTTAGGATCCACAATATCACCACCAATTGAAAGTTTGTCAAATTTTTGGAGTCATTGGGAGCACTGCATGGCTTGGCACCCGCAACTTTCCAGTTATCCTTTCAGTAAGTCAGGACAATACTTCCCTTTGAGATAAGAAGATGCCTCTCTGTACACCTAGATACTTCAATACCCAAAAAATACCTTCAAAACAAATCGTAAGTCTTTTGTCTGGAGACTGGTCTGGAGAAATGACTTGAGTGATGTAATGCCGGCTAAATCACTCCAGTAATAACCAATAGGTCATCAAAAACATAAACCACAAGTAGAATCAAACCAGCCTTAGTACTCTTTTGAAAAAATACAGAATGATTAGAATTTACTCTTCTGCATGCCAATATTGATGTACCACATGCAAAATCTACCAAACCAAGCTCGACGGACTCTGTTTTTTAAAGCCATTAAGAGATTTTCGAAGTTTACAGCACTTTTACTCGACTCCCCCTGAGCAAACAAAGCCTGGCGTTGCTCCTGTAAACTTTCTCCTTGAAGATCGCCCATGAAGCAAGGCATTCTTAACTTCCAGCTGATGTAAAGGCCAGTTCAAAGTAGCAGTGCTAAAAGAAATATAATAAACGAACATAGACAATTTGGCAACAGGCAGAAAAAGTATCAGAAAATAATCAAGGCCATAAATCTGAGAAAGCCCTTTACACTAATCGACCTTGGAAATCGAGCAGCAGTCCCATCAGGATTCACTTTAATGGTGAAAACCCGGCCATCTTTACCGAACCAATAGCTTTTCTTGCCGTGCCGGGGAGAGGCACAAGATCAAGTAAACCATTAGTATCTAAAGGCAGCCATCTCCTCTTTCATTGCGCAACACCGAACCAGGATGGGACGAAGCTTGGACACAGTGTTTAAGGAAAGAGACAGAGTCTATGGTTAACTTACAAAACAACGAGATGAAGAAGAAGATTATCATAACTGACAAAAGAGGAAATAGGGTAGGTACACTGCGTTTAACCGTTTTCGGAAGAGCAATGGGAATGGTCAAGGTTGACTGGGGAGTGGATGGCACAGGCTCCAGGTTGAGTGGAGAGAACTGGATCTCTGTTGAACAACGGCAGGTAGATGGAAGTGAGTCAGAGTTTCTGGTCCTCCTGGAATAAACCTGTTCCCAAACGAGGGCGTGGCAGGGCCGGAATTAGGAGCAGCAGACGCTGGAGTAGGAGTAAGGAGCAAGAGCAAGGTCAGGAATACGAGCAGCGAGCAGGAGAGTTATGAACTTGCTGGATAGCATAAGAACTAAAAGGTCATCTCGTGTATCCTCGCCCTCACTCTTATAATAATAGAAGAAGGAAAAAATGGAGTATTTTCAAAAAATGTGACATCTATGCAGCAATAAGATAACGGTCAAGTCGGGAGAGAATAACGATAAACCCTTTGAATGCCGAGAAATAACTCAAGGAAAACACAACGAAGGACTTTGGATCTAATTTGGTTAAAACCTGCGGACGAACAGAACGAACAAAACAAGTACATTACCAAAAATACGAGGTTCATGAGGGAATAGAAGTTTTAGAAGGAAACAAGACGTTATAAGGAATTGCACCCCAATTAAAGCAACAGAAGAAGCATGCAATTATATCAAAAAAACATGCAGTAGAGACAGGGCATCTAGCCCAAAAATGTTTAGGACCTTCATTTGGAATAGAAAGTGGCCTGAAGCAACCTCAAGAAGATATCGAGTTTTCTTCTTTCTGCACCCCATTTTGGAGGAGTATCAAACCACAAGATGTTTGATGTGAAATACCATTTTGTGACATATAAGATTCGGAAGAACTAGATAGGGTATTCCTTTAGCATTATCACGTGCAAATTATGAAGAAAATAAGTATTAAAATTGAGTTTAATTCCAGCACAAAAAGTAGAAAAAATAGAGATATATCTCAGAACAAGTTTTCATTGAAAAATAACCAAGTAACACGAGAATAATCATCCAGCAAAAGTCTACAAAATAACCGAAAGTCAAGTTTTAGAAATAACAGGACATGGCCCCCCAAATATCAGAATGAACTAAACTTAAAAGGGGAAACCCGTTTATTGACTCGAGGAACTAAAGGTAAATCGATGATGTTTGGCCAAATTGACAAGATTCACATTCTAAATTGATAAAAACTGACTGCGGACACAAACTTCTTTAAACTAGACAAATGACGGACTGACCCCAACTGAAGCAATGAAGCTCAAGAGGAGATAGAGCACCAGGCACAAGCTAGAGATAATGAAAGCGTGTTCAATCTCAGAAGATAAACGGCCACCAGGACTCACGTCCTCTACCAATAATCCGCTTCGGTCAAAAGATCTGAAACACACAATATGTAGGATAAAATTTGACAACAGCAATTCAGATACGAGTAAATTTTGCTACAGATAATAGATTAAAACGAAAAAGCGAGCAAACCAAAAAAACAGAAAAACAATGGAGAGATGGAATGGGATTGGGTGGCAAATACAACTTGAATAGGATGATGTGGGCCCATTAGCTAGAGGTAAACCAATGACGATTAAATTGTTCAGGTTCTTTTAATGAGGATAAGAGACTAGGGTTTACCCTGTCATGTGATTTCCCGGTGGGCAAACCAGAAATTTCTATTGAAAAAAACCCCCCCCCGCCCCCCACTTTGTATGAGGTAGACAATAAGAAGAAGTAGGTTACCTGAGTTGGCAGCAGCAGCAATTGAGGAAACCCAATAACTTAAGAAGAGGTATTTGGAGAGCTCAGCATACTCCCAGGCAGAATTGTTACAATTGTTGTCAGAAGAAGTACATGCATAATCTTAGTTGCCATATTTACCCTTGGTGGCTTTATTTATCAAGTTTCTTGCAATACCGGTTTAGTGTGACCAGATCATTGCAATAATGGCAGATAAGAATGCTTTGCCATCCCGAGTGATTGGTCCATTATTTTGGTATTTCTCCTCTTCCTCTCTGTTTTCCTGGCTGTCCTAGCCTATCTGATTAACGACTCAACAAGGGCACTATTATCAGAAGGGGAAGGCGCTAATGAGAACCTTCGGTACGTAAGCAATCTAGCAAAAGTTACCTGAAGAAGAGGTAACATCACTGCCTGAAAAGAACTTTGGTGAATTTGGTAGTTCAAACTGGAGCAAGACTTGAAGAAAACTCATCACAGCCATTTGTTCCGCTCGTTTGTCTGAAACCTTAACATCGGGACTAAAGCGCAAATAAAACATGTAAGTTCCTCGAAATCTTTTTAATTCTAAAATGAAAATACTGTAGAGGGGCTTATCTCGCTGGTAGCCCGATAATTCTTTTTCAGACCTCATACATACGAGAACAGATTTACCTCTTTCCGGGAGTACATAGAATTCAAGATATTCCATTAATTCTTTAACAAACTCAAATGATTGATTAGTTCAACACTTCACTGTCATAGAATTGTGAATCAGTAAATAACTTAGCATCTTCCCCTGAGCCAACGTTGCTAGTGTCAACCAGTTTGGTGATCATACAATTGATGATCAATCTTTTTTCAAATACTTCGCAAATAAATTCAAATTGTCTACTCCGAATTAATAATTATCCTTCATTTTATGTTCTGTGATTTTATTCATTTGCTGGGATCATTCAGTAATAGTAAAGTTTTTAGAATCTGTAGGTCAGGACCATTATTAATAAAAACTAAAACACCCTGACAGCAACGCAAAAATAGACACAGCAAGAAAAAAATAGTCTTTCAATGCAAACAGAAGCAAAAAGGTAACCTGAAATCGGCCAAATTGACAGAACTAAGTACCCCCTCGAAACTTAGCCGGAATCGGAAAACCCACTACCTGAGTAAAGACTGCTGACATAAAAATGAAGTCCAGAAAGCAATTTCCGGATGCCCGGAAACAGCCGACGGCGCCGCCCAGCGCCGGCGCGTGTTATGTAGCCAGAATCTTGTATCGGCGCGTGAGGCCCAAGCGCAGGATCCGGGTGAACCGATTTTGAGGGAAGACTGGTCGGCAGCTGGAGGCGAGCTCCTGGAGTGAGGCGGTGAGACAAACAGTACCCTAGAACACTCACCAACAACTGACAAGCGCACCATTGCGCAGGGAATCCAGGTGAC